ACTTAACTTTACTTGATGGCTAGAGTAATAGAAATTTTACACTGTGTCTGTTACCTCAGGGGCATTTACTGTAGCAAGAATTAAATTCTAAAGTTTTGTATCATGTTTTGCTAGTTTTAGTGTTACAATGGAAACCTAAGATATAGGCCTGGTGATGTGGTTCAGGTGGTAGAGTGCCTGCCTAGCAGTTGTCTAGAATTCCAACTCCAATCCTATCAAAACAAAACCAGAGATTTCCTGAATAGTTTTTTTCTTGCCAGCCCTGAGGCTTGAACTCAGGGCCTGGCTGTTGTCCCTGAACTTCTTTTGCTAGTGCTCTACCACTTGAGCCACAGTTCCATCATCTTCAGCCTTTTTTGTGATTAATTGGTGATAAGAGTCTCATAGACTTTCCTGCTGGGGCGGCTTTGAACCGAGTCCTCAGATCTCAGCCTCCTGAGTAGCTAGGATTAGAGACCTGAGCCACTGATGAGTGGCCAAAAACAACTCTTTTTTAAAAAAGTGAAATCTGGAGAGCAAATGCAGCAACTTCCCTTAGTGGTGAAGCTTGTTCCCTGGCGAAGGCTGACCTGGATTTGCTCCTGGCTCTGTCATTTCCCCGCTGTACAATGCTGGACAGGGTTGTAACCTTTCTGAGCCTTCAGATTTTTGTCTGGGAACCAAGGGGCTTTGGATAGTTGAAGAAAGTGCCAAGTACTGGCACATGTCCTGCTGGGCTTACTTCTTGGGGAGCCTCGAGGGAGACCAACTAGTCCAGTTTCCTTCCTTCCCAGCCCATCCATAAGGAGTGGTTGTGCTGGGACCCACATCCACAGTGACCTTGAGTGCTGTAGGGAGAAGTGATTCACAGTGACTTACAAGGGCTTGATTGGAGAGAGCAGAGATCTGGCCACCTCCATCCTAGAATCCTCTGTGTCCTGTCTAGAGGACGGGTGTTACACCCCGTAGATGGCAGCGTCTGGGACACAGGTACGTTGGAATCTGCTGGTACCTGATGGTTTGTGCAGCACCATGGAACGGGTTTTGCAGCTGGGTGTCCTGCAGGCCCAGTTCATGGTCCGGTGGAGTTACTGGTATATGGTGTCTGGAAGCGTTCAGCTTGCTGTCATGTGGATTTGGGCCTTCTGAGAAGGAAGAGCATTAGCGAGCTACATTCTACACTGAGAATGGAAGTAGAGGATTTGCCTTGCTTTTGCTGGTTTTCTAAACCAGGGTTCTTGCCATTCTAGCTGGGATTAGTGGCTCCTTACCGGGTAGTAGCAGACGTATGCAGGGCTGGCCAATTGGGCAGGGGTCCTGCGCGCCCTCCCCCCCCCCCCCCCCCAGGCATCCCAAGGCTTCTGCAGTTGTCGGGCCTCCTCATCCCTAGCTTCCCTTCCAATGAGATGGAATTCAGCGTGAGCCAGTGACCTTCAGAAAACGGACCTGAAGAAAGATGGGTGGTTAGAGCTGCAACAATATGCTCACTGGGTTTTCTTTCCTCTCCTGCTGTGAAAGTTGCTGCCTGTAGCAACTTTAAAAGAATTTAAAATTGTTTTGTGTGGAGCAAGGGAAGACTGTGTCCACACAGCTTGCAGATGTTTTCCAGAGCTTTGTTTCTTGTTGAAGTTTTAATTCCGTGGCTTAGTTTTCTTTTTGGTCTACTATGTTGACTTCCTTTTCTTCCCTAAGTCTTCACTGTGTGACCCCAAATACTTTAGTCTAGAAGATAGATATTCTGGGGCACTCTGCGGAGGGGCCTTGCTTGGCATAGAACTCCAACCCGTTATGGAGTTTTCTGATTTTTGCCTGTACATGTTCACTTCAGGTAGAGGATTTTATAATATACTTTTGGACCAAAGTTTATTATTCCTCAAAGATGTCATTACATTTTATTTAGCCTTTAATGTCTACACTGTTTGCTAATAATCATAGTACTTTTAAGCATAAGTGTTAATTTAATTTTGAAGATGAGTTCAGCTCATGCCATTCTGGTGGTTTGGCCTTTAATGAGACATCTGCAGTCTGTAATAGTCAAACATATAATTTCTTAAAAAGTGTTACCAGTTCAAGTTTAGTGTAAAATAGGTGGTGTGTGTGTGTGTGTTTGTATTTGTGGCACTGGGGCTTGAACTCGCCTGAGTACTTTCCTTTAGCTTTCTTGCTCAAAGCTGGTGCTCTCCTACTTGAGCCATATCTCCATTTTTCTGGCTTTCTATTGGTTAATTGGAAGTAAGTCTCCTTCGGATTTGTGTGTCCCAGCTGACTTCAAACCACCATCTTCAGATCTCAGCCTCCTGAGTAAAGTAGGATAGAGGCATGAGGCACCCATTCCTGCCTGTAAAATAGTTTTAGAGAACCATTTACTCCTAGGGGTGCCATATCTCCATGCTGGTTGAATCTTACCCATGTCCTTTCCCTACATAGTACATGATAGGTTTTTAAATAGTGGCCTTAGTTTCCAGAGAGATTATTTCAACTGAGAGTCTGTCCTTGTGACCCCAGAGGCCAGGTGTGCTTGCTTGTTTTGGAGAGGCCGTAATTCAGGGCCGCTGGAGTCAGTGCCCAAGTACCCGCCGTCATCTGCAGACGCCTTGGAGGTGCAGCTTAGGAACAAGCTGTAAGTCCTGTGACCCAGAGTGCTGAGCTCCTAGTGCCTCTGCCCCAGACCTCTGAGTGGCCTAAGGGGTGCTGGGCTGGGTGCCTTCAGCCTGTACCAAGCCAGCATGCAAGTGCTTAGATAGGATCTGCCTTGCTCTCTCTTCCTGTACATCCTGATAAAGCTGGACACACAGTAGGAGATGCAAATAGAGGAAAGATGATGGTTTTTCTGTCTAGCAATTCTTGATTCCAGACAACTGGGACACTGGCCCTTATTTTCATTTCTCTTCTCCCTAACACTCTTTACATTTACCTTAAATATCACTATGCAAAAACTGCTTTGAGTTTCTGGAAAAATCATAGAGTCTTAGGAATCATTGTGGCAATGACTCTAAATGAACCTTTGTGTTCTTACGTTCCTCCAGCGTGTGCTTGGGACTGGGCAGTGCTTTGGTGACAGGCTAAGTGTTTAAATTTGCTGTCCAATAGCCTGGAAAAAGTAGTCACGGCTCCTGAATGAGAGGTTAACATTTCTGTGTAATCACAGTTAACGATAGGAAAGTTTTACAACCCTAAATAAAAATGGTGGCTTAAGGAAAGATTGTTTGTGTTGAGGCCCCCTCCCCTTTTTTTGTTTCAAGGATAAGATCAGAACTGCCTTTTTAAATCTTGGGGTAACTAGGTCTCCTCGCCTCCGTGGCCTTCCGAGCTGCTGCTGTCTGTTTGCCCGTCTGGCTGCAGCCTCATTGCCCTTCTTCCGTTTCTCCAAGTGTGCCAAGTTCATCCGCCTCAGGACCTTGCAACAGCAAGTCTGCTGCCCTAGTCTGTCTGCTTGGAAGGATCTTCTGCTGTATCTCCCCCAGGCTTGTTCATTTTTATCAGTCTGGTCTTGCTCAGAAGACTTGCCAGTCTAAAGAACCCTGAAGTCATTTCCTGCCACATTCTTCCAGTTTGTCTTCAACTGTGTAAATAGCAAGGGAATTGTCCTGTGTGTGTATTTTCTGACCTTCCCACTGGGATTTGTCTGTGTAGTTCATGTGTATTCTCCTTTGCCTTCCCAAGTAAGTACAGAAGTACACACCTGTAATCCTGGCACTCGGAGGCTGACGTAGGACTGCAAGTTGAAGGCCAGCCTGGGCGATGAAGCAAGCTTGTCTCAAAAGCTAAAAACCAGGCAACACAAGAAGAGTTTGTGAGACAAGTGAACACAGATTAATGAAGGGCTCAGGGGATGAGCTTTCACTGGCTTTTTCTGCCCGGCAGTACTTGATTTATTTTCTCATGTTTAATCCTGGTACCGTAGCTAACTAGCCAGTTAGTTACCCATGAGGAATCTGAGTTGAGCAGTCAGCATTTGCAAGTCTGGTGCCTTTCAAGGAACCCGTTGTTGAGGTTTGTAGCCCTTCTGCCGGGAGTGCTGATGTGTGCTTACAGCACTTGGCTTCCGGGAAGGGGGGCTGACTGGTGGGTCGTGGGGCATCATGGCACCTCGCATACCAGTGACACCGCTCACTTCTGTGAGCCATTACTTCATATCATCAGAAGTCCTTCCAGAGGCGATGAGTGGGTTGTGTGAGATCGGTCTCACGTCTGGCCCTCCCCAACCTCCCCCTCTGGGCAGGACAGCCTCCCTAAGCAGTTCTGTGATCTAGTGTCTCCTCGCTTCTCACCATTCTCTTGAATTAATTTTTTTTTTTTTTATTCCATGGCTTTTTAGTCTCTCTCTTCTTTTTCTTTTTACCCTTAAAAAACACACAGACATTATTTCAGGGAAGAGTAGAGGAGTGACACTAATTGCATGGGCAGAACAACCAACCAACCCTTTGTCCCAGTGTGCGGTTTGAGTCATCATTAGCAGTTAGTCGATGGCTACCTTGTGGAGGTTTGCCCAGACCGTAAATTCTTTGCTCCATTCTGTGGTGAGTCAGCCTAAAGCAGAGCTTGTCTGATACTGAGTCAGACAGTTGGGTCTCTGCCCGCACAGCTTATCATGTCATTTCAGGTCTGAAGAGTAGCCGGAACAAGTCAAACCAGAAGCAGGACTGCCTTACCTGTGCCCAAACTAGTTTTTAAATAATAAAGCAAGGGTTTTATCCCTTGGGTTTTCAGCAGCTTGGGGGGAATGGTAGGGTTACGTCATTTACTTACCTGAGCTAATATACTTGAATTAACGGAGAATTTTTAGTATTCTCATGGTCTTTAAGTTCCAAGGTGGCCTTCAGAGCAGATTTCCTGGAGTGAAGCTAGATTTAGTGGTTTCTTTTCAACTTGCCATTCTTGACTTTGGCACTTTTGGCTGAGTGTGTCTTCTAGTTTGTGGTACTTGAAGCCAATATGGCTTGAATGTAAAACCGGAGAGATGTTTAAGTATTGGCAAGTCAGTGACAGTCAGTGACCAGTTGTTTTCCTTTCCTTTCTAGTTATCTATGGGAGGCTGTTGATACGCAGAACAGCCGGGTGTATAAAATCAAGCTCTGTGGAGATGTGGAGATTGTCGGGTGTGAGCCATCAAGTGCTGTTTGTATGTTCGACTTGAAAACACGCAAGTATTATTCAGTCGGTAAGTAAACCTGTTAAGATTCCTACATGGGCAGTATGCATCTAGGTTTGAAAAATGACTTTATGTATCTAGCTATTTGGACGTACCTATATACACAATTGTATATGCTTGCAATATCACTTGTTTTATAATGGTTAAAAATGTTTTATATGGTTAAAAGTGGTGACCATTTGTCTAGTGGGGGGATAAAAACAAGTTACTTCTGCCCAGTGAGTAGAATGTAGGAAGGAGTCAAGAATCATTTGTGTGATGGCTGCTTCCTCTAGCTTCTCATCCACAAGGTTCTTAAGCTCTGCCTTCCTTCATTTCTCCTCCTTCACCTGTTTCTTTTAGTGCTTGCTTCTCTGGCGATGCAGGTCTCGGACAGTGTGCCCTTGCATGCCACGGTCGTTCAGTGTCCTGACAGCTGGCAGTCTTAGGGACAAAAGTGCAACCGTTTCTTACCTCAGATCATGCAGTTTTTCTAAATGTACTTCTCCTGGGTCAGGACCCCTTTCCACTGGTGGGTTGGAGGGGTACAGATGGTGACATGGAGGGAGGGTAAAGGCCAGTGTTCCCCCGAGCGGTGCAGCATAGTGTCTGTGGTGACATTTCTCTGGGACAGTTGAGTGATGAAGTTTAGTTATGGTGGAAGGAAGAAGTGGTGATAGCGTGCGTCTGGGAGCAGGGTGGAGGAGAAGGGACGGTGTTCATAGGAGGCGGCTGGCAGGTGTCTGGGTTTGGGAGGGATGGCTTGGAAAGCTACCTTGTTGCATGGAGACACCACAGTAACAGAAGTAGGAGGTGGGAAATACTGGATCCTCTGGTTAGGATCCGAGTCTTCTCATTTGCTTCTGTCTCAGTGAAGACTCTCTAGGCTGAGAACCAGGGAGAGGATTTGAGGCCAAGGATGGGGATCTGAGAAAGCACCAGGTTGTTCTGAACTTTTGGATGGGCAAGCTTACTATTTGGTGATGTACTTAAGACAACTTGTGGGTGATACCACCGTTCTCTCTCATCTTTGGATGATTGAGAGGACTCTTGGCCAGCGCTCTTCAGGGTTTCAGAAAGGGGAAAAGGCAGTTTTCCTTATAATGTAAGGTAAGTGTGTGATATTTTTGCCTAATGCGAGAGTGGTTGTACTTTGTGACAGTACAATGTAACATAGACTGACACAGATGCGTGCAGTTCATTAGGGAATAGTTTGTGAGACTGGCCTCCATAACAGTTCTATAGGCTTTGAAAACCAGGAAGGAGAGCTGGTAACAGGTTAAGTTGATGATACAGACCACAGTATTCAGGCTTCTTTTGACTTCAAGTACTTTCTTTTGACCCATGGCTAGCTTTCTCAGGTGTTCACACTCCTAGAGGGACAGCTGGCATGTACAAAGCCCTGGAGGTATGGATGATGGCTCTGAATGTGGATAGACCACCTCGGGGCTTCCATACTTACCGAGGATGCACTGTGAGGGTCTTAGGAGCACATCACACAGGTGTAGGGCTAAAAGAGGAGTGGGAAGGAGGTGTGCGGGTAAGGAACTTCCAGTAAAGCAAACAATGTGAAGTTTCAAAACACCCACAAAATGCTGGCCACTAGTGGCTCATGCCTGTAATGCTAGGTAATTAGGAGCTCGAGTTCTGAAGGATTGAAGTTCAAAGCTAGCCTGCACAGAAAAGTGAGATTTCATCTTCAGTCAACCATCAAAAAGCAGTACTGGAGGTGTGGCATAAGCAAGCTGAGAGAGTTCAAGGTGGCATAAGCAAGCTGAGAGAGTTCAAGACTTTGCGTTAAAGGGAAGGGAGGGAAATCCAATTGATGGGGCAGAGCTGTAGGTCTCTATCCTGGAGCGATTCCCTTTCCAGGATGTCCTGTGGAGAGCACTCACAAGGGTCAGGGGAGAGAGGGGCCTCTGGGCCTGCGAGGCTGTCTGTGGGTCCCTGGAGTGGGAAGTGGTGGCCTGCGGTCATGATCTGGCCCAGCCCACCATCTCCTGTGAGCCTCCCCCCTTGAGCCTCCCCCTGCCAGCCTCCTCCCGCGAGGCCCCCCCACCCCCCCCAGGTGTACCGGGCCCAGCCTCTGTGCTCCCCCGACTGGTCCAAAGTCTATCCAGCTTTCCAGTTCTGAGTTCTCCGGACTTCCAACCCGCCTTCTGACCAGACTTCTGGGCTTCCCGGATTTCCCTGCCCCCCCCCCCCCCCCCCATAGCCGACTCACCGTCCCCTGGTTGCCGGGCAACTCCGATGGCCGATCCTGGTTGCAGGCAATGTTCCGATGGCCGATTGCGGTTGCCGGCAAGGTTCCAGTGGCAGATCCCGGTTGCTGGGCAGCTTCGATGGTCGATCCCGGTTGCCGGGCGGCTCCGATGGCCGATCGCGGTTGCCGGCAAGGTTCCAACGGCAGATCCCGGTTGCTGGGCGGCTCCGATGGCAGATCCCGGTTGCTGGGCGGCTCCGATGGCCGATCCCGGTTGCCGGCAAGGTTCCAATGGCCGATCCCGGTTGCTGGGCGCCTCCAATGGCCGATCCCGGTTGCCGGCAAGGTTCCAACGGCAGATCCCGGTTGCCGGGCTTCTCCGATGGCCGATCCCGGTTGCCGGGCTGCTCCGATGGCCGATCCCGGTTGCCGGCAAGGTTCCAACGGCAGATCCCGGTTGCTGGGCGGCTCCGATGGCAGATCCCGGTTGCTGGGCGGCTCCGATGGCCGATCCCGGTTGCCGGCAAGGTTCCAATGGCCGATCCCGGTTGCTGGGCGGCTCCAATGGCCGATCCCGGTTGCCGGGCTGCTCCGATGGCCGATCCCGGTTGCTGGGCTGCTCCGATGGCCGATCCCGGTTGCCGGGCTGCTCCGATGGCCGATCCCGGTTGCCGGGCTGCTCCGATGGCCGATCCCGGTTGCCGGCAAGGTTCCAATGGCCGATCCCGGTCGCTGGGCGGCTCCAATGGCCGATCCCGGTTGCCGGGCTGCTCCGATGGCCGATCCCGGTTGCCGGGCTGCTCCGATGGCAGATCCCGGTTGCCGGGCTGCTCCGATGGCAGATCCCGGTTGCCGGGCTGCTCCGATGGCCGATCCCGGTTGCCGGGCTGCTCCGATGGCCGATCCCGGTTGCCGGGCGGCTCCGATGGCCGATCGCAGTTGCCGGCAAGGTTCCAATGGCAGATCCCGGTTGCTGGGCGGCTCCGATGGCCGATCCCGGTTGCTGGCAAGGTTCCAATGGCAGATCCTGGTTGCTGGGCGGCTCCAATGGCAGATCCCGGTTGCCGGGCTGCTCCGATGGCAGATCCCGGTTGCCGGGCTGCTCCGATGGCAGATCCCGGTTGCCGGGCTGCTCCGATGGCCGATCCCGGTTGCCGGGCGGCTCCGATGGCCGATCGCGGTTGCCGGCAAGGTTCCAATGGCCGATCCCGGTTGCTGGGCGGCTCCGATGGCAGATCCCGGTTGCTGGGTGGCTCTGATGGCCGATTCGTTGCCGGCAAGGTTCCAATGGCCGATCCCGGTTGCTGGGCGGCTCCAATGGCCCACTCACCGGTCCCTTCGACTGCTCTCGAACCCCCGATTTTCCAGTCCCCTCGACGTCTCCGATTTGCTGACTTCCTCGGTTTTCACCCGCTCCGCTCCGCTCCGCAGTGCCGAGTTCTGACTGCGGCTCGCTGCGTCCTGCGCCTCCGCCCCTGCCTGCCTCCCCCTCCCTCCTGCACTCCTCCGCGTGCTCCCTTCCCACCCCCCTTCCCTGAGGCACCCTGCAGGCACCCCTGCCCTCAGGCCCCGCCCCGGCCTCACAGTGCTGCCCCCCCCCCCCCCCAGCCCGCGCCTACGGTTTTTTTCTGGCTTTCCCAGCGCCTTTCGTTTTTTGCCGGAGGGAGGGCTGTACGGGATGGGGGGGGGGGGGGGATCAGGCCGTGAACCGCGCTGCAGTTGACCCAGAGGTCATTATCTGACTCGGTAAGGGGTCAGGCGCAGCCCAGGCCCAGAGCGCCACCCCGGGGGAGAAAGCGCCAAGGGACCCGCAGCAGATCAGGGCAAAGGGAGCGCCATCCATCCGTGCTGGGCCCTGTGGGGCTCGGGCAATGCACCGGGCACTGGCGGAGGACGAGGTTCCTCCTTGTTTGCCTTTTTCTGCTTCTGCTGCATGATCTCCCAGTCCCTCTGCTTGTGCCAGGCGCAGAAAGCTCATTGTCTCTCTCTTGCTGGAGCTTGAACTTGGGACCGGCACTGTCCCATCTATTTTTTGGTCAAGGCTGTCAGGGTACCACTTGGGCCACAGCTTCACTTCACACTTTCCTGCTGAGGCTGACTTTGAATTGTGACTCTCAATTCTCGTCCTTCTAAGTAGCCAGGGTTATGGGCAGTTAATTTATCTTTACGTTTTCAGAGATAGATCCTGTTTGTGCATGATGGGTGGGAAGAGTGGTAGTGAGAAAGGCAGCGGTGGAGGCTTGGGCACCAGTGTGCCGCTATGGCAGCAGCTGAGAGGGTCTTGAGTGGTAGCAGAGATGGTGGAGTGTGGACGGGTCTGAACTGGAGGGACTCTGCAGCAAAACGTTCTGATGTACTGAGTGTGACAGAAAAAGAGAAGATAATGAAGTCATGACTCTGCCCAAACAGCTAAGGGTGGGTAGAGTCACTTCCTGAGATGGAGAATTCTGGTACTGTGATTGTTTCGTAGGATTATAAACTTTCAGATATAACTCATAGTACCACTTGTAACTTGGTTGTTTATGCCTTGGAATATCTGAAGAGAACGTGGGTTTTATGTCCTGCCTGTTGATTCTCTTTCCTCTTCAAATAGGAGACTCTTTTTTGAAAAGCACGAGCAGATCCCTCCTGGAGTTCAACACGACCACGGCCTGCCAGCACGCAGGCCCGGGGCACCAAGTGCAGAGCACCATCACCTTCCTGTGTGGAAAGACACTGGTGAGTCCTGCGCTGCTTTGTGACAGTGCCTGCCCTCCTCACCGTAAGTCCAGGCTTAATAACACATGACTGTATTAGACTATGAGGAAACCAGATCTCCAGTTAAATCACCACCAAGACCCGTAAATAAAGGAGTCCTAAACTTACAAGTTTAAAGTGAAATTTGAAGTACAGTTCAGAGCCATTCTATTTTGAACCGCAAAGCCCTGGGTTCTGTTTATGTCACAGGCATACTTTTCTTCCTTATACTTCTATCCCTAGCAAGCATTCCAGTCTTTTATTTGGGGGTGGGGGAGGAACCTGGGGATTGATTGTGCTGGCTAGACAAATGCCCTGCCACTTGAAGTATGTACCTAGTCCCAGTATTTCATCTTGATGGTTTTGGGGTGGAATGTTCAATTTTCTAAAGCAGAATTCTCCCCTTCTCATTTATATTGAAACTGAGAGACCTGATTGGGTCAGAAGCCCTAGCCAGCAGGGAGGGGGTTCAGTACCTGATGCTGGGTAGAGACACAGTTGGGTGAAGCACAATGCTTATCTTTCTTACGTGATTTGCAGGGTTTTAGAAAGGAACTTGGAATACACAACTTCTGAGCAATAGAACTAGTTAGTATACCAGTGCTGTGATTGGCTTGAATGGGAGTGAGAAGCCAGGTATTGAGAAGAGTCAGGTTGAGTGAAACCCGGTGACTACCAGGCTTCTTGCCAATATTATGTTAAGAAGTAGTACTGTGAGCCTTGCATCTTTTGTCCCGTAATGTCTGTCTTGATTAGCCTTGGTCTGACCCTGTACCCACGGAGAGCTTGAAAGAGTGTGGTGCCTTGGGGCAGGAGGATTTGTGTGACAGGGTAGGGCAGCTGCTGCTGCACTTGAATTTCCCTTAACTCTGTGCTGGCCCTGAGGGAAACTGTGTGTCCTCAGCCTGAGGCAGTGTGACTGGAGAGCTGCCCTGAGGGTGGGCTCTGCCCAGTGCCCCCACTCCAGATGCACATGGCCTCCCAGTCCTCCTCACAGGAAGCCTGAGGTCATGCTTGCTGGCTTTGCTTTTGTTGGCATTTGGTTCAGGGAACATGGAAGTCTCCATTCCCAGGATCGCTTCCTGTGAGCACACCGCCCTTGCACAGCTGGACGGTCACACAGCTTTACTGGATGCGCTTACGGCTTTGGGCCAGTGGATTTGGGGATGCTTTTTTTTCCTTTGAATTTCTCAGTTTGGGAACCTCTTGATCTCATCTGAGTGAAGTAGTTGTGTCCCTGCTCTTCCTGCTGCTCTTCTTTCATTGGCCTTTGTTGTGTTCTAAATTTAGAGAGAGACTTGATGTATGATGTGGTAACTTACTTTAACCATCTTTGTTTTAATAGGGTACTCCTGAATTTGTAACTGCAACAGAATGTGTGCATTACTTTGAGTGGAGGACTACTGCGGCCTGCAAGAAGGACACATTTAAAGCTAAAAAAGAGGTAACTAGGGAATTTAAGATGACATAATCACAGAGTCTACCTTTAAGATTTGTAATACCAATTTTAACCTTTCAGAGTGAAAATTTTTTAAAAGTTTTTATTATTTTTTTAAAAATTATTTTTCCATGAGGCTTGGACTCGGGCCTGGGTGCTCTCTGGCTCTTTGCTTAAGGCTAACACACTCTATCACTTTGAGCCACAGCTTCACTTCTAGTCTTCAGATCATTAAGTGGAGATAAAAGTCTCCTGGCCTACCTACCTGGGCTGGCTTCAAGCAGTGATCCTCAGATCTCAGCCTCCCGAGTAGCTAGGATTATATATAAAGAACCTGGGTTCTTTAGAATTTTTTTTTATTTGAGCAGAGATGATACGTGATTTAATTGTTAAAAACTTTTCTAGGTGGTTCTAGGCATTTAAAATGTCACAAGACAGTGTAGGGTGCCATAGGCTGTCTGTGTATGATGGAGTTGGGCTGAAGTTTAGATTAATATTATCATTTATTTTTCTGCATCTGTGGTCGACCCCATCCTGATGCTTGTCCCCACTTGTTCTCCATATTGAACCCCTCTCTTCAGCCTTGGAGTGTCTTCAAGATAGCCTCAGAATCTCGGCCAGGCATCTTCACAGTTTACTCCTCAGTTTACCTTAGAGGCAAATGTTACTGCTACTTAATTATTCCCTCAACAGCTCCATACTGTTTCAGTGGTATTATAAGTCCACATCAGATGGGCACTCGTGGCTCACACCTGTAATCCTAGCTCTTCTGGAGGCTGAGGTCTGAGGATCACAGTTCAAAGTCAGTCCAGGCAGAAAAGTCCCCATGACACTCTTACCTCCAATTACCCATTCAAAAACTAGAAGTGCAGCTGTGGCTCAAAGTGGTAGAGTGCTAGCTTTGAGCAAAAGAGTTCATGAACAGCACCCAGGCCCTGAGTTCAAGCCCCACAACTGGAAAAAAAAAATACAAGGTCCTATCACTCCCACTCATGTATAGGATGCTGTTTTGGAATGCATTGTGGAATGGTGGGATTGAGCTTAGTAAAGTGGTTTACTGGGGTGAGAATACTTAAAATAGACTCAGTCACTTTGAAGACACAACACTGGTATGTAGTTAGCGTTGTTAAGTATAGTTGAAATGCCATACAGGGAGTCTCCTGGCATTTCCCTCTTCTCCACCCCACCCTGTGGGTCTGCCCTGATTGTTCCTGGCTGTGGGACACAGGGGAGACCCCCCCCACCCCCTTCAGATCCTGCAGTCCTGGTCCTGCTCAGATAAGATAACTGACTCTTCTCACGGTTGGCCTTTAGGTTCCTGTCCTTATGGGTTGTGTGCAGAGACTGTTGGGACTTAAGAACTAACAAATGGTAGTGATCAGTAATTTTTACTATTGGCCTCATACTGTGTAACTGAAGAGGGCAAAAAGTGTTTACTGTTGAAAAATGAAGTTGTAAATAAATTTTCAGTGGTTTTTTAAAAATATGGTCATCCTTAAAGAGAAGATAGTCTGAAGAGAAAGAGGCAAAATATTTCTTTTTTTTTTTTATAATGTTTTTTTTTTTAATATTTTATTTTATTTGTGAACATACTGTACAGAGGGGTTACAATTACATGGGCAGGATAATGCGTACATTTCTTACCAAGTATTGCAGCCTCCTCCTTTGTTTACCCTTCACATCCCTTCCCAGCCTCCCCCCTCCCCCCCCCAGTCCCAATCCTTCCTCCCCCCCCCCCCCTGCAAAATATTTCTTTCCAGAAAATCCTATAAGGATGCTCAGTGAAGAAAAATATAGAGCTGGAGTCTTGGCTCAGGCGGTAGAATGTCAGGGCTACCAAACTCAAGCCCCTGAATTCAAGCCCCAGTTTAAAGTGGAAAGGAGGCCGATATAATTGGGAAGTGGTGTAAAATTTAAACTCTCGGTTGTAAAACTTAAGCCTATATTGCTGGCAGTCGGAAAAACATCTCAAAGTGACATCTCAAAGTGCAGGGTGGGGTAGGGTGTTCAGGTGGCTGAGTTTTTTAGTTCCTCCACCACACCCCTGACCTTTTTGAGCCCCACAGACATTCTTCTGGGCTTAATTATCCAACCTGCTAGAGACATTGAGGGTTTTGTTTCATCTAGAGTGTCCAAAGTGACAATGGTATCTCCCACTACTTAGGAAACAATGCTTTCCTGGAGAAACAAGTGGCAACTTGTTTTCTGTAAGAACTCCTGTCCCACTCATGACCCAGAACTAAGAATGGTGCTTACGTTTTTACAGGACTATAAAAATGCAGGCTTACGTGACCGACACCTGTGTGTCTCGTCCAGCCTGAAGTCCTTTCCTTGTGGCTTTGATAGCTTTGTGTAGCCAGTGTTCTGAGAGGTCTTTGGGGACAGGGAGCCAGAGTCTGTATTTTTCTCGAAGATTGATTTCTCATAGAAGCTGATCTGAAGAAGCAGGAGAAGTGTTAGCAATTTGTTCTGAGTTACTGCCTCTTTATTTGTCTCTTTTCCTATGCTGTTTTTATTGACTGAACCCATGGTCACTTTCCAGTTTTGAGTTGGTTCTTGCTTTCTGGGGCCCCGGCTCAGCCGTATTCCCGATTGCCCTCTGCCCTTGGGAGAGTTGTTAGAGGGAAAGGACCAGAGAGCGCAGTGACTGCTGGGACATGGGCGGTCCCGGGCTGCACTGTGTATAGGCTTCAGTAGGATCAGTAAAAAAAAATAAATTACTCATGCTTGATGTACTTGGAAAACACTCCTCATCCTCCAAAATACCTCCAGAAGTCTCAGCTGCTTAGCTTCAAGTGTTTTTCTTTTCCATACCTTCCTTTGTCATATTTGCCCTGTTTCCCTGTGTCCAATTCAGAAAGATAGACAGAGATCATGGTAGTTTTGGACAGTGCCATTTACACCTATGCTGTATAAATTCTGGGGAGAGTTTTAAACATAAATCTTGGCTCTTTTTTTTTTTTTTTTTTTGTTGGTTGTGGGGCTTAAACTCTGGGTCTGGGCGCTGTCCCTCAGCTCTTCAACTCAAAGCTGGCATTCTACCACTTGAGCCATAGTGCCACTTCCCATTCTCTAAGTAGTTTATTGGAGATAAGAATCTCTTGGACTTTCCTGCCTGGGCTGTCTTTGAACCATGATCCTTAGATCTTAGCCTCCTGAGTAGCTAGGATTACAGGCGTGAGCCTTTGGCTGGCCAGCCTGCCTTTTTGCTGATTATTTTGAAGCTGGAATCTCACAGACTTTTCTGTCCTTGAACTGCAGTTTTCTGGATCTCCTGAGTAGCTAGGATTACAGGAGTGAGCCACTGGTGATTGGCTCATAATTATTTCCTGAGAATACTGTGTGTATGTCTTTGGTACCTGGAAGTTGCTGGCTTGCTGTGTTCTTGCTAGAGTCTGGCGAGATGCAGTGCAGCGTCCATGTTAGCACAGTGTATAGGATGTTGCTGACAGTTCCTTTCCCAAGCTGGTGAATGTCTCCTTTGCCCTGCACGGTGGGGCAGGAAGTAGGAGGCATTCCTCTGGCGTCCTGGACTGCTATTTGCCACCCACACTCTAGTTCTGTGGAGCACTGTTGGGGTGTTTTCTCTCCTCTCCTGGAGTGACATGGCAGCACAAGGGTGGCACTGCCAGCAGTGGGGGCATGGACACCTCCACCTGGAATCCTCGAAGAGAAGAGTCCTTGCATGAGCTAGAATCAAAGTAGGTTCTTTCCAGAGTGGCAGCTCCCCCCCCCCCCCCTTTCATTCTTGGCCTCGTGCCATAGTGTCTCCATTTCTGTCTCAGGCTTGTATTTGGCTTCTCCCTAACCAGCCAGCTGACTCATTCCCCTCATGAGTGAATGGGCTCACATGATTTTCTGTGGATGACAAGCTTTAGATTTGTGGGATTAGAGACACATATGGTTGCTTTCACTGAACACCAGCTAGCCTGCAGAGATAACCTCCTTTTCTTTTCTGTGCCTTCTGTGGGAATGTGGCCTTCACTGCGGTTCTGCATGCCAGTCTCCTCACTTATCAGGGATTCCTTTGGATTGGGGAAGTTTGTTGGGTGGTGGGAGATGGCTTTGTGGGTTTGGCAGGCCGGAGTTTACATGCTGTGAAGCTGTGCAGAACTATAAAGTTGTTAGATAGGCCCTTCTAGCTCTCTGAGAAATCTCTGGAATCAGGCCCGAGGAAAAGGTCAGTAAGCTAAAGCCTGCCTGCGGATTTGATAGCATCTTCGTAAGAAAAACTTGAAAGCTAACTATTAAGCAGTTAAATTTTGTACTTAGTCTGGCTTATGCATGGCATCAAACCCAAAAGAGAAAATTTTAGGAAGTGTTTCCATGGAAATAAAGGCAACTACTTGGAAATGGTTGCCGGAACATGGATTTTGAGAGTATTCCTTAGGGTATCTTAAAACAGGTCATTTAATCAGTGATTTTCTTTCTCTTGGTAAGTGGAGCCTTTTACTTCTGGGTGCATCTTTGGGCTTGAATGCTCTGTTTCACAATGAGGCAAAGGTTTTCATGTACAGGGTCTCATGACACTAATGAGTTCCTTGACACATTAAGAGAGCCATTTGTCCATAGACACGGCCATAAATTAGAGTGCATTTTCTTGAGTAGATTCTGACTAAGCTGGTGCTTTGTACCTGGCATTTTCTGAAGCCTTGGTTAGGGCTGTCTCCAGGCCGGAGGCCCTGTTTCAGGGAGGGGTCAGGCCAGATAGCAGTGTGTGGTACCACGTGGCATGTCCGTGCTATGAAGAAATGGAAGGCCGAGAAGGGCCACAAAGCGGTCTCAGAAAATGCCTTACTAGGTGGAGACATTTTGTTTGAGGCCCGAAGGACGTGAAGGAGGGATCCAGGCAACCTCCGTTCCTAGGGCGGGGCTGCAGTGGGAGGTTGCCAAGGCTGTGTGGGGTGAGCAGAGGGCAGAGGAGGAAGAGGCTTGAGTGTGGGGACGGGGGAGGGGACCAGACTGGCCTCCTTTCTATTCTCTGCAGAGTGGGAAGGTGCAAGGACAGGTGTGGGCCGATCTCTTTTGAAAGCTGAAGCCTGTGGTTGTAGAGACTGGGTGGAGGCTAAGGGTGTGGCCATGCTGTAGCCAGAGAGACTTGGAGCAGGCAGGAGGACTGGAGGTGGGGGGGGGGCTGGTGGAGGAGGGGGAAAGGGAGCCCAGGATGGAGTTTGAAATCAGGACTGCGGGGACTTGCCAGTAGGTACGTGTAGCATCTAAGAAAGGGGGGCTATGCCAGAGCTCACAGTCTTTGCCTGAGAATCTGATTGAATGCTTGTCCCGTTTGCTGACGTGGGGAACACTGGAGTGAGAGCGTGTTTGGGGGAGAAATCAGAGTCCAGTTTTAAATGTTAAACCTGAATTGTGTGTCTGAGAGTGATGGTGGTTACACTTAATGACAGCAGAGCCACCTGTAGTGTACATCAGCCCTGAGAAACCATGAAGCTCATCCTCTCCTTCTGATACATGGGGAAACTGAGGTAGTTTGCTCATCCAACGTTGCTCAGCAACGGAGCTTGAGCCTGAGCACCCTGTCTCGAGTCTGTGCTCACAAACGCAGCTGTTCTGTTGGTTCCGCAAGGCAGGAGTTACAGGGAAAGGTGAGAGCTAGAGTTCTTGGGCTGGGGTCACCAGTAGGGATTTAGGCTACATTCCACCGGACACCAAAGGGTACGTAGACAAGGGGGTGAGGTGTCCTGGGCCTGCTGTGGAGACCTGTGTTTAGCGAGCCAGAGGGATGCTGAGGAATGTTTGAGAAAGAACCTGCTGCGAGGCACTGCTGGGGGGTCCAGGACGCAAGGGGCAGAGCTAGCTGTCCAAGGCAGGCCATGGTTGGAAACATGGCGGGTTCTTCAGACCAGATAAGGCTTGGAAGACTGAATTATAAGCCTCATCTGGCAGCTGTCAAAGTCCCCTGGCAGGTGTGGCCTTGATGGGGAAGAGACAGACACCCATCTGCTAGCATTCAGGAGGGCACTAGGGAGAGCAGGGAGTGAGGAAGAAGGGTTGGTGCATAGGGATGGATCAAGGAATTGAGCTGAAAGTTGCACAGATGTGAGGGTAGCAGTGGGGGATTCAGAGACAAGCATGGTGGTAGGTATTGTACTGGGAGAGGTGGTGAGAGGGAGAGGCGGGAAGAGGGGTGGTGCCCTGAGGAGGCAGGGGCAGAAGCGCAGCTTCGAGTAGGTGAGAACAGCACTAGAAACCACAGAGGATGGCACCCTTGTCCACCCTTTTCACGGGTCCTTCGTCCTCGGCACCATGGCCTGGAAGGCCACGGGAACGGAGCCCAGCGCTGTGTGGTATCGGCCTCAAGCTTGTCTGACCACGAGTCCCAGGGTGTGCGATGAAGGAAGGTTCTCTCTTCTCCTTCCCTCCCAGGTTCCATGCTATGCATTCGACGCTGAGTTGAAGAAACACGATTTAAACCCTCTGATCAAGCTGAGCGGAGGCTACCTGGTGGATGACTCTGATCCCGACACTTCCCTGTTCATCAACGTGTGTAGAGACATAGGTGAGCGTGATGGGTGAGGGGCACGGAGGGCTGCCCTTCCTCTCCCGTCTTTGTTCTGTGTGGAAAGCCGTGTTACTGATTAGGTCGAACTTATTTCTAAATAGTTACAATAATAAATATACCCCTAAATGGCTCCCCAAACTAGCCAGAGATGAACTTCACTTAGATTTTTTGTGTGGTCCCTTTGTCAGGGACAGCCTTTGCCCTTCATTTTCAGTGGGTCAGTCATTCAAGGTTGGTGTTAAAGTTGAGTTCTCGTGGAATATTGACTTCTGAAACAGGCTGTTTTGATTTGGAAAACATTTAGATTTCTGGTCTTTTATCCTCCTGAAGATTATCTGAACTCACTGGCCATTGTCTTACAAACATTACTTTTTCTTTCCCATGAGTAGCAGTTTTGGTTGAATTTGCTGCATTGGTTCTCAGAGTAGTGTTGATCTCCCTGGCTCCCCATTTTGTATTCACATCCTCTGCCCTGAAGTGACCTTGGATGTGACCCTGCTGCTTTCGTGGACAGAGAGATGTATGGCCAGGTGTCCATCTTTTGTTTGCAAGCACATGCCTTTCCTTTGCCTTTGGGAACCCAGGCGGTGTGACCCTGAGGGCCTGGGCGCAGTGGCACTGGGAGAGGAACCAAGGGGCCATCACGTGGCCCTTGGACTCTGCCGTGGGCCACAGGTTTGCTGCCCTGCTTGTTGGCAGGTGACCCCCATGGCAGGAGGCAGGGGCATCCTCTCCCTCTGCCCGGGAAGCGGTGGCTAACCCCCACCCACAGGAGAGTTTCACCACTTCTGTGGCTGGGCATGTTTTGAGGTTCTGGATACTTTTGTGGAGCATATGGATAGGTAGGAGGAGGTATGGAGTGAGCCAGCCAGGTAGCCTGTGCATTAAGATGTAAGAGTCGGGAAACACAGCTGCACTTGCCATAGCTGCCTGCTGTGGTTTGAAAGGTCTAGTGTATTCAGGATGCATTACTGTGTTTCTGTCCTCTCCTCCAGCCTGTGAAAGCACACACCAGCCACTGTATCGGTGTACGGCTAGACAAGAAGAATAAGAGGGAGAGAGGGAGGGAGACAGAGAGTGGGAGCAAGATAGGCTAGACCAAAGTGAGTAGAAGAGGCTAGAACAAAGTTAGAGAGAGAGAGAGAGAGAGAGAGAGAGAGAGAGAGAGAAAGAGAGAGAGAGTGTGTGTGTGTGTGTGTATGTATGTATGTATGTGTCTGTGTCCCTGTCTGTGTCTGTGTCTGATCTGTCCACTAGGGCCTATCATGGTCAGGCAGAGCAGTACTTCACATTTCCTCACCAATGCTTTAGAAGGGCTCACCTGGGCCTCTGGGTGGGGGTTGTGCACTTAACTGACTAAAAATCCAGTCATTTGTTTGGCAAGACCCTGGACCTCAGGATACACGTGGGGACTGTATCTGACACATCTGCTTGAATGTCACCTGCGATGTTTTCCAGACTCCCTCCGGGGCTCGAGCCCACAGCTGCGTGCCTGTCCTACTGGTGCTGCTGCCTGCCTGCTGAGAGGAAATGAGGGGTTTGACGTGGGCCAGCCCAAGGATGGGCTGAAGCTGGTGAGCAAGGACAGGTCAGTCATCGACCTCCACTGTGGTTTGCATTTTCAGTCAACAAGGGGCTGGTTTAGGGACAAGGAAGGGGCTGGGAGCCGGAGGACGGTGGGAGTGACTGGAGTCCGTGTGAATAGAATCTGTGTTATATGCAGGGATGAAGATCTTACAGTGAAGCCAATTGCTTGCATAATTGACACATGCTAATAAAAATGGTTAAACTGACTTGTAGAGAAGAGCTTGGGGTCAGTCTGTGAACTTGCTTCTTCCCATATGCTTTTTTAAGGCCATCGGTGACAACTGAGTCTCATCAGACTTTTCTTGTTGCTCACTTTCTAGTCCTATGGTACTCGTGGGAGTAAATGCAGACAGTGGTCTAGGCCACATCCCAGGCCTCTGTTTGCTTTAGGAGGTCATGTCCCCTCAGGGGGCTTCTCATGGTTTTCATTCCCTAGGACCAGTCATGTCCTCCATAGAGGGCAGGAAACAGGACTGGCAGTGTGCTGGTTGTCCTCCAGGACAACCTTGCGCTTAGGTCCAGGGCACGAGCACCCCAGTTCCCAGTGGAGAGCGGTTGCTTCTTTGACAGCTTTGTGCCTCCTCTGGCAAGAAGAAGGTTTCTTTTGTTATGTGTAGGTGATCATGTTCTGAACAGGTTTCCTCTTCTCCCTCCTGGGGCCTCTCATAGGCCTTGTTTTGCTTGGCTGTGGTCTGGAGCTGTTGCTGTGTTGGGGAGGCGTGAGGACTGATGTGCAGTGCGCATTGCTGTTTTGTCTGCAGAGGACACTGCAGCATGGCCTAAGTTAAAAATGCTGGAATTTTCTATATACCCATCCATATTAATTTGCTCAAGCTGACAGGAAAATATTGCATACTGTGGGGCTTAAGCCACAGAACTTTTATTTCCTCACTGTCAGGTCACAAAAGTCTGAGGCAAGGTGTCAGCTGGGTTGCTTTCTCCTGTGGCCTGTCCCGGGTCTTGTCTCTTGTCTTCCTTTGTGTCCTTGCGTAGTCTTCCCCTGTGTGTGCTGTCATGTCTTCTTGTTAGAAAGACACCAGAATTGTTGGTATAGAACCCACTTGTCTAACTTTCTTTTTACTCTTAGAGTCCCCGACCCTTCGGGGCCACTGCTGCAGCATGTGGACCATGAGGCCGAGTGTTGGGAGTGACAGGCCAATGACTCAGATCTGGGCAGGCTGCCGAGGTTCTAGAGAAATGTGGGCCATGAAATGTGGGCAGCAATGTGTGCTGGACGGGGAGAAGAGGCAGGGCATCTATTTTTAGCACTTGTGTTTTGGTGCATGGGATGCTGGGCATATCCACAGCAAAGGCAGGGGCCCTCTGACCGGTGCTGACCATCCTGGCAGGCCCTCGCCGGAGATCTCTGGGTGCTCAGGAGAGCCTGGCTGGTGCTGCTGGGCCGGCTGCTTGCACCCTATGAGCAAACTTTTTGGCTTGCACAAAGTTGTTGTTTCAAGAGGAAAAGATTGCAGCCTTGGGGACAGTAGTGCCCTTGGCCTGCTCTGCTCTGCTCTGCTCTGCTTTGCTCTCTCGGCTTTATGTCATTTATGAAAGTATTCATTTGAAAGCTCAAGCAGCTCCCCTTAGTCTTTTAAGTATTTTCAGTTTATACTCTGGCCATTTTATTTGACTTTTAACAATAGGTTGCTTTTAAGCTGTTTTCTGGAATGGAAATGGAAGTTGTTCTGTGCTGTCGCTGCTATAGTTTGTTTCTTTTGTCCTCTCCTGCGTCCCCATGCAGTAAGTGCTCAGGATAGGATGTTAATTGGAGCCTGCTGTATGTGTTTGTGATTCTCTCTGTGTACGGCTCCCACAGGCTTGTCCTGAGCTATGTAAGGGAAGAGCCAGGGCAGCTGGACTTCTGTGATGGCCACAGCCCCGCGGTGACGATCACGTTTGTGTGCCCGTCTGAGCGGAGGGAGGTGAGTGCTTTCCTCAGGGTGGCGGCAAAGCTGTAAGCTCAGCCCGAATCCCTCGTGTGACACACATCCGTGTTTTGGGCGGGCGGGCGGGCAGGCGCGGGGCGGGGCTTGGGATAATCCCAAGGGCCTGGGGCTTGGTGGGAAGATGAAGCAAGCTTCCTGGAGAGCTCTGATCTCGGGCTCACTATGAGAGCTGCTTGCTTCACACTAGGTAGTGTGTGTGTGTATGTGTGTGTATTCTAGACAGTATTCTGTCTCACTGTAGACCCATGGTGGGCTAGAACTCAGGATTGTCCTGACTGATCTTCCAAGGGCTTGGATTACAGGCATGTACCACCAGTGCTGGCTGACCATGTACATGGGGTAGGAGGCATACCAAGGAAAGAAGGGACATGGTTTCTCTGGGAGACATCTGTGACCCCTTTCTAAGACTGGCCAGGTGTCAGTTACGTGGTGCCTGCCCTCAAAGCTGCTCTGAGCTGGGCATGGTGGTACAAGTCTTTAACCCTAGCACTCTGGAGACGTTAAGAATTCAAGGATAGTCTGAGTAGCTTAATAAAACTCTACCTAAAAAAAAAAAAACAAAAACAAAACAACCCCATAACACTATACAAACCACAAAACAGAACGGGATAAAGCTGTTGTGGGTGAAGACACATTTAGTCATAAGCCTTCACTCCTCCATCTTGTGGCTTTTGCAGTTGAGGCTTTTGGTGCTTGCCCTTGGGGTGAGTCCTGGAGGGCGCTGGGAGGCTCTCAGTTCGGGAGAAGACCGCAGTGGTTCTCTCGGGCTGCCTGTGGGGTCATGATTCTCTGTGACCCTCACGTCAGGATACCTGCACTGGCTGAAGTGTGAGTGTTGCTATGTAGCGAGTTGAAAGTAGATGGAGTCGTTCTAAGTCAGATGGAAAAAAAATTAAAGTTAAAATACGATAGAAGTTTTAAAAGAGGTAAAAGTAAGTTTCTATAAGTCATTTAATCATTGTGTCAAGTTTGATTCAAAAACCAAGAACAGAAAAATAAAAAAACCTAATCTGTCGGTGAGCTTTCCAAAGCATTGGGCACGTGCATTTAAGATGTTGTTTAGAACTCTTTGTCCACTCCTTTTGCTGCTGGTAGGGCACCATTCCCAAGCTCACTGCCAAGTCCAATTGCCGCTACGAGGTTGAGTGGATCACCGAGTACGCCTGCCACCGAGACTACCTGGAGAGCGGAACCTGCCTCCTGAACAGCGAGCAGCACGACATCGCCATCGACCTCAGACCCCTTGCCCAGCAGACCGGTGCGTGGTCCCTGCTCTGCCTTGCTTCCGGCTGGGAGAGGCAGGGCCTCACTGGACTGGCAGACAGGGGTCAGGTTTGCCTTCAGGAGTGCCACGCTGTGTGTGCCTGTCCATGGAAGCCAGCTCTTCTTATGTCTCACATCTGTAGGGTACTATGTTGCGGATGGAAAAGAATACACATTTTACATGAGTGTGTGTGGAAACGCTGACGTCCAGATCTGCAATAACAAAGAGGCTGCAGTTTGCCAAGTGAAGAAGACTGATTCTACTCAAGTCAAAATATCAGGAAGACACCAGAACCAGACCCTCCGGTGTGTAAGCCCTGCCTCGTGGTTGTCACTTGTGTTGTGTGTGCAAAATTCCTCCTTCGGCTCTCTGAGCACCGGGAAGTTCGGGCCAGCACTCCTTCCGGTATGACTTGGGCAAGCTGACATTTGTTCCTAAACAGCTGGATGCTTTTCCTGGTTTTATAAGAATGGGTCTGTTAGAACCATTGATTTTATAAGTCTATTGTTTGTAGGGAACTATGCCGTAGGAAATTTATGTAGTTTACAGTTGACATACTCTTGTATTTTTTCCCCCAAGGCCTATTTATTTATTTAGCTGCTGGTACTGGAGCTTAAAGTCAGGGCCTCATGCTTGTCTTTTTCCATGCATGGATGGTACTTTAAGTTCTTGTATTTAAAGCTTATGTTTGTGAGGAATCTTGATTTTCTTTGGGCATTTTGAGAACCTGAAACCCTGTTAGCTATATATACAAGTTGAAAATAGCTCCTCAGTGCAGTTCTTGTGACCCTAACTTGTTAATTCCATCAGAGAGCATTGTAGAGGTTTATTGTTGTCCAGGACCGTTGAGGTAGGAGGTGCTCTGGACAGCTGCTAGAAGGGATGTCTGGTTCCACGGCATTTGTTTACTTTGTATGAAATCCCAAACTGAGAGCAGGAGCGCCCTCCTCCTGGCCGTGCTCTGCCGGCACTCTGGATGACGGCGCTGGACATTGGAGACGTTTCCTTACAACATTTGCCCAGCTACCTTGAGAGTTTGCTGTTTCGTGCCAGCATGCAGAAGGGTTCATAAGCAGTTTGTAAAACTTGAAGTTTCTATCTTGGTTCAACAAACTCCATTTGTATGTATATGCACACAAATCTAGGTACTCAGATGGAGACCTCACCTTGATATATTTTGGAGGTGATGAATGCAGCTCTGGCTTTCAGCGGATGAGTGTCATAAACTTCGAGTGCAATAAGACTGCAGGTGAGTGTGTGCTGGACCTGAACCCCTATACTCTGTGTTGAGGGGTGTGTGTGTGTGTGTGTGTGTGCTTGCGTGTATGCGCATTTTATTGACAGCAGAATGCAGAATGAAGCAGTCTGATGTTCTCCTTTGGACTTGGCCATCTCTAGTCCTTAGACTGAGTTTTTCTTTTGGCATAAGAGCTCCTCCCTCGCCCTCACCCCTCCCACAGCACATACATCTTGTTTCTATTTTCCTCTGCTGTGTGTTTGTCTTGGGAACAGGTCTAGCCCTGCTAGCTAGGAGAGTTTCTGCCTTGAATTCTTCTGCACAGCTCCAGCCAGGGCAGATCTGGCAGAGGCGACTTTGCTTCTCTGGTGTACCTTCCTTCATGCCGTCATTTAATTTCCTTCTCTCCCCTCTCTTTTCCTCCCTCCCTCTCTCCTCCTTCCTCCTCCCTTTCCTCTCATTCCTCTCTCCTCTCTCCTATCTTTCCTTCTCTCCCATCTTTCCTTCTCTCCCTCCCTCCCCCCCTTTCATTTTACAAGAAAGAAGTTTATGGCTCATGAGGCTGGTGGCTTTAGGCCCCGTGTGGTGCAGCAGCGACCCGGCCAGGGTTTGCTGTATGCCATGATTTTTGAACTAACCTGTTTTTGCAAAGTGATGGCTCTGTTTAGACTTGAGGGTTGCAAGATGTCCTGGGAAATGCTGATTGAAGACATGGTGACTAGAAGTGGCTCTGAGGCATCAAGGTACTTGCTTGAAGATTTCCCACACACATGGCCACTGTAGAGAGGCGACTGGGTTCCTTGGCACCAGAAACCTGCTCTGTTCCTGGGCCCCAGGCTGTGCCCTGGCCCTGCTGATGTGCTTCTGAAGGCCTCTCCTTGGGAGCTTTCAGCCTTGTCTGTGTTCCATGGGGCTCAGGCACAGGCGGCTGCCTCTCCTGAGGGTCTCTCTGGAGCTGCTGTTTGTTTTGTGTGTTTCTCTGGCAGAGCTTGGGCAGTTTGGTCTTTCCTACACAACTCATTGTGATCTGGGAGAGGCCGTATGACTGCACCAAGCGCAGAATGGGCTGAGGCAGCTCAGCCAGAGTCGGGGTACCCACGGGCTACGTGCTACCTTGCAGGCTCTGGTTGGCAGTTGGCAGGGTCTGCTGGTACTGCTCAGTCCTCAGGGCTGCCTCTGTCTTTGGAGCTGGTGGCCTGGCTCTTCCTTATCACTCTCTCATCTACGTTTTTTTAGTACCTGTTTGCTAAGGCCCTGAGGGGTTGTGGAGGCAGATGGCCTTCAGGCATTCTGTAAACAGATAGGAGATAAGACTGTGGTGGCTGAAGCTTTTGCTCTGTGTTGCCCTTTACCCAGAGGGAGGCCTGAGGTCAGTAGGCTGGCTGCGGGGCAGCCCAAAGGAGCAGCTAGCCAGGTGCCTGGCTGGTTGCAGGGGCCAGGTCCAGGCTTCAAAGGCATAGACTTGGGTAGCTGGGAGCAGGTCAGGGATTGGCTGATAAGACAAGGCTGAGTGTGAGCCTGCAAAGCTGAGTGGAGCAGTGTGGAGAAGCTTGTGTCAGCGTTGGAACTGGCTCTGTCTGGAAGTGGCATGAATTCCCAAGCATTCTCAGTCTGGGTGGCAAGTGCTCCCCTCCTTCGTTTGGTTGAAGTATACAGTCTCCTTCCTCGGGTTCTCCACCATTCTCCCTTAATGGGAGACCACCTCCAAATTCTGAGTTCTGCCTTCCTCACTCATGACCCAGTGGGCACTGCTGTTGGGCGCCGGGCGGGGACCCAGCCCTGCTAGACGTCTGCCAGGCTGCCACACTATCGGTTGGCTTCTGTGGTCTGAGCCCTGTTGTTTCATCCTGACCTGGGCCTGTCCTGGCTTCCTGTGGCCCTGTCTGCTGAGGGGTCTGCTAACAACTGGGCTGTGCCAGTCTCATCTCGGGGTTGGAAAACGGAATGGTGACTGACCCAGCGGCAGCAGAGGGATGAGGGGGACCTGACTGGAACATGAAGGAAACAGGAAGGCTGTGGACAGTGAACCATTACTCCCAGAAAGCTGTAGCCACCACTTAAGGTTTGACCCATTCCAGAGGTTGTTTTTCCTTTTCATTATGGAAGTTTCTAGACGTGTAGAGCAGTGGCATTTATATGGCCACTTCTCTTAACAAGCATTGTTTTCCCATGCTCACTTCCTGTACACCCTATGTCATCTATGGCTCGAGCCATAGATGTGACCTCGGCTCCCTTGCAGAACCTGATAAGCAATGAGTGTGTTACTGTGCTGGTCTCATTGTGGCTGGAAGAGACTCACCCAGAGAAAACGTCCATATGAATTTTTTTTTTTTTTTGGTTGGTCATGGGGACTGAACTCTGGGCCTGGGTGCTGTTCCTCAGCTCTTCAGCCCTAGGCTAATAATAGTATTTTACTTTTTTCTTTTTTGCCTGTCCTGGGGTTTAAACTCAGGGCCTGGGCACTGCCCCTGAGCTTCTTTTTTGCTCAAGGCTAGCACTCTACCACTTGAGCCACAGCATTACTTCTGGCGTTTTTCTGCATATGTGGTACTGAGGAATTAAACTCAGGGCTTCATGCATGCTAGGCAAGTACTCTACCACTAAAACACATTTCTCAGCCCTATTTTACTATTTTATTCAAGTTTAAATTTAGAATTTTCAGATGGAAGTTTTTTTTGGCAGAGTTTGTATTTATTGGGTAAGTGTACTAGTAGTGTGTTATTAAATATGAATGGGACACTGGCTCTGTGATAAACATAATGTAGTATATTAGAGTTGTATTTCAGACTCATACGTTGTCAAGACTCAAAGGTACATACATACATCATTTTGACCTTGATAGTTTTTTGCTGTTTGTTTCAATAATCTAGTTTGCTGTAAAGTATGGCCTTATTTTTCATGATCCTGTCCAATAAGAACTTGGGATAAATTTTGGGAACAGTAGAGTATATTAGGATAGGCTAATAGAAGAACCCACCCACAACTCCAGGTTGCTCGGAGCATGCATAGTGTGGGTTGCTGGGGCCGGAGTCTGGTGGGAGCTCCACCCCACGTGATTGTTCAAGGAATCATGCCTTTTCTGTACTTTTGTACTTCTATCAACCAAAGTCTATGCTGACTTGGAATAGCATTGTCTTTTAAACAATGGGGCAAGAATTGAATCATTTGACTTTACAGGCTGAGGAAGCTGGAAAGTGTACCTAGTAGCCGGGCGCTGGTGGCTCATGCCTGTAATCCTAGCTACTCAGGAGGCTGAGATCTGAGGATTGCGGTTCAAAGCCAGCCCGGGCAGGAAAGACCACGAGACTCCTATCTCCAATAAACCACCAGAAAACCGGAAGTGGCGCTGTAGCTCAAATGGTAGAGCGCTCGCCTTGAGCTGAAGAGCTGAGGGACAGCGCCCAGGCCCAGAGTTCAAGCCCCACGACCGACAAAAAAAAACAAAACAAAACAAAAACACAGTGTACCTAGCCAGAAAATGAGGTGATTTGGTCAAAAGCAGCATTGTCTTTGATACAGAGGACTGGAGGAATGAATGCTAGCCCCTGCTCCTTGGCAGAGAGCTCTGTGATTTCATTAGAAAAGTCCCTTCCTCTTTTGCTAGTCACGAGACCCAGAACATAGGAGCCCACGTACATGTGTACTGTCATAAAATGGAGCCTGGGAACCAGGCTGGTGTCTCTGGGACCGTGCATGAGGCAGAGATGGGGAAAAGCTCCCACTGGTCATGTTGATGAATGCACAAGACCCTCAGACTCCAGGAAGAAAGAGGACAGAGCCACCACACTTAAATGTTGGTGAGAGTGGCCTCATTCCATTCTGCTCAGCTCCTTTGAAGCCTAAGAAGACAGCATGTGTCCCTGCAGATGGTTTCGTTCAGGTGCAGAATCAGGTAAATTGGAAGAGTTCTAGAACTATTTCTGACTGCAGAACAATTGTAACATGAGCTTATCTGATAAAGAAACCCTGTGGATGCTTAGATTATAGAAACTAAGCTTTTCCATATTGTGATCTGCTTAGCTGGCTTAAGCTGTGAATCTCATACTGGATTCAACCATGGGGAAACTGAGGGCAAGTTGGAAAGAGACAAGGGACACAGCTACTGAGCTAGTACGGTGCAGAGGTCCCATCTAGAGAGAGCAGTACTGCTGAGCCATGGACTTTGCCCAGGAAAGGAAGCCAGAGTCATACTTCTCTTGAGGCTGAAGGTAGTTATGAAATACAAAACCAACCAGCCAACTGGAAACACATTAAAAAAAAAGAGATGCTCCCCCTCTCCCACCCTTACAATGGGGAGGTCTTGCCTTGTGGTTTTAAGCTTGGGCCTTGGACCACACCATAAGGGTTTGATTTTGGCTCCGCCTCCTTTCTCACCACAGGTGAGTTATTTAGCCACTCTAATTCCATATGGTGAGGCTAAAATCATCCTTATGCCTTTGGGCTTTGAGGATAATCTGCTAATAGGTGGAAGTTTCACGGTCTGTCTCAGCACAGCTGGCCTTGATATGGTTGAAAGCACCACTTAGCCGTTGTTAGAAAAGTTGTAGAATGCAGCGTTGAGTAGAAATTATAACTTTGCCCTTGGAACACAACCTTCTGCTTTCCTTAGATCATGAGACAGCTCAGGACACCAAACCTCACTGAGGAAAACAGACAGGTGAGAGGTCCAAAAAAGATGAGGAAACAGTTCAGGGTGGAAAAATGGGGATTCCTCTGCCCGTGGCCACCACTGGCAAGGCAAGGGTGGGGTGGGTTTCCAGGCAGTGAACTGTGCTGAATCTGGCTGCAGATCCGGCTTTGGGAAGGAGGAGAAGAGCTGCTGCCTGGCCCTGGTGAGCAGGTGGGGAGTCTGTGGGTGGTGCTGGAGGAGTAGCTGTTGATCCCGGTGACCAGGGACATTACAGCCCCGTGTACTGGTTGGGACACAGCCGTGTCTGTGGCCTGGCAGGTTTGGTATAACATTCTATTACAATTCAGCTGGAACTGCTGTAGGAGAGCTCTGTCTTGTCACCACTGTTGAAGGCCTGAGCCCCGGGAAACTTGGTCTTATTCACAATCATTTCATCAGTCCAGGACACTCTGGGAACTGGACCTCCAGTCTCACTCAGAGACCTTGTCGAGCCTCTTTTCTTGCAGTCTGGAGCAGCAGAGGTTGCTGTTGGCCACGTGCCTCTTGTTCTCTTAGCATCTCTTTGGTGCATTGTAAACAGCTTTCTGTGAGGCCGGCATGGTGCTGCTTTACCAAGATGAAAGGGATGTAGGCTTCCAGCCAGGGCTATGTGTGCATGTCTGGAGCTTGATGATCGCCACTCTAATCCCCGATCCTATGTCTCTAGGCATGAATGTTCACTGGACACATGGCATTGGGCCTGGTATTGGTTTCTTTCCTTGCTTCTCAGCCCTTCTGTTGGTTTGGGTCATGCACAAGTTCTTTTCCTCTCACATTGTTCAGGTAATGAAGGGAGAGGAGGACCTGTATTCACAGGGGAGGTAGACTGCACCTACTTCTTCACGTGGGACACGAAGTACGCCTGTGTCAAAGAGAAGGAAGACCTCCTCTGCGGTGCCAGTGACGGGAAGAAGCGCTATGACCTGTCTGTGCTGGCCCGCCACTCAGGTATCATATTACACCCTTACGTGCACCTTGCCCCGTGTTCATAGGACAGCTGCCCCTGAGTAGTTTAGTACTGTCACTGGTTATAGATGGCATCTAATTGTGTCATGGCCCTTTTTCTCTGCTCTCTTATGACAATACACATTGGAAGGAACACTGAACTGAGAGGTGTACTGAGACGCACATTGTCATTTTCTGATTGAGTTACCATGGCCCATCTTAGAGTTTAATGAGAACTTCCTGGACTTACTGGGTATCATTTCTTATGCTTTGTGTTTAGAAACTTAGGGGAAGCTATTGGTGCCCACACTGTCCTGTGGCATTTCTTCAGGCTTTCAGCATGGAGTAGCTGTGTAGTTCTCACTGGGTCAGCACTGGCCAGCTGCGGGTTTTTGCCGTCTGCATGCCCTGCCTGCAAACATGATTCAATAAGAATGTGCCTTTAGATCTCCGTGTCTTCCCTTACACACGGTTCCAGTCTGGCCACCCATGCCTGTTTGTAGGATGACACTTGTGCTTTTGTATCATCCCTTGCTTGTCGTCCCTGCATGTCCTTAGCCTATGGTATATATTCTCTTGATACCGATGAGTATCTGTTCTCTCCAGTGGGCCTTAGCCTTCTGCCATACATGCCCTGCTTACCTTCTGTGGCTCTAAGCCTGTGTTTTGCTCACAGCTGGCATGTGCCTAAGAAGCCATAGGTTTCTCAGCACAAGCCTTGGCTGGACCTGAAGCTCTGTGCCTTGAGCCACTGGCTTGGTGTTAAGACAGGGACTGGCTTTCTGATGTGGCTTTCGGTCTCTGATTTCATGCTGTGGGATCTGGGACACATAGTAAGTCTGTCAGGGCAGGGCTGGTTCCGGTCGCCCTCAGTGAAGAAGCTGGGACTTTGTCACTCTGTCTTTAGGCCTTTTCAGAAACTCGGGTGCCAGGATTTCCTGGTCGAGGGCTCAGGATCTTTGGCTCGGTCACCACTTATAGTGTGACCCACAGGGAAAGAACTCATTGTTAAAGAACTTCTATTTCTGGTTACAGAATCAGAGCAGAACTGGGAGGCTGTGGATGGAAGCCAGACAGAAACAGAAAAGAAGTATTTTTTCATTAATGTCTGTCACCGAGTGCTGCAGGAGGGCAAGGCCAGAAGCTGTCCCGAGGATGCGGCAGTGTGCGCCGTGGGTGAGTTGTAGCCGGAGGCAGGCGGGAATGACCCTGTCCCCAAGGCAGGGGAGGGTGGAGTCCGCCTTCTCTGTGGAGTGACTTAGGGAGCCTCCTGTGGTTCTGGGCCTCCTTTTTCTGGATTCGCACAAATTGTCCATGGCTGCTGTTATCGTCTGTGATCCTAAGGTTGACCAGGGCCACCTGATGTTGGCCGCAGCCATAACTGGGGACAGAAAGAACCATGCTGGAAGACACACGACCGGTGGCCAGTGCCTGTGTAAAGTTAGCTTTTAGCAGAAGCTGTGCCATTGTTTTGGTCCTGTAGCTGTGACATAGAGGCAGCTCAGGCTGAGAGAGGGTCAGTGGCTTTGTCATTCATCACCCTGAAGATGCCAGGTGGTGAGAATCTACTAGAAACATTTGAGAAAGAATTATGAGGCCTTGATGGGTTTGAGGAATTACCTCTGTTTAGAACCAGTGGTACATTCTTTAAAAGCAGGTACCAGCATGGCACGTGTTAAGAAGGGAATTTGGAAAGCAACTGAATCAAGAATTCAGTGGCCATCTGTGTGGATCATCAGACAGGTTTAGTAAGTTTCTGCTTCATCAAGAACAAAACCCAACCTTTGCTGTGCTCCCCTAAGGTTGACCAGGCCCACCTGATGTTGGCCAAGGCCCAGAGATAGGTCTCATATGTCCTTGGAGTTCTTATGTCACTGTTAACTACCCAAGGAAAACTGCTTCTGTCACAGCCAGGTTAGGTGGGCAGGAGAAGGAGCCATGATGCACCTGCTGGGTTTTGTCTCATTTGTAGTTCTTTGTTCATGTCATGATGAGTTTTCCCTCCGTGTCTTCCACCACCCATGCCCCCTCCCCACTTTGTTGCTTTTTCCAGATAAGACTGGAAGTAAAAACCTGGGAAAATTTGTCTCTTCTCCTACAAAAGAGAAAGGAAACATGCGGCTCTCTTATTCAGATGGTGATGAGTGTGCTGATGGCAAAAAAATAACAACCAACATCACGCTTGTGTGCAAGCCAGGTAAACGTTACAGAAGAACGCCGTGTGACGGTGACTCCCGCCAGGCACACGAGGTCACTGCTCCTTCCTATTTCTCAGCCCCCCACGCATCCACACAGAGATGAGTGCATAGGGAGCAGCAGGGCGCAGCACTTCAGGCTCTAGAGGCAGGTCAGTTGGACTTGTGCCCACAGATGGAGAAGCCATATGGAATCAACAGGGAGTTATGCTTTACCAAGCAAAGTCGCGTATCTCACACACGGTGTTCTGTTCTTAGGACTGATACAGAATCAGTAGCGCAGGGAAATCATAGATTGTGTTTTTGATTTGGCCTTTAACATCTGTTTACACATTTATTCGACTACAGAAATATTTTCTAATATCTGGTGACACAAAGTAAACTGCTTTCTCAAGATCTGTAGACTCCAGACTGTAAACTAGGCGTGAAGCACGAATTAGCCTCAGAAAAGTATTTAGCAGCACAAGCTCCGACTATTAAACTTTAATTGGTACCTGGGAATGTCATGCTTTAAATCCCAAATAAGGAAATAAAAACAACAGAAAACAAAACACCACCCTCAATTTGTTTGTTTTGATATCTGGAGTTTTAACAGAGAAATCAAGAATGTAAACAACCAATACTATTGTAAATTACTGTTTGTCAAGAGAGTTTATGTCCAGTATTACATGAAAATAGCTGTGTGGAGGAAGAGACCCATTTTGCAGAAAACACAATTTCCCCAGGATCACAGTAGAAAAAAGCATTATGTAGTATTCATAGATTTAAAAAAAATACGATCCCTGGTTTTACCTCTGTGCGTGCTTTCACCTTTCTTTAGGAGTATTCTTGTTTCTACTGGGTCATGGTCTCGCTTTCATTCTCTCATTTTAATACTCCTTGTAATGTTATGCTTCATGAGCACTGTGCTTCACAGTTCTATTTCTAGTTGTTAGGGATTTTCTTGTTGACATGGTATAGCTGTACTGTGTTTAAATGTTTTCCCTATTGTTGGATTGGTAACGTTTCCAGGATTGGGAATTCTAACTGCATATCCTCTCTCCACTTCCCACTCAACTATTTCCTTTAAATACATTCCCAGCTGTGGGAGAAGCCAAAGGTTGGGACTATTTTTACTTGTTCGTTGTATTGTGGTTAAGTATACAGAGCATAACATTTACCATTTTAATCACTTTTTAAAACTGTGGGAAAGTATTTATTACAGAAATTTGCCATCCTAATCATCATATTCAAGTGTAGTTTGGTGACTTTAAGTACATCATTCCCTTTCTTTTGCACCCACCACCATTATGTATCTCTACAACTTGTCTTTCCAAATTGGTACTTGGTGCCTATTAAATGCTCTACCCCCCCACCCCCGATGCTGGCAGCCTCCAGCTGCCTTCTGCCTATGAATCCAGGCGCTCAGGCGCCTCCTGTCGCCTGAATGACCCTCCGTGTGTCACACCCCCTTCCAGCCATCCTCAAGTGGATGAATGTAACAGAGCAAGAGGAAGGGAAGGTTTTTCAGAACAGATTAGTGACTGGTTTTTTTCCCCCTCATCTGCAGGTGATCTAGAAAGTGCTCCAGTGTTGAGGACTTCGGAGGATAGTGGTTGCTTTTACGAGTTCGAGTGGTACACCGCTGCTGCCTGTGTACGGTCGAAGACAGAAGGCGAGAACTGCACGGTTGTGGATGCCCAGGCAGGTGGGTGTGTGTGTAGTGCCTCTGCAGTGCCTTAGATCAACAGAGGGTTTTTTCCCTAAACGCTTTCTGTGAGTGCCTTAGTGAGGTAGATAATGCTGTTAATTCCAAACACCTAGTGTTTATTAAAGATCTATTAAAGATCCCATTTTCAATGCATGTGTGATTGGATATGCCAGAACACTACCCAAGGGTTTGACTCATGCTTGAAAGGCTCTGGCCCTTAGCCCAGAAACGTACTTAGCCTTTACAAGAAGGCTGTTGGACAGTGCTTATCTGACTTACACGTATGGGAAGTTTATGGGGTTTTGAGTAGGGCTGCAGGTTAATGGAGTAGAATACAGGACTGTGGTGTTGACTCCCTCTTCAGGGGAAATGCTAGTCGCTGCCCCCGTGGGCGGGAGGTGGGGGGTGGGAGGGAGTGTCGACTTCTTCCCTTTCAGTGTCTCCTGCCCTAGGAAGAATTGACTGAGTTTTGACTGGCCTTATATTCTTGTGTTATTTTTATTCTTAGGGTTTTCTTTTGATTTGTCACCTCTCACAAAGAAAAATGGTGCCTACAGAGTTGACACAGAGAAATACGACTTCTATATAAATGTTTGTGGTGCGGTGTCTGAGGAGTCATGTCAGGCAGACTCTGGGGCCTGCCAGGTGGCCAAAAGGCAAGTGACTTCTCACTGTGAGTTTGGTCTTCAGCATGTGCTCCCATGTATTTCATTCAGGGGTAGCTATGTTCTCTCCTAACATCATGGCTAACACTGAAAAGACATAGCTAGAAAATTTCAGGATGCCAGGAGCTTAACTTCCTGGAGAAGAAGCAAACCATGTGCTCGAGAGCGAGGGAGTGGTCAGGGTTCTCCACTTCCGTGTTTTGTGCTTTTCAGTTCTTGAGTGTTCATGTATTTGTTCAGCTGTATAGCATCAGGTTAATAAAAGTGAGTCGTTTGTGAAGCCAGCAGTGTGGGGAGAAGGTTTGGGTCCTGGCGGCGAGTGCAGAAAGCCCTCTTCCCCTGCAGTTAGAGATCTTTCTATGGGATCCCTATGGGCTGTAGCCCAGGTCTTGGCCATTTATGGGTGCATCCCCATGACCCCCCAACTTAGTGGCGCTTCTCGCCACATGCATCCTTGGAGAGCTTCGCACTGGGGGTTTCCTGAGAGACCGCTGTGTGATATTTCAGTGATAGGAAATCTTGGAACTTGGGGCTGAGCAATGCGAAGCTTTCGTACTATGATGGGATGATCCAGTTGAACTACAGGGATGGCACCCCCTATAACAACGAAAAGCACACACCGAGAGCCACGCTCATCACTTTCCTTTGTGACCGCGATGCTGGAGTGGGCTTTCCCGAATATCAGGTAGGGATGGGACAGCACGGTTTCACCCGGGCGTAGACGGGCTTGGTGTGGAACCCTTATTTAGAAGCAGAGCTATGCTTAGTCTGATTGTTTTTTGTTTTTTTGTTGGTGAGGGGACAAATCATTACCTTACTTATTCCACTTAGTTTTTCCGGGGTGTATGTGCAGTGCTCATTTGTTACTGTTACGCTGTTATTTGAAGGGCTGTACACCTCTGTGGAGTCCACAGACCTGTTGATACTGGCTGCAAAATAAAAGCATAGAAAATTATCTTCTATTTTCACCTAATCAAGACCACATTGCCATCTGAATTCGTTTTCAGTACAGTGAGAGGAAATGGAGAGAGTAAACCTCCTGTCAGGCAATTCTCATCTAACATGATGTCTTTGTTCCTTTTTGAATGCTGTTTCTTTTTCTTTTTCTTTTTTTTTTTTTTTTGGTCGGTCATGGGGCTTGAACTCTGGGCTTGGGCGCTGTCCCTGAGCTCTTCAGCTCAAGGCGAGTGCTCTACCGCTTGAGCCACAGCGCCACTTCCGGTTTTTCTAGTGGTTTATTGGAGATAAGAGTCTCACAGACTTTCCTGCCCGGGCTGGCTTTGAACCGTGATTCTCAGATCTCAGCCTCCTGAGTAGCTAGGATTATAGACGTGAGCCACTGGCGCCTGGCTTGGATGCTGTTTCTTTTCTTTCTTTTTTTTTTTTTAGCAGTTTCCTTTTTTCTCTGCTCTGTGTTAGCCAGCTCTCTGCCACTATTTTATATATAACACCTCTGCTTGAGGTAATCAATGCTTACAGAAGGTTGATTTGCCTCTGTGTTGGCGGCTTCATTCCGTGATTGGCTCTGGAGAGGCAGCACAGCAGGGCAGCACGTGATGGTGGAGAACTTTCCCTTCATGGCCAGGAAGGGCAGCAGAGAGCCGGGGAGAGGCTTGGGTCTCACTTGGCTCTGGAACACATCTCCAGTGACTTAAAGACCTCTCACCTCTGCTCCATCTCCTAAAGGCTCCACCCTGTCCCAGTGGCACTGAGAGGGAGACCAAGACTTTACTATGTGGGCCTCTGAGGGACACTCTGGATGCAGACTAACTAGCTCCACTTGTTCCTGTTTCTTCCTTGTCAAACTTAGGAAGAGGATAACTCTACCTACAACTTCCGGTGGTATACCAGTTATGCCTGCCCGGAGGAGCCCCTGGAGTGTGTGGTGACTGACCCATCCACTATGGAGCAATATGATCTCTCCAGGTGAGCAAAGTCAGCCGGTCCTGGTCCTTGGTGCGATGTGGTGGGCATGTGCTTGATATTGATGGGGGTTGCATTGGTGCTGGGAGAGCTGGGTCAGGATGGAGAGGTGGACAGAGAGGGCATCACAGGCCTGTGTGGCAGTGTTTGTGATAGCAACTGTTCTTTACCATGATGAGTCTTTGTCTGTACCTTCATTAAAACCATGGCTTGCTGCAAGGTGGGAGGGTGTGTGAAGGGCCAGTGTCCTGAGCACTTCTGTGATGTTTCCTACCTTGGTGCCTTTATTTCTTTACTGGTTACCAGTATGAAAAGTTAAAAGCATATTCTGCTTTGAAATTTTAGTCTCGTGAAATCTGAAGGCAGCCATGGAGGGAACTGGTATGCCATGGACAACGCCCGGGAACATGTCACATGGAGGAAGTATTACATCAACGTGTGTCGGCCCCTCAATCCTGTCCGGGGCTGTGACCGATATGCGTCAGCTTGCCAGATGAAGTACGAAAACGATCAGGTGAGTCTGCTCAGCGTTTATCTCTCCTTCCTGCCAGACACGTGGCTTTGTGGGTGGTGTGTGACCCTGTGAGCTTGGGGCCTCTGGGCACATACATCAGGCCAATGCAGCTGTGTATCACACTGGAGTCTGTTCAGATTTAGGATGGAAGGAAATACCACTGTGTCAGCCACTTAAGTAAAGAAGAAGGAGTTCTCAGTAATTACCTTAGCCCAAGTTTATCTGATGTGGCACATGGTGGTAGAAAAGTTTTTGCTTTCCAAAGCTCTTGTGGTTACTAGGGAAGAGTGGGTAGGAAGAGGTACTGTGGATGAGCTGCCTTTGAGTGTTAATGTCGTCTGGAGTGCTGAGCTATGTGCATCTCATCATCTGAACTTTGCCTGTGTCCTTATGGTGCCAGATCATGGTGAATCTTAAAAATGCACGTGTGCTCCAGAGTTGGCTTCTTAAAAATGGGTGCCAGGAATGTCTTATGTCTTGACACACGCGAATGGCACACTCTGGTGGCTCTGGACTGAGTTCTCCATGTGAGCGTCCACCTATGCATGTCATGGTGCAGCCATTCTCATTCAGTGCTGACACTAACTCCTGTAGACTCTAAATCAGTACACATACAGGCTTTCATAGTTATTCTTGCTTTGACATTTTCTGCTGTTGAAAACCATAAGTGGCCAGGATGCACATACCTAGTTGAACTGGAATCAGATGAAGCTCTGCCTCATACAGAAATGACCCGAGGGTGGGGTGGGGTGGGCACATCAAGAAGCTCCAGCTCTCTGGGGTCAGTTGGAGTAGGGTCTGAGTCCAAAGTTCTGGCACCTATTGGTGGCACAGCCTCAGGGAAGTCATTTCTCAGCCTCATTTTCCCTTTTATAAAATAAAGAAGATGGAATCTATTAGCATGCGTTGTTTTCAGGATTTAAGACTGATTTACATGAGCTCTGTGTACGTATTACATAGTTTGTTTAGGAGCACTGGTTCAGTATCTGTAAAACGCTAGTGATAACTTCATAGGATGTAACTACCAGACTAGACTGTAAGTTACATGAGCTGTGTCATACACTATACCATTGATGTCTGTGGATAGGAGATAGCTATTGAGGAAAAACCATGAATGCTCAGGATGATAAACTCAGAATTCTGAATTATTCAAATTTACCTGTACCCTATGTGTGTCTGATCAGTCATCACCTGAGCTGCATGAAGTTGGCTACATTATGGACACAGAATCACTGTAGCACACAATTACTACTGCTTACCAAACCTAGATCTTGGTTCTTGCTGTTGCTTATCTCAAATATAGCAGATGCCTAATTCAGTTTTCCTACAAAGCAGTCAACATCTGCCAAATACATACCGTGATTGTACATATCTGAACCTTTATTACTGAAATGTGTTACATGGTCTTTTTGGCTTGAGAGATTTGCCATAACTCTTACCTTGCTTTTTGGGCACTTTTTTTTTTCCCCGAGGTAAGGCAGATTTTCACAAAACGAGCAGCAAGGAAACTTAGCAGATCCTACAATTTCAGCACAGCTGGTGCTAATGTGGGACTGTCTGAGAGTGTCTGCCCATCACTGAGTTGTATAACACAGGAATTTAAAATTTTGGGTTTTGAATTTTTTATTGTCTTTGTTTGTTGTTCCTATAAAGGTGATACACAGAGGGGTTAGTTACGTAAGTCAGGTAAAGAGTGCATTTCTTTTTGGGCAGTGTCCCCCCTTTCTCCCCTCCCTGTTTTTCCCTCCTATCCCCACCCACAAGTTGTATATTTCATTTTCAACATAGTGTCCAGTGCATATCACTGCTGCATTTGTTTAGCCTTTGTCCCTCCATTTCTGTGCCCCCAGCCTTACCTTCCCAAAGACAGATACGTGAACAGGCAAGACAAAAAGAAAAAAAGCAGCAACAAAGAAAAAACTTCATTTTTATTTCCTGGAGTTCATTTTGATAAATGCTATTTTATATAATCAGATGCATGTAGGCATTGCACCCTTGTTTTCCTCTCCTAAGAATATGTCCACTTTTGATTTAAAATTTTTGTTGTTGTTGTTATTATTATTATTATTTTTGCCGGTCCTCGGCTTGAACTCTGGGCCTGGGCACTGCCCTTGAGCTCTTCAGCTCAAGGTGAGCACTCTACCACTTGAGCCACAGCGCCACTTCTGGCTTTTTCTGCTTATGTGGTGCTGAGGAATTGAACCCAGGGCCTCATGCATGCAAGGCAAGCGCTCTACCACTAAGCCACCTTCCCAGCCCTATTTTTTTTTTTTTTTGGTTGGTCGTGGGGCTTGAACTCTGGGCTTGGGTGCTGTCCCTGCGCTCTTCAGCTCAAGGGGAGCACTCTACCTCTTGAGCCACAGCGCCACTTCCTGATTTTTTTTTAACTATTATTTTTTTACCTCTCTTGGTCAGAACCATGAGCAATCCTTCTGTGAATGAGGTGGGTGATTGTGTGTTGCATGGGTCCCCTAGAAGCAGTGGTTTGGGATTCCATAACTCTTGTTGGCAGTGATGTCACCGGCTGTAATTACCATGAATAACAAATAGAATCTCTTAGCGGTGATGTCAGCTGTTTCCAGGCAAGCCTAACACACTGTGTTGCAGGGCTCCTTGACTGAAGTTGTGTCCATCAGTAACTTGGGAGTTGCAAAGACAGGCCCTGTGGTGGAAGAGAGCGGCAGCCTTCTCTTGGAGTACGTAAATGGCTCGGCCTGCACCACCAGCGATGGTCAGCTGACCACCTACAGCACCCGGATCCATCTTGTCTGTGGCCGAGGAAGCCTGGTAGGACACTGCCTGGATGGGTGGGATTGGTGCCCAGGCCTTTTGTTTTTGAGTCAGAATGTATAGGACAGATTGAGCATTTAGCCATGTTGGGGTTGTCAGGAATGTATTAAACACATCATCAGTGTTTTGTGTTCATCACTGGAATCCATGTTCAGAACATTAGTAATCATCCTTAACTCAGTCCCATTTTTACCAGGTTCATATTCAGGTCGTGTGTTTTGAATAGTTGTGAGATAGGTAAGCCCTAAGTGGGTGTGTTAGAAGGTGTAGGGGTCATCACAGCTGGTCATGTGGTAGACCTCAGCCACTGTTGTCTCTGAACTGGACTTGGGTTGCTTAGATTGTTCTTCTGCACTTCCCTTTCAGAACACCCACCCCATATTCACTTTCAACTGGGAGTGCGTGGTCAGTTTCCTGTGGAACACGGAGGCTGCCTGCCCCATCCAGATGATTACAGACACAGACCAGGTGTGTGAGTGTTGTCGCGAAGTTTCCCCGCAGGCCCGTCTCTTACCTGCCCCTGTTCCTGCCTTCTCAGCCAGGTGTCAACGGCATCTCCCTCCCCAACGGTGGCAGCAGCTGCCTGAAGGTCCAATACTCTGCTTCCAGGCATATTTTCTGGCCTTGTTCTTCCATAAATCACTGTTCCGTCCTTTGGGGCTGTCTGGGCCTCACGCCTGCGTGCTCTCCTGCAGTGACAGGGAGCTGCTCTGCTGTGTTCTCTGCGACTGCAGGGCAGTGAGTTGTCTTTGTGGTGCTGTAGTTTTTGGTGCGGTAGGACATGCTTCCATCCCTACCTTTTAGATCTTTCTACCAGGCTAGAGTCTTATAGCAGAGACAGGGCAAATGCGCATGGATGGTTCAGGGTACTGGCTGGTTGGAGAGCAAGTACCCGGTCCAGGTTTGGAGCATCTGGGGCTGTTAGTGCTGCCCTGTGTACCCTGTACTTGGTAGACACAGGAGGCCTGAGGAGAGGAGGCCTCGAGTTATCAGATGATACTCCGGTCAACATCTTCATGTGAATAATCGAGGCAGAGAACAGAATGTGAGGCTTCTTAAGATGTTTTTTCTCCCTCTCCCTCTTTCTCTCCCTCTCTCCCTCTCCCTCTTTCTCCCTCTCTCCCTCTCTCCATCTCCCTCTCTCCCTCTCTTTCTCTTTTGTCAGTCATGGGGCCTGAACTCTGGGCTCGAGCACTCTCCCTGAGCTCTTCAGCTCAAGGCAAGTGCACTTGAGCCACAGCACCACTTCCAGTTTTCTGGTGGTTTATTGGAGATAAGAGTCTCACAGACTTTTCTGCCCCGGCTGGCTTTGAACTGTGATCCTCAGATCTCAGCCTCCTGAGTAGCTAGATGACAGGTGTGAGCCACTGGCGTTCAGCGTTTCTTTTTCTTTCTTTTTTTTTTTTTCCAAAGAGAAATTATTTCCAGATCTGTACTTTTCTCCTTAGTAATAGTTTTCTTATTGCAGTAATGTGGTAGCTTGAGAGCCTTTGCTTGTGTTTTAACACACCTGAGTCCTTGTCACACTTGGATGCAAGGAAGCAGCTATGTGTGAGCAGTTTGGGGGCGTGGACTCTCACATTGTTTTTCTCGTGGTACTGGGAGGTGAACTGGGATGCTCTACCATTTGTGCGATACCGCAGCCTGACAGCGGCTTTTCAGGTGCGTGGAGGTGCAGCTCTACTTGCGCACAAAAGGTTTCTGGAGGCGCCACGGTCTTACTGTGCTTCTGTTTCCTACAGGCTTGTTCTATAAGGGACCCCAACAGTGGATTCGTGTTTAATCTTAACCCACTCAACAGTTCCCAAGGATATGTGGTCTCGGGCATTGGGAAGACCTTTGTGGTGAGAGTGATTCATATTTCTACTTGGGTTTGAATCAGGGAGAGCACATTGGGTTTCTTGTAGCTGGTGGGGGAGGTGCGGGAGGGGGGGAGAGGCTGTCTTACAGAGTCACTGAGCAACTGACATGCAGAGGGGTTCACAGCGATTCACAGCGTCACCCTTCTACCACTGTAGCACCTGGCACAGTTCAGGTGTGGGGCAGTCATTCTTCCTGACCTGCGGCTCTGTGTCCCCAGAGCAAGGTTGAAGGCCCTGACTTGGGCTTGTTAGAAATACAGATACCTGGGCTAGCTCCATACTTGAGGAGTCAGCAGCTCTGAGCTAGACCAGCAGTCTGATTTAACAGGCGCCTCAAGTGGTTGTGCGACCCACTGAAGTTGAGACCACTAACTAGTCAGGAGAAACCGGTGATTAGCTCACCTTGTAAAAGGAAGACTACCTGGGCAGAGAACTGGTGACTCAGCTGGTGATCCTAGCTGCTTGTGAGACTGAAATTGAGAAGATTGAGGCTCAAGACTAGTCTGGAAGAAACTGGTAGCTGCAGGCCTTCTACTTTATAGATAGACAAGTGCTCTACCCCTTGAGGCACATGGCATCTCTAGTCCTGAGAAGACTTTACAGCATCTTGATTGTGACTTTCTTATAGCAGTGTTTGAATTAAAACAATGGAGTAAGTGTTAAGAACAGGCAGTTGGCAATGAGAACATTGTAGAGTAATTCGTCGCAGAGGAGGGCTGTGTTTGAAGCCCCACAGGCAGACGGCGGATGGCAGTCTCCCGCCAGGAAAACTGGGCAGGGTTAGCCCCTCAGCTGTCTTTTGTCCTCCTACCCTGTGCTCCAGCGTGTTTGTATGAGGTGCTTAAATCACCTGAGTGTTAGCTTTACAGTGCTGTAAAGTTGGGTTTATACCAGATGGCTGATGAGCAGCTGATAGCCAGGGAGAATTATCTGCCTGCAGGACGAGTGAGAGGCACAGGTTTTGGGAACGTATAGGGAAGGGGCTATCAAGGGTGATCACAGCCCTACAGAGGCCATTCTAGGACAGACCTGAGAGGTCCTGTATTGTACTGTAACCATGGTGTCAGGATGTGACGTGCACACACAGTTCTCAGATGGCAGAGAGTGACAGTGTTTAGCGAAGGTGGAGAAGTTGCTCAGAAGAGAAGTCAGATGGCTACCTCCCTCCTCCAGCAAGGCTCAGCCCCCTGAGTACTCCCCAGGGGCCCACAAGATGGCAGGCCATAGCCGGGGCTTCTCCCAGCTCTGTTGTCAGCTTGCAGGCAAATTTGGAAGGAAAGAGGGAACCTGTTTCTGATCTCTATGGTACTGGCACTGGAGTTGGAACTTAGGGCCTTGTGGGCACTAAATGCAATATATCATACATATTTGTGATACTCGGATGGATACACAGCATACATATATGCATACATGCATGCATGCATACATACATACATACATACATACATACATACGGGTGTATTAAACCTTAGAGGAAATTTTTGGGTATTGCTGCTGTTTGGACGGGCTTACATTTTTGCCTTTCTCACTAACTATAACTTAGTTCCCCAAACATGGAACATTTGTAATTGAGCAATAGTACTGGATTAATGTGTCTGTGGTAAGTCATGGGACTTAAGTGCACTTGCGTGATTCCCACTCTTTGATCGCCAGTTCAACATCTGCGGCACGGTGCCTGCCTGCGGGACCGTTGGTGGAAAGCCAGCCTTTGGCTGTGAGGCTGAATCCCAGACAGAAGACCTGAAGAACCTGAAGCCAGACAGGCCAGTTGGGTTTGAGAAAAGTCTCCAGCTGTCCACTGAGGGTTTCCTAACTCTCACCTACAAAGGCTCTTCCCCCCATGACAGAGGTGAGTGCAGTTCTGCCACCTGTAGCTAACAGGGTCTGGGCGCTGTCCCTCAGCTCTTCAGCTCAAGGCAAGCGCTTTACCACTTGAGCCACAGCACCACTTCTGGTTTTTCTGGTGGTTTATTGGAGATAAGAGTCTCATGGACTTTCTTGCCCGGGCTGGCTTTGAACCGTGATCCTCAGATCTCAGCCCTCTGAGTAGCGAGGATTAGAAGCGTGAGCCACCGGCGCCTGGCTCCTGAATTTTTTTGTGTGTACACAGGTACTGAGGCTTCAACTCAGGGCCTCAAGCGCAGCTCCTCTTCCACTTCTTACTAACATTAGCACCTGGGCTGGCCTTGCACTATGATCCTCCCAGCCTCTGCTTCCTGAGTAGCTGGGATTTTAGTTGTGAGCCACTGTACTTGGCTGGCTGAGAAATAAGTGGTATTTTGTTGTTGCTTATTTATTTTTGGTAGTTTCAGGGACTAGAGCTTGCCAAGCCCTTGAGCCATACCCCTGTCCTGGGAGGAGCCGTGTTCTATATGGTGCATTAGGAGTTGACAGCAAGAAGTCACACATTTCAAAGGAGCTAATGTGCAGTTTATATCTGAGGTGATAGGTACACCAGTTACGCTGCTCTAACCCTTGCATATTATTTTCTTGAAATATAATGATATATTTCCTAACTGTGGTTACTCTGTAACAATTAAAAATAAACAGTTTAAAAAGAGCCCAGAACACGGGCCTGGGGCGTGCACACAGCTGTGGCTTCCCGCACGCTGTGCCCTGCGCCCCTACCTCACCCTAGCAGCTTTGTCTTCGGGCTCCCCGCCCCCGTCCTCCTCTTACAGAACAGTGAGTATGCAGCAGGCAGGGATGCTCCTGAACGTTAGATCAGATGCGTCACGTGCCAGTTCAGAGCCTCTGGGGACTTACTGTCACACCCAGAGTAGAGGTCATTACCCCACAGGGGCGTGGGCACTGTCGGCTCTGCCATCACCTCCCGTGCTCTGCCCACTTGGTCTGGTTGTCCCGCACCAGGTCTCTGCCACTCAGAGTCCCTGTCTGAGCCCTGTGTGCTCTGCCCGCTCTGCCCCCGGCTCAGCTCTGGACGGCGTTGTCCTTGTCTTTGACCCTTACAGGTGTCTGGTGTAGTCGATGAGAGTTAGTTGTCTTCTGGTGTTTGCCTTGAACTGATGTGGGCCTCAGGTAGAAGGAGGTTGTGAAGTCCCCGCTGTGAGCCTGCTGGCGGTGGCGCTCCGTGTCTGGGCTGCCTGGTGACTCGAGTGGCCTTGTTCCATCCACAGGCACTGCTTTCATCATTCGCTTCATTTGCAATGACGACAAATACCCGGGAACCGCCAAATTCCTGCACCAGGACATTGACTCTGCCCGCGGCATCCGGAACACCTACTTTGAGTTTGAAACTGCCTTGGCCTGTGTTCCTTCGCTAGTGGATTGCCAAGTCACCGGTGAGGCCGGGGAATTAGACAGGAAACGATTGAGAGTGGGGTGGGTATGTGTCCGTATAGTATGTGTGTGTCTCTGTGCATGTGTGCCTCTGTGTGTTAAACATGAGCATGCTGTAACAGCACATTGTACATGTGTGAATGTGAGGGCGCCATGCTTATTTGTGTGTATTTTGTTCATGTAATTTACATATTTTATAGGCCATGTGACACACATCACAGTTTTTACAAGTTTAGGATTGTGATGTTTCTCTAAGACCTTAGACATAAAATGAATGGTTTTAAGCTATAGGTTTTAAGCTAGAGTGTGGGGTAGGGTGCTGCTTAAGAACAGAGAATCAAAGGGCAAAAGGAATAAAAAACAAATACAGATATCAGGGTCTCATGTTTGAAAAGTAGGAAAAGACCTGAGAGAGCACCCTGAGCCCTGCCTGGGAAGTGAGCAGTGTCCTGGGCCCTGGGCCCTGGATCCTGGATCCTGCACCCTGTCTGGGAAGCCAGCAGAGTCGTGGGCCCTGGGTCCTACCTGGGAAGTGAGCAGTGTCCTGGGCCCTGGGCCCTGGATCCTGCACCCTGTCTGGGAAGCAAGCAGAGTCCTGGGCCCTGAGTCCTGGGCCCTGCCTGGAAAGTAAGCAGAGTCCTGGGCCCTGGGCCCTACCTGGGAAGTGAGCAGTGTCCTGGGCCCTGGGCCCTGGATCCTGCACCCTGTCTGGGAAGCAAGCAGAGTCCTGGGCCCTGCCTGGAAAGTAAGCAGAGTCCTGGGCCCTGGGCCCTACCTGGGAAGTGAGCAGTGTCCTGGGCCCTGGGCTCGCTGCAGATTTGGTGGTGATGCTTCCTTGTGAAGGGTGGTGGAGAGGGACAAGCGGCTTATCTCTGTAGACAAAGGCCCTGCCCACAGTTAGGGAGGCACGCCCACTCCTCAGCCTTGTCCCCATGAAGGGTAGAAGTTGGCTTTCCAGCATGTTTTCCTCTGTTGCAGACCAAGCTGGAAATGAGTATGACCTGAGTGCCTTAAGCACAGTCCAGAAGCCGTGGACTGCTGTGGACACATCGGCCGATGGGAAGAAGCGCACTTTCTACCTGAGTGTCTGCAACCCTCTCCCTTACATTCCAGGCTGCCGTGGTGAGTGCCCTTGAGAGTGTAGCTAATTCTGTGGGATGGTTGGAGGGTGGTTCACTCAAGGCCAGCCTTCTCCCACCCACCCACACCCCAAACTTCTCTTCTACCAGGCAGTGCAGTGGGGTCTTGCTTAGTGTCAGAAGACAACAGCTGGAACCTGGGTGTTGTGCAGATCAGTCCACAGGTTGCCGCCAACGGGTCATTGAGTATCCTGTACGTCAATGGTGACAAGTGTGGGAACCAGCGCTATTCCACCAGGATCATATTTGAATGTGCTCAGACGTGGGTACGTGTTCGAATCACAGCGAGTGCTGCTAGTGGCCAGTTAACTCCTGTTTTGTTTTGGGGTCTGTTGTGGGGCCTGAACTCTGGGCCTGGGCGCTGTCCCTCAGCTCTTTAGCTCAAGGCTAGCACTCTACCACTTGAGCCACAGCGCCACTTCCGGCTTTTTTCTTTTTGCTTATTTGGTGCTAAGGAATCGAACCCAGGGCCTCAGGCATGCAAGGCAAGCGCTCTACCACTAAGCCACCTTCCCAGCCCAACTCCTGTTTTCTTGTAACCTTTGAGTCTTCTGCATGGTCTAGAGCTTGCTTTTGTTTTCATGTGTGTGACCATTGCGGGGGTTCGATTAGAATGTACTATTTCCTGCAGGGCTTAGCTGTTTCAGAAATACCATCTGCTTGGCTCCTGGGGGAGAAAGATTGGCTATTAATGGTGCTTACCTTTTGAGTATTACTGCTTTTTAAGATAAGTAGACGGGAAGCACTGAGGCTGTTGTTTTCTTGACAGGGATCACCCACATTCCAGCTCCTGGATGACTGCGAGTACGTGTTTGTCTGGAGAACGGTGGAGGCCTGTCCTGTGGTCAGAGAGGAAGGTGAGCCCGGGCTGTCCTCGGGACACAGCGCACTGCATGGAGCAAAGATGTTCCAGAGAAACCCGAGACAGCGCCTGCTCCTGAGAGATCACAGAGCCCTTTGTATGGGGGTGGCTTCTTATACTTGAGTTTTTACTCTAGCACATTTGCTAATTTACCAAAGGCTTTTTCCTTGTGTGCATGGTTGGATGGACTTTTAGCTTTTTCCATTTGAAAACAAAAAACAAGGGGGGGTTGGAAAGGTCAGACTTGGTTTGCTTGCGGAAGTTGGCCTTTAATCTGTGATGTACCTAGCTTTTCTCCAAAGCTGTCTGCCTGTCAGTTTGTGTTATATGTGAACAAGATAAAATAAGCTGGAAGTGATTTAATTCCCATTTGGTTAAAAATCATAGAACTCCTTTGCTTGGCGGTATGAACGTCTGTATAATAGAGCTGCCCTTGCTTTGCATGTGCTCTTGAAGGAGACGATTGTCAGGTGAAGGACCCCAGGCATGGGAATCTATATAACCTGAAGCCTCTGGGGCTCCGCGACACGATTGTGAGCGCCGGCGAGTATACCTACTACTTCCGGGTCTGCGGGAAGCTGACCTCCAGCGTCTGCACTACCCATGACAGGGCCAAGGTGGTCTCCTCCTGCCAGGAAAAGCAGGGACAACAGGGCTTCCAGAAAGTGGCAGGTACCTCTGATTTTCTTTTCCACCTGAGTTGAAAAAGAACAGGATTAAAACGTTGAGCTGTTGTTGTTTTGGAAGTGACATTGCTGTGCAGTAGGAAGGAATAGCCACACGTTAGTGAGGTCTCTGAGGTCACACATTCCTTAGCAGATACACCTGAAGATGAGGAATGCTGCAGAGTGCTTCTGGCTCAGGAGCCTGTCTCTGTACCACCTCAGGGACACCCTGCGACTGGCAGTCCAGCATTGGGAGTTTGAGGTGATACCTTCTAGGGCTGAGCTCAGTGTACATTGTTTGGCTATGAATCTAGCAGAGCAGCCAGATGTGATGAGGAGGCTGAGGCAGAAGAATTAAGAATCTGGGCCAACTCGGACTCTTAAGAATAAACAAAGCAGGGCTGGGAAGGTGGCTCAGTGGTAGAGCGCTTGCCTTGCATGCCTGAGGCCCTGGGTTCGATTTCTCAGCACCACATAAGCAAAAAAAGAAAAAAAGCCGGAAGTGGCGCTGTGGCTCAAGTGGTAGAGCGCTAGCCTTGAGCTGAAGAGCAGAGGGACAGCGCCCAGGCCCAGAGTTCAGGCCCACGACCGGACCCAAAAAAAAAAAAAAGAATAAACAAAGCAAAGCCTTTGGTCAAATCTCAGCGCCTGGGCCAAAACTTGAATGACGAGGTTGAAGTAGCCATGGTTGGTGAGTCTGGCCCTCTTCTGTCGGAGCCATGGGACAGTGAGTCTGGCCCTCTTCTGTCAGAGCCATGGGACAGTGATGCCCTTGTGTGTCCCCATGCCGTGGTTACTCTTCCCAGCTGCTGAGGCGGGAGGAGGCCTGGCTTTAGCTCCCCTGCGGGGAGGTGTGGCCGGGAGCTGGTAGTCCAGGAGGATGCAGCGTTGAGGGTGCATGATGTGACAGGTCATAAAAGAATAATTGTAACAGCCTGGGACTTGTGCACTGAAGCCTGCTGGATGTGTTTCCTGCACAGGTCTCTTCACTCAGAAGCTCACTTACGAAAACGGACTGTTGAAAATGAACTTCACTGGCGGGGACACGTGCCACCAGGTGTATCAGCGCTCCACCACCATCTTCTTCTACTGTGACCGGACGACACAGAAGGTAGGCAAGTGCCAATAGAGCCCCAGGGAGCATGCCTGCCCTTCCAGCTGCGGGGGTGACGCCAGGGTCTCTCCTCCAAAGTCCCTCAGAAACTTAGTTTTGAATATAATACTTAGGAAAAAAAAATGCATCAGAACATAAAACCACTTGTGCAGGTGTTAGTGGACACACGGCCATTGGAGCCATTTTCTCCCCGTGACTCCCAAGCGGGGACCCAGGAAAGCCTGGCGTTCCTTCTCAGTCCATCTTCACTTTGCAGCCGGTGTTTCTGAAGGAGACGTCAGACTGCTCCTACTTGTTTGAGTGGCGGACGCAGTACGCCTGCCCGCCCTTCAACGTGACCGAGTGCTCCTTCAAGTAAGATGCATGTGGTGGACCTTGGGCCTTGGACCAGCTTGGTGTGATCTTACTGTGCCAACAGTGACCTGGGTGCAGGATTAGATTAGTGTGTCCCCTCTGTCACTGTGAAGGGAGCCAGGGCGAGGTGACCTTCACACGTCTGATGACTCCGTGTCACACGTGGAGGGGACAGCAGTGCATCCCGGGGCTGCCTGGGCCTGATCCTGCCTCCTGCCCCTTGTCCCAAGCCCGCTTGTGTCGGGGGCACTGATGAAGGTGGCCTGGCCCTTCAAGTGTGGAGGGGTGGGTGAAGCAATGGAAGGAGATGTTACAGAGACGAGCAGAACTCAGCTGTGGAGACGGGACCCTGTGAGGTTCTGTCCCTGGGCAAGGTTTGACTCGGGAACGAGGAGCAAGCTCAAACACTCCAGCCTTTCCCGGGTGGAGGGGAGAGCATGTCATGAGCTAACGCGGACCTCACTGCGGCCTCTTCCCATCCTACAGGGATGCGGCCGGCAACTCCTTCGATCTCTCCCCGCTGTCGAGGTACAGTGACAACTGGGAGGCAGTGGTGCGGACCGGGGCCACCGAGCACTACCTCATCAACGTGTGCAAGTCGCTGGCGCCGCAGGCCGCGGGCTCTGGTGAGAGATGGCCCTGCCGCACGGCTCAGTGCTGGGGGGGTGGGGGGCAGCCTCGGGAGGCCAAGAAGCAGCAGCAGGGGGCAGAAGGTGTCCGTGACCCGGCCCTGGTGCGGTCCAGGCGCAGTCAGCGCCGAGAGCTCTCTGGGAACTTTTTCTGAATATGAGGTGTCGAATAGAAAGAATGGTGGCATGAAAGTGGGGGGCAGGGAGGGAGGAGACAGGAGGGGGCGTGAGACCCTGGTGTGATCACGGGCCTAGGGCCAAGGTGAGAACTAGGAACCAGGGGTGTGTGTGGCGCCAGGCATGCCCCGGAAGGAAGGAGTGCCCTCAGGGTCCTGGGAAGGGCGCTTTGTCCCTTTTCCTGGGCATGACGCGGACCCACTGCCCGCAGCTCAGCTCAGATCTGCGTGCTAGTTCCTTCTCCCTCCTTCCTCCTCCTTTCTTCCTCTTTTCCCTCCTCCTTTCTTCCTCCTCTTCCCCCTTCCCTCCTCCCTCCTCCTCCCTCTTCCCTCTCTCCATCTCCTGCCTCCTCTCCCTCCTTCCTCCTCCCCCTCTTCCCCCTTCCCTCCTCTCCCCTCTTCCCCCTTCCCTCCTCCTCCTTCCTCCTCCCTCTTCCCTCTTTATATCTCCTGCCTCCTCTCCCTCCTCCTCCTCCTTTCTCCTCCCCCTTCTTTCCCCTTCTCCTCCTCCTGCTTTAGTATAGACAGGCTTGATCCTTGGTCAGCTGAGGCTGTGCTCCTTTCCGAGCTGGGATGTTACTGTGGGCTGCAACGCTGGCTCTGCGTGGCCCCCAGTGGAACCGATGTAGTTCTCAGTAACTTCTTCAAGAGTGCAGTAGGCCCCAAAAGCACCCCACCAGCAGAGTCGAGGCATCGGGATGTGCGGCCGCAGCGATGCGGACGGTGCCAGGACCCCGGCGTTTCTGACGGGCAAAGCGGACGTGGTGGGGGGACAGGGGGCTCAGCCTCACTGCCGTCCCCTGCAGGTAAAGCGAAGCTGCCCCACGGCCGCCCCAGCTGACTCTTGTGTCTTGTGTGCAGAGCCATGCGCTCCGGAGGCGGCCGTGTGTCTGCTGGACGGCTCCACGCCCGTGAACCTCGGCAGGGTGGCGAACGGCCCTCAGCAGCACGATGGGCTCACCATTCTGAAGTACACGGACGGCGACTTGTGTCCAGACAAGATCCGGAGAAAGTCAACCACTATCCGGTTCACCTGCAGCGAGAGCCAAGTGGTGAGTGAGGTGCTTCCTGACAGAGCAGGGCCCAGGGCCCCGAGCCCAAGAAACCGGCGGCCCCCATTTCTGGAGTGTGAGTGTGCGCGTGCGGGCCGCTGGGGCAGGGATGGGCGCTGGCTGGCGCCGTCAGTGATCGATGAGCCTCTGGTGCTCAGCCCAGCTGTGTGGGCTCAGAGTTCATCGCTTGTCTCGAGTCTTGACTTGGAGTCCCCAGAGAGCGTAAAGGAAGCATCCTCAACCCTGCCTCCTGTCTGGGGACAGCTGGGGATGGCAGCTCCGTGGCCACAGACCCCACAGGAGCGTGGCTCCTGTCCTCTCAGCTGCGGCTGCTGCGTGGGGCGGAGGCTGCCGCGTGGGGCAGGGTCTGAGCGATCACGGGGTGCAGCCCTCGCCGGCCCGTCTCTCCAGTGTGCGTGTTGAGGGGCGAGGATGGACACCAGGGCTCACTACTGGTGTGTGGTAGGAGCTCACTCACTGTCCCCAGTTGGTGTGTGCATACATTGGGCAGATGCTGCATGGCCTTAGTGGATTCCCTGAGGCTGATGGGCTGTGTGTGCTGTGGTGTGTGTGTGCTGTGATGTGTGCTGTGGCGTGTGCTCTGGTGTGTGCTGTGATGTGTGCTCTGGTGTGTGCTGTGGTGTGTGCCCTGGTGTGTGCTGTGGTATGTACTATGGTGTGTGCTATGTTGTGGTGTGTGTTCTGGTGTGTGCTGTGTGTTGTGTGTGCTGTGGTGTGTGCTGTGGTGTGTGTGTGCTGTGTGTTGTGATGTGTGCTGTGGTATGTGTTCTAGTGTATGCTGTGTGTGCTATGTTGTGGTGTGTGCTGTGGTGTGTGTGTGCTGTGATGTGTGCTGTGGTGTGTGCTCTGGTGTGTGTTGTGGTGTGTGCTGTGGTATGTGAGGGCTGTGTGTGCTGTGGTGTGTGTGTGTGTGCTGTGTGTTGTGGTGTGTGCTGTGGTGTGTGTTCTGGTGTGTGCTGTGGTGTGTGTGTGCTGTGGTATGTGCTGTGGTGTGTGTGTGCTGCGGTGTGTGTGTGCTGTGGTGTGTGTGTGCTGTGGTGTATGTGTGCTGTGGTGTGTGTGTGCTGTGGTGTGTGTGTGCTGCTGGGTGTGTGTGCTGTGGCGTGTGCTGTGGCGTGTGCCGTGGCGTGTGCTGTGGCGTGTGCTGTGGTGTGTGAGTGGCTGTGGCCAAGTCTGGGAGCAAGGCTGGACCCTCTTCTGCCAGCAGGGGAGACTTAGGGCCAGGACATGGGGAGGACAGAGCGGGGCGTGGGGTGTGGGAGGCTCCGGGGTGCGTTGTGTGGTGGGGGGGAAGCGTGTGAGGGGACGGCCAGCTGTAGCAGTGGACAGGCTGGGATGGATGACCGGCTCTCTTGATGAGTCTCTGTTCTGACTGTTGACTCATTAGGAATTTTATCGGTAATTGACGCACTGGCGTCTCTCCAGCCCCCGCGGCCTCCTCTTGCTCCCTGTCAGTGTGGCTCTCCTTGCGAGCTCTTCTGGTCCGTCTGTGCGGTTCTGTGACCCGCCTGTGCCTCGGCCTTCCTGCTCGGCCTGCTCCTGTGGGGACGCCCAGCAGGCCTCTCTGTGCTTGTGGGGTTTTGAAGACCGCCTTGCCTCGTGGGAGTGGGCTCATTGACGCGGGCTGTCTGCTCTGTCCCAGAACTCCAGGCCGCTGTTCGTCAGCGCTGTGCAGGACTGCGAGTACACCTTCTCCTGGCCCACGGCCGTGGCCTGTCCTGTGAAGAGCAACGTGCACGGCGACTGCCAGGTCACCAATCCCAGCACAGGTAGGGAAGGGGGGCCGGCGGCCCTACCCGGGAGAGGCGCCAGACCGTGGCAGATGCCCTGGTCTGGAGCGCTCCGTGGGGCAGGTCATGTTCGGTCTGGTCCCTGGAGCACATCCATGCCTCATTGTCCTTCAGGAAGCTGCCTTTCCCAGCCTCCATCATCCTCTGGTCCAGCTGGACTCCTTGCTGGGCTCTGCTATGCTGGCTGCGTGCTCTCCCGAGCAGTGCCTTTCAGAGCCAGTCTGTGGGGCAAGCGGGAGGGTCCTGTCCTGTCCCTCGCTTGGCACCTAGAAAGGCTCAAGTACTGAAGCGTCCTCAGACCCACAGGAATCAGAGGGGCTTGGTGGTGCCTCAGGGAGCAGGCGCAGTGAGGCGTAGTCTTGAGAGAGGCTGGCCGGGTGTTAAGAGCCCGGTGCCGTCAGTGAGCAGGGGCACGAGTGGCAGCAAGGAGCCGGGGCCTCCACCCTGACCAGAGACTGCCGGAGCCTGGGTTCCCCAGAGTCACTCCGTCCTCCACCCCTTTCCCCATGCAGGACACCTGTTCGACTTGAGTTCCTTAAGTGGCAGAGCTGGCTTCACAGCCGCGTACAGCGAGAAGGGGCTCGTCTACATGAGCATCTGTGGGGACAATGAGAACTGTGCTCCGGGCGTGGGTGAGTGTCGTGGTCAGCCTGTGTGGTTTGACTGCCGTCCCTGGGCCTGGCCTCAGCGGGACTGCTGTGGTCCATGGCCCAGATCACGAGAGCCCAGGGCCACGCCATCCCCTGCCCGCGGGCAGGAGCAAGGGGTTGCAGAAGGAATGGTGAAATGTGTAACATTAGCTAACGGGTGCACACTCACCATGACAGGTTCTAGCTTTGCACGTGCAGAAAGTTCTCTCAGGAAATTGGCACCGAAGCCCTAACTGCTTTCCTGGCTTTCCCATGTGGTGCAGGAGCCTGCTTTGGACAGACCAGGATCAGTGTGGGCAAGGCCAGCACAAGGCTGAGCTATGTGGACCAGGTCTTACAGCTGGTGTATGAGGACGGGTCCCCGTGCCCCTCGAAATCTGGCCTGAGCTATAAGAGTGTCATCAGCTTCGTGTGCAGGCCTGAGGCCGGGCCCACCAACAGGCCCATGCTCATCTCACTGGACAAGCAGACGTGCACACTCTTCTTCTCCTGGCACACGCCCTTGGCCTGCGAGCAAGCCGTGAGTATGGAGATCCCTAGGCTAGCCGCAGCCGGCCCTTGCATGCAGTTTACTGAATTTCTGTCCCTTCCAGCAGACCCGAGCTGGCCTCATGACCTCCTGACTGGCCCAGTTGATTGGGCCAAAAAAAACCAAAACGATCGTTGCCAGAATTGATATGGAGCTCCCAAGGCTGTGGAGCAAGGTGTTGAGCCCCACCGTGTAGTCTCCCCTCGGTGCTTCTGCTGCTTAGCTTTTGACTCTTATGGGTGATAGTTGCAGTGGTCATTAGAAAAAGATGCAGAGTCATGCCCTCCTTGTTCCTTACCAGATCGAATGTTCCGTGAGGAATGGAAGCTCAATTATTGACCTGTCCCCTCTCATCCACCGCACGGGTGGTTACGAAGCCTACGACGAGAGTGAGGATGGTGACTCCGACACCAACCCTGACTTCTACATCAACATCTGCCAGCCGCTGAACCCCATGCACGGGGTGCCCTGCCCCGCCGGCTCCGCCGTGTGCAAAGTGCCCGTCAGCGGGCCGCCTCTGGTAAGTGCGGCGTCCTCGGTGCAGAGGGTCTGTGCAGCGTCCAGGGGTGACCTCCACTGCACTGCCTGAGGGTGGCTCAGGCAGAAGAGTGGCGAGCGAGCTAGTGGGACTGGTGTGTGTTCTGGGTCCAGAGGGGAAGAGGACTGAGGAGTGGTGTGCATTCAGCTACCAGCCAGTAGTAGTGGCTGACAGAGTGCGAGTTGTGGTAAGAAAGGGGTCCTGTGAGGACCTCAGGGTAGACGCTCAGCAAGGGAAATACTCAGACCAAGTGGCAAGAAAGGACACTGGCACAGCTTTTGTTTCCATTTTTAAAAATGCCCTGTAGTTAAAACACTTGGGAAATGCAAGCCCTTTCTGTGTTGATGAGTCACAGGGAGGGCCGGAGCAGGCTTGGCTGATGGCTGGGTGTTTGGCTGTGGAATGTTGAAGATGACTAAAAGTCATCTGTGAGTTACAGTCACATGTTGCCAATGCTTGAGGTGCTTCAGTACTTGGCAGTGATCCCAGGAGTTGCGGGCTGTGGCCTCTGTGTCTCCGTTGTCTCTGTGCTTCAGCAGGTCACAGCTGGTATGGGACATCTCGAAGTGTCCTTTTAAAGACGGACACTTGTGTGGATTGGCGCAGAGGGTTCTGGGAGCAGGCGAGAAGTTACCAGAGCATAGGAGAGACCAGGTTTGATAGCTTCCTGCCAGAGAAGTGAGAGAGCTTTACTTGAGTCAGTCTCGAGAGATCCAGTCAACTGAACTCTTCTGCCCCTACACACTGAGTCACTGTAAACGTGTTACACCAAGTCCTTCCATTGGAGCATGTGTTCTGTCACAGGGTCTGAACATGCCCATAGTGATCAATAAAGATCTCTGCAGCCAAGAATCAAATCACACATCCATACACACTTACACTTGCTCTCGTATGTATGGACACATGCTTGGATACACTTACACACATTCACACATGTCATACTCACACATAATGTACTCATACACACATGCATTCATGCACATAATACATACAATCATGTACATGTGTGCATACATTTACACAAGTACACATACTTGTTACACATATTCATATACATGTGTTTACTCATACACATAAGTACATGTAGTGACTCACATGTATTGATCATACTGTACCTCTCCTGGCTACTCATCTTCTAATTTTTGCCTTATTTTTATTTCTTGGCAGTGCTAGGTTTGAACTTGGGGCCTTGCACTTGTTATAGGCAGGTGATCTACCACTTGAGCCATGCCCCTGAGCCATCCTTTATTTGTTCACTTAGTGAACCCCACTTATTGAGAACAGCTCCTATATGTCAGAGGCTATGCTAAGCAGACAAATCAGAGAACAAGGTGCGCTTCTTTAAGGACATACCCACCAGGTCCCACCGAGCCGGGCTGACACAGGGCACCATGGTGGGGGATAGGACCTGAAATGACTGGTCAGCCTTGGGGACGGTGGGCTAGGACATTGCTCAGCTCCCGCCGCCCACTGTTGGAGCCTGGGCTGTATCAAGTCCTTAAGGTGAATGTAGAGAGGAACTCCTGTGGCTTAAGTCTTTAAATTGAAAATCAATGGAAATTCCCTTGGGACTCACAATGACGCCGCCACTCTGCTGGAGAGCCTGAGGCACACAGGGAGGTATGACTTAGTGATACGAATTGCTGTTAGTTCTCTAACTTTGGCCATAGTTAATTTCCTCAGCTGCTGCTTGCTTTGTCCTTTTGCGTAGGACATTGGCCGGGTGACAGGCCCTCCGATACTCAACCCTGTAGCGAATGAGATCTACCTGAACTTTGAAAGCAGTACTCCTTGCTTAGCTGACAAGCATTTCAACTACACCTCACTCATCGCGTTTCACTGCAAGAGAGGCATCAGCATGGTGAGTGAGTGCCTTCAAACCAAGACACTGGCCTGCAGGTCAGGCTGCTGGGCAGGGCACCAAGTACATTGCGGGGTGGAAGGATCCACTTGTTTGCAGGGCCTGCCTTGGTGATACAGCCTCGGTGCTGATGGGCTTCATCAAATTCCATTAAGTGAGGGATGAGGGGTCACTGGCCAGGCTTGCCCTGATGTAAAAACATGGAGCATTTGCTGACAGCAGTGTCCCTCAGCACTGACTGTGATGTACATAAGGCTCCAAACTTGTCTTTTTGTTCATGTGACATTACTTGTTTTCTTAGTGGTAAGTCAGACATTTGGGAACCTGCCATCATTCACGATGCAGTACAAATTCACAAGCCAGGAGAGAACAAAAGACATCTGCAGGTGACATTGCTACAGTGGGATACTTGACTTCTAAAGAGGTCACTGACTCTGCCGTCTGCACTTAAAATGTGGCCCCAGCCTCCATTATGATGAGAACCTTTCTCTTGTACAGTTTTAGCTCATGCGTTCTGTGCCCCACTGTTATGAGAGCCACTGGGGGTGTCCGGCCCTGCTGCTGGTGACCAGAGTGGCTCTACAGAGGCCCAGCGGGGGCCAGCAGTTGCTCAGGTGGATGGCCTTGCCCGTGTGCACAGCCCACAGTCCTGGGTTGGATTTCTGAGTTCCAGGAAGCTCTGAAAACCTGTCACTCCTTCAGTGGGAGCGGGCTGAGGTCGCTAGTGGTGCCTTTGTCTCACTTGATGTGAATATTCCTCATCCCGTTGCAGAAATATCAGTGCACTTGATTATAGGCCCAGGCGTCATGTGTCTTGTAGGAATAAGACAGCCAAAATTGCATCTTAGAACCCTAAAGACAGTGAATTCCAAGGCTTGTCTGATCTACAGGGGTGTAGGTGATGGATTATGTTCTTACTTCAAGTTGATTTCTTGGCCTGGAGCAGGTTTGTAGAAGAAATATGACTGCTGAGTGTGTGTTGACAGCGTCAAGAAAGGACAGGCCAGCACCAGACAGGAGGAAACGCAGTGACTGGGAGGGAAGGCAAGCCCCCGCTGACCAGGGCCATGCCATTGGAGCTCTCCGTCCTGTCTGTCCCTGTTCATGAGTGTTTGTGAGTCAGGATAGCCTCTTACCAAGGAAGAGCAATGCCGTTACGACCACAGCTCTATCCCTGTGAGCCTAAGTGGTCTGTGTGTCTCAGGTTCAGCCCTTCACGAGGGCACCGGTCATTTCACAGCAGACAGGATGGATTGGCTGATGAGACATAGAAACAGTTCTCAGGGCAGCTGCATCTTGAGTGGTTGGTGCTTACTTGTCTTTAGAAATGGCATCTCACACTGAATGTGTATTTCAGCTGGGGAAAGATAGAGAATTTTCCTTCCCCATAGTTTCTCTCTGGAGTACGTTTCCATTAATTTTTGGCTTGTTTTTTGAAACCTTGTCTTGCTGTACTGTAGCCCAGGCTGACTTAGAACTTGAGATCCACCTGCCTCAGCCTCCAGTGTACTAGGACTGTAGGTGTACACTGCCGCTCCTTGATTGCCTTTTTCTTGACCATACAAGAAGAGACTCTTGGCAACCTTTACTAACGTGTATCTGACCAGCCTCCTCCTGTTTCAGTGGGATGAGGAGAAATAACTATATCCAAGAGTACACAGGTTGTGAGCTCTGCCCATAGCTCCTATCCCTGAGGGCATATCTCACCCTTCATTGTGTCCCAGCATCGAGATGTGACAGGGTGCCGTCCCGGCTTGTGGGCATGTAGATGTGCTTATTACTGAGGGAGGGGGGGTCACTCAGACTTCTTTCTTGACAGGTGAAGACCCTCCTTTTTCTTGGCAACCTGTATAACACAGTGCATTGAGGGCTTCTTGACTCCATCTTTACATAGAGAATGACCCACAGTAGTGGAGGAGGTGTTGAGCTGCGTAGGGCGGGCACAGGTGCCCATCAGTGCCGTGATGCTGAGGTTCCTGCCGCCCCTGGCTACAGGGTCCCTGTGGGTCTGCATGGCAGCGACCACAGGGCTTTTCCCCTGGGTGCAGTGTATGGAGGGGTGCCCGACTCCAGCCCTCACCACATGAAAAGTAACAAGGCCGCTGCTGTACTTACACTCGGTGTTGACCTTTCCGTTTTTATTAATACTAGAGTTTGGACTCAGAGCCTGTGCTTGCTAGACAGGCCTTCTACCACTGAGTCATGCCACCAGCTTTGTTTTGCACTTGTTATTTTGAGATAATGTCTTGCCTTTTGCCCAAGCTTGTTCCTGGGATGTGATCCTCCTCTTCTACACTTCCTGCCGTAGCTGAGATGCTGGGTACACACACAGGCCCAGCTTCTCCACTGAGGGAACTTGACTTGTGAGCTTGTTTGCCTGAGCTGGCTACCACTGCCATCTTGAACTACTTCAGTCTCGCATATAGCTAGGTGGGAACCACTGGGCCCGGCTTGCTGTTTGTTTTTAGACAGTGTCTCACTGTATAACCTAAGCTGATCTCCACTTCCCGAGTGCTGGGATTATAGGTGTGCATCACCAACTCCAGCTCACATTGTGTGGTTTTTTTTTAAGATGCCCATGTTTTTCCACACAGGGAACTCCTAAGCTGATAAGGACCAGTGAGTGTGACTTTGTGTTTGAATGGGAGACTCCAATCGTCTGTCCAGATGAAGTCAAGATGGACGGCTGCTCCCTCACGGATGAGCAGCTGCTCTATAGCTTCAACTTGTCAAGCCTTTCCAAGAGCACGTTCAAGGTAAGGCCACCCCCCTGGCCTCGGTCCTTCACAGAGCCTCACAGAGACCTTCAGAAGGTCTACTGATGGCATGGAGGGGGTGGGTTCTACTGGCATCCGGCTTCCCAGGGCAGGGAGATTTCTGGATTATGGCTGAGCATAGCCAAGCCTGTGGATCCAAGAAGTTCAGTACTTGGGGCTTTTAGAGGATCAGATGATGGATGAGGTAGGAAGTCTCTGGTGTCACAGAGAACAGGCAGGGCAGGTTGGGGACCTGAGTGGGGCACAAACCTGTGGCTGCAGGGCCAGCTGTAGTTAGTGCAGCCAGCATAAGTCCACAGGAAATTCCTTTCTTGCCGGGCTGGTTTTAAGATAAAGAGGCCAGACTGATGAGTGGAAGGTGTTAGGGGATAGCCCCCAGTTTCAGCCAAGGCACAGCCTTTGTCCTCTGTGGACTGGTGGCTGTGAGTGAGGTGTGGGCATTGGAGCCTGCGTGCCTGGGATCTCAACCATGCAGTCGTTCATTAACACGCACGGACTACGTAGGCCACCGGGTCCTGTGCCTGCCTGTACGTGAGACGGGGTATGTGGCCACCTGTACTAACTGTGCTCACGGGAAGTGTGCCAGCTCCGGGGTAGGGCCTTCCCTGCCCCAGCACAGGGCCCTCTCCCACGAGTACAGCAGCTGTGAACCTGGGAGAGCCAGAAGTAGGAAAGAAAGCAAGGTGCGTGTTTCTGTGTAGAGCCTCTGCTTGGCTGGTGACTCAGCCTCACAGAGCCTGCCCCCCTCCCGCGGGTGAGGAAACGTGGGCTTCAGGGAGGTGGGCTGAGCCTGAAGACTCCTGGCAGCCCCTTCTTGCTAGAGCCTTACTGGAGCCCCTCTGGACAGGAGGGAGGAGGAGGTTGGTTCAGGGGCCAGGACATGGGGAGAAGGCAGGTGAGCTGATGTGCAGATCTGCATTGATGAAGCCATTGAACGCCGTCAGGCGTGGCTCTCTGCTGTCCTGGAGCCCCCGGTGCGGCTCTGTTGACAGTCCCTGTGTGCTGTTTGTGCAGGTGACCCGAGACTCCCGCACGTACAGCGTGGGGGTGTGCGCCGCGGCCGCTGGCCCCGAACAAGGCGGCTGCAAGGACGGTGGAGTGTGTCTGCTGTCTGGGAGCAAGGGTGCGTCCTTTGGACGGCTGGCGTCAATGCAGCTGGATTACAGGCACCAGGACGAAGCTGTCATTCTGAGCTATGTGAACGGTGATGCTTGCCCTCCAGGTAAATCTTCACAGTAGGGCAAAAATGAAATTCCTGGTCAATACCAAGTTAGACTTAGCAGCAGGACAGGGTGGAGGAAGGCAGCTTCCAATCTCTGGTGTCAAAGCCCTGGCTGTGGACGTAGCCGCTGCCTCCTTCCCCTCCTGGTGTGAGTGCCATGTACTGACACATGCTGCATTGCCGTGGGTTGGTGGAGGCTGAGGTTTGGCAGGTGCATCCTGGTTGTCACGTGGCTCCTTAGTGCTCCCTGTCAGGTGTGCCCTCCTGTGGTGAAGCCTAGTATGGCACAGCAGATGTCTACTGACCTCCCATTCCAGAAACGGACGAAGGTGAGCCCTGCGTCTTCCCCTTCATATTCAACAAGAAGAGCTACGAGGAGTGTGTGCTGGAGAGTCGGGCAAAGCTCTGGTGCAGCACGACTGCAAACTACGACCGGGACCTGGAGTGGGGCTTCTGCAGGCCCAGTGAGTGTGGAGCCCTGGGGCCTGGGGCGGCCGATGCCGGCCCCGTGTGGGTCTGTCAAAGCAGTGGCTTCCCACCAAGAAGTGGCGCAGCCGTCCGTGGGGCCCGTGAGAGGCCATGTGCACACCTCGGTAGAGCGCATGCCGGGTGGCTGGCGAGGCCCGCTCATTGGCGGGACTGAGCCTGCACACCGCTTGCCCTGAACCCTGAATCCCAGCGGCCCAGATTCATGCCCAGCGAGATTGCTACCTGTGCTGGGCTCCAGGGTGGATTTAGGAGAGCAAGGGGCACATTCGTTCCCATCCTGCCACGTGGTAGGCCTGCGGGGAGGGGTGGCTCAGTGCACTGGGCCGTCCTTGGAGACCAGCCCCTCGGAGGGCGCGACAGGGCAGTGGGGGGCTTGGGACAGAGTGGGGTGTGAAGGTGCAGACGATTTCTCTGGTAGCACGTTACTCCTGGCTCATCGGGCCCTGGAGCTTTAGGTAATGACAGGTTTTTCACCGTCTCCATTTCTGGTTAGCGTTAGTACACGTCAGATGCCGCCAGCCTCTGCGAGCTGTGCTCGTGCGGTTGGGTCTCGGGCAAGTGTGTTTGGAGTGACGCTTGACAGGAGTGAGATGTGGCCGGGGCGGGCCTGGGCAGCGGCTGGCGAAGCTGACTGGCCCCGAGCGAGGGGAGGATCGGAGGAGGGGCGCGCTCGGGGCGCCAGCTGGGCCTTACCATCTCCACACTGCTGCTCGCAGCCAACAGCCACCGGACGTCCGCCATCATATTCAGATGTGATGAGAACGAGGACGTTGGGAGGCCCCAGGTGTTGAGTGAAGTCCGCGGGTGCGAGGTGACATTCGAGTGGAGGACGAAGGTGGTCTGTCCCCCGAAGAAGATGGAGTGCAAGTTTGTCCACCAGCACAAAACCTATGACTTGCGGCTGCTCTCCTCACTCACGGGGTCCTGGTACTTCGTTCACGAAGGAGCCTCGTGAGTACCTTGCTGCAGCGTTGGGGAGCAGGTGGAAGCTTCGGGTGCCCTTGCTAAGGCTGCAGTGCCAGGCGCCCGGGGCCTGCGGTGGCTCCCATGGACATGGTGCTCCCGGGCCACAGTCCGAAGCGTCGTTCTGGGGAGCCCTGGCGTCGTGGGTGCGTGTGTGGGACTGTGAGTAGGGACAGAGAAGCTGGCCGGCTGAATGGGATCAGGCTTGATTAGAAGTGCGCAGGATCACACGTTGCCGGCCTGTGCGCACTGTGTGGAATTTTCTCCGGCAAGACCTCAGGCTTGGCCTGCGGGGGTCGCGCCCATGCAGCAGAGCGAGCCTGCCACGGGGTTCCTCGGCTGTGTGGGCTTCAGTCAGAGCAGGGTGGGAACTGGACAGCTTGTGAGTTACTTTTGCCTCCAGCCGCTACCTATCCTAGCTCTGTAGCCTTTTCCTGACCACACTCAGTGCCAGGCCTTCCGCAGAGGTAGGCATCTCCCTCCCTCCCTCCCTCCCTCCCTCCCTCCCTCCCTCCGCATGAGCCAGCTCCACCAGCGCCCGTCCGCAGCGCCGACCACTCCTTGGGCCCTTCCCCACGGAAAGGCCGTTCCCAGTACATGGAAGGACGGGCTGGAGCGCGAGGCTATTGCAGGTGTCTCGGGACAGATGTCACTCACCCTCTCACCATCCCCCGTGTTGTCTGCAGGTACTTCATCAATTTGTGCCAGAAAGTTTACAAAGGGCCCCTGGGCTGCTCTGAGAGAGCCAGCATTTGCAAGAAGAGCGCCTCTGGCCAAGTCCAGGTCCTGGGACTGGTGCACACACAAAAACTGGACGTTGTGGGTAAGACCTGGGGTCCCACAGTGTGGTTCAGGCGGGTGTCTGGATTGGACGAGGAGGTCGCCCTGCCTGTGGCAGGGTGGGCCTGGGCTGTAGCCCACAACTTCCACTTCCTATCGGTGACTGCCTGCTGGGCATTTCAGTAACTTTATAGACTCATGAAAATAATGTCACTTATTGGTAGCAGAGACTGCCAGTCTGGGTGTTCACGGTTCCTCTGAAGTTTCTAGCTGTAGGTCAAGCATCTATATCTACCTCTAACTCTAAATCTATCATGTAAATCTACCATTTATACAGCTGTTTAGGTAAGCCGGGCAGTTGCCTAGTCCTTGATAAAGATAATTGTGCTATATATTTTTCCGTCCAGGACCAGGATTTGAACTCAGGGCTTTGCACTTGCTTGATTTGCTTGGTTTGCTTGCTGGTACTTTATCACTTGAGTCACACCTTCATTCCTGCTGTTTTGCTGGTTAATTTGGAATAGCGTCTTGGAGATTTTTTCTACTTGGGTTGTCTTTGAACCATGATCCTCAGATCTTAGCCTCCTGAGTAGGATTATAGGCATGAGGCACTGGTGCCTGAATTAGATATTTTTAATTATTTGGGAAAACATGAAGAAGAAAAACAGCATTTACATTCTCCCATCAGACCCCGAGGTCTGCTGATGACAGCATGAGAGAGAGCATGAGTGGGCCCGAGAGATGTCCGTGGGAAGCGAGTCCTGAGGAAAGGTGGTGGCAGCCGAGCCCAGGGCCTCAGCTGGGGCATGGAGGGAGGGTTACCTACTGCAGGCAGCGCCAGGCCCAGCAGGCCCTCCTCCTGGGGAGTCTCTATGTGGCTGCTGTCCTGACCGCGTGTCTCAAGGGCTGAGCGTGCGTCAGGTTTCCAACCTGCTGTTTAGGATGCTTGCCTAGGCAAGGGCTGTGCCCCGAGTCTCATCTCCAGCCCAACACGGGGTGTTTGGGGAACTGCCACAGATCGCACGGCTCTGTGGGTGGTGGAGGAGCTCACGGGGAGGGCCAGTGGGGCGGGGGTGGTGGTGTGCCTTGGATAGTGGGGGTGGGGGGCACGTGTCTCTGGGACTAGACTTTGGATTCTTGATCCCATTTTGTGAAAGCTGAAATTCTTTTTTAAAAACAGGAAATGTCTCAAAATATTACACAGAAATAATTGAAGGGCGACTTCATCTCCAGATGCTTTGGGTTTGAGGCAGGGTTGAGAACCAGACATCCACGCTCTCGCTTCCCTTGCAGCCCCTGCTCCCATGGCCTGTGTCCGGAGCACACCCGCGGCGATGCCAGCACGCACGCACGCACGCACGCCTGCTGCCTTCTCACCTGGGAGCCGGGGGTGGAGGACTCGTGCGGGAGGGCAGCCTGGGAGCTGCCTGAGCTGCCCGCAGTCTCCGAGCAGAGGATAGGTTGACACCCGGTCACCACAGTCCCTGGGGTTCTTGCTGTTTAGCTCATAGAAGCAAAAGGGTTTTGCTTTTTTGACATGCCACATTCAGAAGGCAGAGAATGCCCCGAAAGCAGCAGGAGGTCTCTGTCTGTGTCTCCTCACGTGATCCCCTAACCTGTTGTTATTCAGAGGCTCAGCAGCTGACGGCAGCCGTCAGCAGACCACCTAGAAGGATGCCCGAGTTGTATGAGGTTGGATCCCTAATGGTAGCCGACCTTAATCAAAGTCTTACGTTGCCCACATTTCCCTTACACTTCATGACTTGCAAATCGCACAGGTTTGGACACTTTTGTAGGTGAGGCGAAGGAGATCGGGCTCTCAGCTCCAGAGTCATGCAGCTCATTTGCTTGGGCCGAGCCTGTTGTGTTGTGGCCGAGGCTGTGGTGGTGCTGACAGCAGCCCTTGACCTCTTAGAGAGCTGAACAGCAGTGGTGTCGGGTGGTGGCCTGGCCCTAGAAGAAGCCCGACTCCTGCCTCTGAGGCTTTTATGAAGCACTGGAAATAACCGCCCTTCCACCGTGCGTGTGTTTCAGATGACAAAGTCGTCGTTACCTATTCCAAAGGCTATGCGTGCGGTGAGAACAAGACTGCATCCTCTGTCATAGAGCTGACCTGTGCCAAGACGGTGGGCAGGCCTGCGTTCAAGAGGTGAGGCGCTGCGCAGGCACTGTCGGCCTCTGTGGTGTCACCTGGCACGCACGGAGAGGATATTTGGGTTTGAGACTTAGGGCCTGGGGACTGGAGCCGCTGCCGGTCCTGTCACCTACCCAAAGGACTTTGGGGTGTAGGCTGAAATACAGCTACTAGACCAGTGAACTCCAGCCTCGTCATTGAAAATACACTTTCTGAACTGGCTTAGCATCGTCCGCACCGGCCGTGCAGGGTTTAAGTGGCCACCGTCTCTGAATGTCGTCGCTGTGGAACTCACAGGACATGTGTTGAGGCAGGCCACCTTCGTGGCCAGGCCTGTCCCCTGGAATGTTCTCTAGGAGCATAGCTTGGCCAGCAGGGGGCGGATGCGAGCTGTGCGTGGTAATAAACCATTCCTTCTGGAAGCTGGACTTGAAAAAGGAGAATCCCAGAAATTGTCAAAGGACTTTCAATTTATGAGTCTCCGTCTTAAATCACAAATTCGTAAGCCTCTAGGAGTAAATTTTCCCAGCTTTAAACGTTGCCCTGTTCCTAAATGCCAAAATATTTTATACTGCATTCCAATCTCTTTGGCACTGGGACCGTGCTGGTCATCTTGGGGGAATAGAGACCGCTCCTAGCTCAAAGCCCAGGCGCAGCAGGCCTTCTGGTGGCCCTTGGGGGCTGATGGGGAGGCCTTGGGATCCGGCTGGCCTGACCTGGCCTGAGAGCCAGCAGGTGTGTTTCAGGCGGGGCAAGTGTCTGGCTGAGAGGTGACGGACCGTGGTTCTCCTAGATTTGACATCGACAGCTGCACCTACTACTTCCGCTGGGACTCGCGGGCCGCCTGCGCCGTGCGGCCTCAGGAGGTGCACATGGTGAACGGGACCCTCACCAACCCTGTGAACGGCAAGAGCTTCAGCCTCGGGGACATCTATTTTAAGTAAGTGAAACACTTTCCAATAACTCACATTTCTCCCTGTCCGGGAGGGTTGGCCTGCGTGCTTTAGTTACAGTTGCCTGAGTAGCCATCACATTGTGCTTAAACCAAAGAAAGTATGACTCGGCTATTGAGATTTAACATCCAAAATGTTGAATGCTGGGCGTATAAAAATAGCGTTCTTCATCCCCTGCGTTTCTCAAGGCGCTCTGCAGTGCAGCGACGCTCTGAGAGCGAGTCAGGCAGGTGGCTCCTGGCTTGGCTGCGTTGCGGTGGTCGTGACCTTCTGCCCTGTCCTGAGAGTTACCTTGGAGTCAGGTGGCGGGGCGTGTGGCTGAGTGGGAGGCAAGGGGCTGCGTGGTTCTGGGGACAGCAGCTCCAGCATTTGGGAAAGGTACGTTTGTGCCCGAAGGCCGAGGAGGGGCATGGTGACGGCTGGGCTGCGTAGAGGTTGGTTCCCTGGCGTGGCTGGAGCTGCAGAGTGCTTCCCAGCTCGGGGATGCCGCAGAAAAGCACAGGGCCTTGGAGCTCTGTTTGAGTGACACCCAGAACCTCCAGATCACTGTGCTCCTCCGCTTTTCAGGCTGTTCAGTGCCTCTGGTGACATGAGAACCAATGGCGACAACTACCTGTACGAAATCCAGCTGTCCTCCATCACCAGCTCCACGAACCCCGCGTGCTCCGGAGCCAACATCTGCCAAGTGAAGCCCAGTGACCAGCACTTCAGCAGGAAAGTGGGCATGGCTGACAGGACGAAATACTACGTGCAAGGTAACGCAGCCGGTGGAGCGTCCCCCCGGCAGGACACTAACCTGTCCCCACCAGCTCCTTTCCGCCGCAGCCTCCCATCAGTCGATCAGTTGTAAAGGAAACCTAGGACCCGTGTGCAGTGTGCCAACGCGTACCTCGCTGCAGCCCGCTGGGCCGGTGTCGGACCTCAGCAGCTCTGTGTGCATCTCACAGGGCGGCGCGGAGCTGCCCTGCCAGGGTGGGGGGCTTCAGACAGGGGATACCCGGGAGTTCTGTGCGAGATACGGACAGACTTTGGAGCTTCAAGTGACAGCGGAGAAGGATAAGAGGCCGTCTGTTAAGGATCAGAGGAACAGGAGAAGCGATGGCAGGGCCTGCGTGTGCACGGAAGGCTTCCCACTGGTCCTTGTGATCATATCCTGCAAGGCAGCTTGGGAGCGCTTGCTTAAACAACTCCACTCACTGTGTGCTCTTTAGGAGTTTAAAATTTGGACAGGGTGGGGGCGGCAAAGTGCTAGAACAAGTCCACACTCGCAGCACCCTGCTCCTGAGCTGGTGGGCCTTCACAAGCACTTGGCGTGTGTGTTCCTTGTGCCAGGACCCGGGGCCGTGCCCCGAGGGGACATTCTGTTGCCAGGAACCCCATTGTCTCTTCTTCTGCTTGTGGTCCTGCCTGTGTATGGCTCCACCACTCAATTCCTCAGGGACTCCAGGTCATCCTGGGACCCGGCCGCATGTGCAGGGTGCGCTCCACGCACTAGCATGCCAGGGCCCGCCCACCATCCTCCTAACCCCGCCCATCCCCCCTCCCCCAGAAGCCACCTTTTACGGATCTGCTCACAGAAGCTGTGTTCAAGCCCCATGGCGTAGTGCATATCTGTAGGGCATTCTGGAGTCCCCAGCGTCCACAAGATGCACTGTGTGTGTGTGTGTGTGTGTGTGTGTGTGTGTGTGTGTGTGTGTGTGTTCATTTTGGGCAACCCAGCCTGCCCTCAAAACTCATAGTCCTCCTGTTTCCCATGTGCTTGGATTACAGCTGTGTGCCACCATGCTTGCCATGTAAGGAATTTTTGGTTAAGAAAATGCCTTTCTGGCCATTTCACGTGGCTCGTTTCACCCACATCATGAAGAAGTTAGTCTTCCTTGGGGGGGGGGGGGAACCTGTGCTTCCTGCTGAGCCACCCACGGCGTTAGGAAGGAGCAGCCCACCCGGCACGCTTCAACATCTCTTACTGCTGGCAGGGGCCAGGGTTTGCATGACTGGCCCCCACTTGGTAACCTCACAGAACTCACTGGAAGCCATTGTGTATATGGCGATGATGGGCAGGACACAGGTCACCGTCACCCACACCAAGGGCCTCAGAGCGCTGGGTCTAGGAGGGGTTGAACGCAGAGCCGCCAGTGGTCTCCACCCTGGAGCCTGAGTGTGTGGGGGTCCCATGGCCATGAGCGACGCTGTGCATGCAGTGTTGCCATCCAGCGTGCCCCTGCACCTCCGCTACCGTTTCTGTTGGGCTCCCTTGTGCAGATGATGGTTAGTTGCTCATACGATTGATCTCAGTCTCCAGGTAGAATGATGGCAGCTGGCCAAATCATGGGACAGAGTAGCCAAGGACAGAGGCTAGGCCTCTTGGGTGGATGTTAAATTCTCCCCTGAACTTGGGACACGGGCTCCCCCATGTGAGGGGAGTGGCTTCTAAGCCGTGAAGGCGGCAGTGCACATCTTCCCATCTCTGCAGTCTGAACAGCTGGGGTAATGGGAGTGTGGGTGCTGTCCCTCTTCCTGCCAACAGATGGCGACCTGGACGTCGTGTTTGCCTCTTCCTCCAAGTGTGGGAAAGATAAGACCAAGTCTGTCTCTTCCACCATCTTCTTCCACTGCGACCCTCTGGTGAAGGACGGCATCCCCGAGTTCAGCCACGAGACCGCTGACTGCCAGTACCTCTTCTCCTGGTACACTGCAGCCGTGTGTCCTCTTGGGTGAGTCCAGCCAGCCGGGCAGTGGGCAGTCTGTGTGTGTAAAACATTCAAACTTTACACAGGAAAAGTAAAAGGATCGCGAGGTCTCTCCTGGCCAGCCCCCGCCCCGGTGGTTCTCAGCAAGCTGCTGTTTATTTGTGTAGTCGGTTTCATGGCTGCCACCCTTCCCCCCCATATGCGTCCAAGGTGTGCACTGTGTCTGGCTGGAGAGGCCTGGCACGGTCCTTAAAAAACCCTCACAAAAACCTCCCAGTGAACATGGAAACAGACCTGTCCCAGTTGAGCGTTAAGAAGAGATTTCAGTCACTGTCAACATCTTGGTTAAGCTTTGTTAGAAACCAGAAAGATGGACAACTAATCTGTGCCCAGAATTCTAGCCTACAGAAACTGTAAGGATTGGTTTTAATTACTAATTTGGAAAGGACAGTTTGTTTAATGGCAAGAAATAACAAAAAAAATACCGTCGTGGGGCTGGAAAGGTGGCTCAGTAGTTGCTTTGCATGCATGAGGCTCTGGGTTCAATTCCTCAGCAACACATAAGTAGAAAAAGCCGGAAATGGCCGGGCGCTGGTGGCTCACGCCTGTAATCCTAGCTACTCAGGAGGCTGAGATCTGAGGATCGCGGTTCAAAGCCAGCCCGGGCAGGAGAGACTGTGAGACTCCTATCTGCAATAAACCACCAGAAAACAGGATGTGGCGCTGTAGCTCAAGTGGTAGAGCGCTTGCCTTGAGCTGAAGAGCTGAGGGACAGCGCCCAGGCCCAGAGTTCAATCCCCATGACCGACAAAAAAAGAAAAAAGAAAAAGCCGGAAGTGGCGCTGTGGCTCAAGTGGTAGAGCGCTGGCCTTAAGCTAAAGAGCTGAGGGACAGCGCCCAGGCCCAAAGTTCAGGCCCCATTACTGACAAAAAAAAGAAAAAGAAAAAAAAAGGAAAGAAAAAAAGGAAACCACCGTCGCAATGTATCCTGCATGTTCACCTCTGTAAGGAACAGGAAGTCCATAAGGAAACAATCGATTAAAGGTGGGGAGATTATGGGTTAGTTGTTTACTTTGTTATTGTAAAGATCATGTGCAGAGGGATTGTAATTACATGAGGCAGGTAATGTTATGTTTCCTTTTGTACTGTGTCTCCCTTCCTTCCTCCCTCTGCACCGCTGTGTCTCCCGTCTGTTGGGGGGCAGGGCTGTGTGCACCCCCTTTGTCTCCCTCCCGCCCACTGGGGTCAGCGCTGTGTGCCTCCTCCCCGCACGGCCAGCGCAGTCTGTGTGCCCGCACTGGTTTTGTGGAGCACAGCTGCACTTCAGTTAGAATAAAGTATTTTCTGTTGAATGCATGGAAAACTTACTCTGCAGACCCAGCTTTGAAGAAGCTGGATTGAAAGAACCTGTGGAGAACTCGGTCTTGGCTCTGGCATCTGGGGTGTTCACCCGTCTTCCTGAGAATTGTGTCTAAATCTCCACATGCGGGTGCCAGATATACGAGATGCATGAGGCAGCTCAGTCAAGGCCAGGAGCAAGCACTCGCGTGAAATGTAGAAACACTTAGAAACCACAACATGCTTCTGTAACCCATGGTTTAAAGCAGAAACCAGAGTTGGAAACTAAAGCGTGCTTAGAACTCAGCGGTGATGACGGTGGCTCGGCAGCCAGCATGCCGAGGGCTGGCGTCAGCTGCTGCACAGGTCTGAGCGGCAGCTAGCTATTACAGCTTGCCCTAGAACCCAGCATATTGGAAACTGCACATTCTAAATGCACATTCTAAATGTAGGCCTCCTCTGTCCCTTTCTTCCTTGCGTGTGTGTGGCTAGTGGGGTCGCATCTCGTACCCTTCTCCAGGCTGCCTGCCTGGGGGACAGCCCCGTGTGTCATCCTGTGCGGGCCGGAGTCACTGGCCAGGAAGGTTACACGGATCTTTACACGGACAGTAGCTTCTAAGCAGAAGGAAGCTCGTCTTGACCGTGTCTACTTTCATGTTGCTCGTACCTCCTGCCGTGCAGGTGTGCTGGTGGGTGCGCTGGCGGGGTGTCCCTTCAGGGTGTCCCAGGCAGGCCAGGCTTGGGGTAGAAGGCTCCTTGGGGTCTGCTCAGCCCAGCCTTGTCCATGCTGGACTCGAGCCCTAGCCTCATTGACCTACTAAGAAAGCAAACCCCCCACCGCAGAGAGTGCTGGGTGGAGCCCAAGGCGGAGCTGCAGGGGGGGGGTGAGGTGAGGGTGAGCCCCACCCACCTGTCTGCCCGCCTTTGTCCACTTTCAGCTGGTGATATTGTACTGTGCTCGAAGCACTGCTTTCTGTCTGCTGGGCGAGTGAGATGTGACCATGCTGGGGAAGGCCAGGAGTCCGGGGCACTGCCGTGGCCACTGCCCCACGCAGTGACCGCTTCCTTTCTTCCATGTCTTCCCAGGGTGGGCTTTGACAGCGAGAGTGCTGGACTGGACAGGCCGGAGTACAAGGGGCTCTCAGAGCGGAGCCAGGCCGTGGGAGCCATCCTCAGCCTGCTCCTGGCGGCCCTGACGGGCTGCCTGCTGGCCCTGCTGCTTCACAAGAAGGAAAGGAGGTAAGGAGGGCCCCAGGGGCACAGTTTCCAACCAGGTCCTGGGCCCAGGCTGCGTCGTGGAGTTTGAGCTTAAAGGTCTTCACCCAGAGCTCTCTGTGCCAGCAGGCTCCACAGCTTTGTAAAGGTCGAGACCAGTGCTGGTGGCTCACACCTTTAATCCTAGCTCCGCAGAAAGCTGAGATCTGAGGGTTACAGGTCAAATCCAGCCCATGTAAGAAAGTCCATGAGACGATGTCTCAAGTGGCAGAGTATTAGTCTTGGACACAAACACTCAGGGACAGTGCCCATGCCCTGAGTTCAAGCCTTAGGACTAGCATATGTGCATGTGTGTGCACGTGCATGCACATGTACACACATACACATACTGCTTTCTAAATGTCTGTTACCAGGACGCAGTGTATGATTTTCAGAGCTGTGCACCATCCACAGGAATGCCAGTGTGTGACGTGGCATCTCATGTGGATGCACTGTGAACTCCTTGGCTCTGCCTGCAGGTGTCTAGGACACTCGCTTCATGTGTCCTAAGATTCGTGGGGTTTTCTACATTGTTCACAGGCAGACTTACTGCTGGCAGGCTGACCCCCTCCCCCTCCCTCACCACATACGCGGGCGCCCATTAAGCTCTTGCTGCCTGTCACGTGTGAAGCTGGCTTATTGGCTGCCGTTACTGGGTGAAGACAGCTGTCATGTGACTGCCCACACATTTCCCGACACGCGTTGTGAGGCCTGGGGAAGGTGGTCAGCTACGGACTGGGTGTCCACACACAGGATTAGGGAGAAGGTTGGCTGAGGAGAGGATGTCAATGCCCCGTCCTGGCAGCACATGTAGCTCCTCCGCAGCCTTGGGCAGAAGGAAGGGAGGAGCTCCTGTCCCGGGCACACCCAAAACTCTGAGAGAAGGCAGAGGATTTGCGTCCTCTCCCCCCATGCCATGACAGAAACATGGCTTCGTAGCTGCTGTAACAGCCGTGTGCCCCTCGGGTGGAGGAGTGTAGCTCCGGAACAGCCGTGTGTCCCTCGGGTGGAGGAATGTCTGGCATCGTAGCCCTTGTGACTGGCCATCCTGAGTGGCCCATCCTTGGCTGTGGGTGCCCAGGATGGGGCTCTTGACCGCTGCTACTGCTTCCCCAGAGTAACCACCATCTCCTCCTTACAGGGAAACTGTGATAAATAAGCTGATGAACTGCTGCCGAAGAAGCTCTAGCGTGTCCTACAAATACTCAAAGGTACTGACTGAGCCCGGGGCGGTGCCTCCCTGCCCAGCTGCCCGCGGGTACCCAGAGGCATCCGGCGCTGCTTCCCTCTTGTTCACGCCTCCTCGTGGTCTTGTCATCGTACTTTGGCTAGCTCTGATGAGATTACCTGCACTCAGCATTGAAGCCCTCCAGAAGGGGTCTTGCCTGGGTCAGAGAACATAAACATGTTACTGGCTCTCGACACACACTGTCAGATTGCCCAAGTGCACTGTGACCTGAGCCCTTCCCGTTGTGTCTCTTCTTGCACACTGAAGTCCCCTTCCCTGTTCCATAGCTACCCCCTCCCCTTTCCCTACCACCCAGGCAACCTGCCCTCACTACAAGCAGGCCTGGAGGGGTCCTGGGAGCAGAGCCTGGGATGGACTGGGGGCTGTGGCCCAGGCTGGCAGGGAAGGCCCCTGACCTGGGGCAGTGGGGCAGGGAGGGTGGCCAGGGAGTGGAGCAGGCCTCTCCAGAGCTCACTGTCTCCGCTGCTCCCTGCAGGTGAACAAGGAAGAGGAGACAGATGAGAACGAGACAGAGTGGCTGATGGAGGAGATCCAGCTGCCGGCTCCCGGGCTGGGGAGGGAAGGGCAGGAGAACGGGCACATCACCACCAAGTCTGTGAAGGCCGAGGCGCTCACATCCCTGCACGGGGACGACCAGGACAGCGAGGACGAGGTCCTGACCATCCCAGAGGTGAAAGTTCACTCGGGCAGAGAAAGCTCCCAGCCCAGGAGAAACCCACCACGCAAGGCCCTGCGGGAAAGGGAGGACGATCGGGTGGGGCTGGTCCAGAGCGAGAGGGCCAGGAAAGGGAGGCCCAGGCCTGGACAGCAGAAGACGGCGGGCTCGTCCAAGCTGGTCTCCTTCCACGACGACAGCGACGAGGATCTCCTACACATCTAACCCGGTGCCTACAGGAGAGCACGAGCCGAGCGGCAGCCAAGCACCTCCAACCAAATAAGACTTCAGCTCGATGATGCTTCTAGAATTTTGCCTTTAACAAAAACTGCTTCAAAAGGGAAGAGTTTTTGTGCGCGGGGGTGGGGGGGTGGAGGCGAGCAGGCGCCGCTCCTTCGAGATTGTTTACATCGTTGGAACGCGGCCTGCTCGAATTGGCCAAAGGGCGGTGCCTCGTGCCCAGGGTTTGCCCGAGTCCTCGTCTACAACCTCGCTGCTGCGCACTCCTGAGAGTGCCAGGCCCGTGCATCTCAGAACAGAGGGCTGTGTTTGAAAAACCCTTGCTGCTTTAGACCCTCTAGGGTGTTTGACCATTTATATGTTAGCATTTTAAGTCTCTCCCCCTATTTATTGACTTTGACAATTACTCAGGTTTGCGAAGAAAAAAAAACCCCGCCAGTTTGTGGTGGCAGAGGCACAGCGCGGGGGCCGGGGAGGGGGCTGCCTGCGTGCCGGCCGGGGCCGGGGCCGGGGCTCGTGGGACTGGAGCTGGTCCAGGTTGGCAGACTGCTTAACGTTTCCAGGCCAGGCGGGCTTGTCTGCTCCTGGCCTCCGGCAGGGAGAACTGGCTTCGGTTGTCTCTCTGCTGGCACCTGCAGTCCAGGCGGCCGCATTGCCTTTCTCCAGCTGGGGAATTCGAACAGCCCACCCAAAGATGAGATTCCTTGGTGCGCGGGAGTGGAATTGGGTGTCAGAAGAAATGACTGCTTTCTAGGTTTGGACTGTAGGTCTCGTTGGTTCAGGTTCTCATCATACCACCTTTACTGTGCTTATTTTTTTAAGAAAAAAAAAAACAAAAACAGTGTTTATCAACCATTTGACCTATAAGAAGCCTTAATTTGCACAGTGTGCGACTTACAGAGATTGTGAGATGCAGGGTGGGGGACGGAGGGCAGGCCTGGCTTCTTCCACTGGCTGTGCACTCCTTTCTCCAAGTGTTTAGTGAGTGGCTGGCGTCGCGTTGTAGAATTGTACATAGGCGCAGTGGCATTCCCGTACTGAAAAGCCAACTCCCGGCAGAGTTCTTTGGTTTGTGCCTGATTTGGCTGGCTTATTTGATTTCCACATAAGTGTATTTTTTAAAATTGATTTTTCTCTTCATTTCTTTTCCAATCAACTTTACTGTAATATAAAGTATTCGACAATTTCAATAAAAGATAAATTATTAATTGGTTTTGTTTTTCTCCTCCCCGTTGGGATTGTAAAAACTTGCTGTGCTCGTGGCTTGGCTTTTCTTTCTGTTCGACTTTCAAAAAAGTTTAGATTCAGTGTCCTGTTTGACCCGTACTTCAAACAGCGGCTCAGTTTTTTCTCTGCTTTGCAGTTCTAGGGGTTCCCCCTTGATACCGGGGCGCCTGCCTTCAGCTCTGGAGCAAGCTCTCCACTCTCCACACGGACCCCAGGGATCTCCTCTTCAGCGGGCACAGCCCCCGACGTGGCCTCCAGGGATAGGATACAGGATCTTTGTATGATGCAGTCAGTGTAATGTGCAGCATAGCCTCCCAGTCTGCCTTTCACACAACGAATTAGCAGTGGAGAGCTACCTGCGTGTTGATGGGAAAGCAGACCGTTCCTGTAATAGTTCACATTGTCTAAAGTTCCCGCTACCTGTGGTCCACAGATATTACATAGAAAATTCCATGAATCAAGCTTAAATTATATGCCATTCTGAGTAGGTGGAATCTCCTGTGCCATGTGCGACCGGCGCGTCCTCTGTGTGCCCCCCTCCCGCTCATCACAGGATGCCATGCTGCTGCCTGTGTCCCCTTTTTTACCTAGTGGCTTCAGAGCAGAAGAGTAGTGAAGCTGGCGATTCCCATAGGACAAAGAGAAGTCAGGAAGGACTGGTGTAGGTGACTGGGTGAAAGTTCTTGACACAAGGAAAGCAAAAACCTATGTGGAGGAGGAGGGAATTGGTGGGAAGTTGCCTCTCAGTGGCTAGGTCAGTATGGGGAGAAGCCGTGGGTGTGTACTTGCGTGGGGACGCTTCCCAGGGCAGGCTGATAGTGGAGCGGCTCCTGTGTGGACGCTATTGAAATGCCGGTTATATTGCAAGTTAATGGATGCCTCGTCTTGGTTCCTTGAAGGATTTTGTGAGAATCTCCTGGGGTTTTACAAAGGTGTATGCGATGACTGAAGTTTTGGGCTTTGTGCCATCTCCCTGTCGCCGAAGGCCGCCGGGAGCCCTTGGTACAGAGGGGCGTCTGCTGCCCTGGCTAGCCGTCAGGAGGGGCTGAGGACGGAGCAGTGCCACAGGTGTGTGGATGTGGTTGCTCCAACTCGGCCTCCACCCAGAGCCTCTGAGAAATGCAGACAAACCACCTGTCAGGCATGATAGGAGTACAACCTCCACGTGTAGTTTGCCTTTAGGGACACGTGGTGAGGCGTAGACGGCTCTCCACTGGAACTCTTCGGAAGCATTTGAAGCCCCCACTTCTACAAAATGGGTATGGCACAGGAAGCACAACCAGAGGCCCAGCTATTAGAAAAGGCTAGGCCACCCAGGGCCAGCGTGCGGGGCAGGAAGGAGTCTCGATTCCAGAAGCCTCTTTCTCAGCTTCAGAGGAGCCCTGGGGCTCCTGAGGGGCACCCACTCCACGGCCTGCTCCTCTGCCCCAGCGTTGACTTCCAGCCATCCTGCGCTGCAGTCAGTGCCTGATGCACACTTTTGAAATGATTCTTTCTGCCGAAGCCGAAGGAAGACAAAGTCACCAGAGCGAGCCGGTGAGAGGAGGCCAGGGCTGGGGCCGCGCAGGCCAGCCCCGGGTGGGTCCCGAGGCACCATGCGATTGCTGAGTGTGGTGGGGGAGACGCAGCCCTCAGTGGGGGTCCTGGGGTGGGAGGGCTGGATCTGTCCCCAGGGCAGTGGGGGCCATGGAAGGGCCAGGTTCGCTGCTGAGGTCTCCACGCCGGGGGTGGGGGCCGTCGCTGTGCCATCGCCGACAGGCTCCGGCTGGAAGGATCTTCCCCTGAGACAGGGAAAGCGGAGGTCAGGCCGCCTCCTATTTGGCAACCAAGTAGAGCTGATCCATTGCTTCGGTACTCCCAGCGTAGAGCGGACCCCCTGGCGTGAGGGGGTTCACTGCTGTCATCCCAGGGTGAGCGGGGAGCCCTTGTGGGAGTCAGCCCATCCCAGAGGAGACAGCCTTGGGGTTCTGTAGCTTGACCTGTCTTTCTTGCCCAGTCAGCCTGGCCTCTGCGCTTGCCCCTGTTTCTGGTTCCATCCCATCTCTTCGCTGGCCCTGGGGCATAGCAAGGCCTGGTCAACTGTGCTAGACCAGGGGAAGTTCCCCTTGGGTTCTATCTAGTGGATGTTTGGTGTGTTGAGGTGATCTACACAATGCTTCAGAAGCTCAAGTCTCAGTTGACTCATTGAAATTTGACCTAAAGTCAGACACAGGTCAGGTGACCTGCCATCTTAGTTTGTTCTGTGCTGCTGTAACAAAATACCAGAGACTGGCAATTGTACAGAGAGAAGAGATTCCTTTTGGTTCGTGGCTCTAGAGGCTGGGAATCCAAGGCCATGATGCCGATGAGAAGGTGTGCTATTTCTATTCAGAAACAAAAAGGGTCAGTTAGTGGGCACTCGTGGAAGGTAGAAGGTACGGGGGTGGGGAGGGAGATTCTGGATGATTTATAACAACCTGTTCTGTGGCTGGCCCATGCTGGTGCTAATGGCCTTAACCCCTTCATGACAGTGGAGCCCCTGGGCCAAAAACGCTTTTTTTTTTTTGGGTCCAGTCGTGGGGCCTGAACTCTGGGCCTGGGCGCTGTCCCTCAGCTCTTCAGCTCAAGGCTAGCGCTCTACCACTTGAGCCACAGCGCCACTTCGGCTTTTTTCTTTTTGCTTATGTGGTGCTGAGGAATCGAACCCAGGGCCTCAGGCATGCAAGGCAAGCGCTCTACCACTGAGCCACCTTCCCAGCCCCCACAAACGCTTCTTAAAACCTCTCCCACATCTCAACTTCCTTATACTGGCAATTCAATTTCAACATGAAGTTGGCAGAGCACATTGTAGATCTCGCCTCCTCCTGGTCTTGGATCGTCAATCTGTAAGGTCGGGAGTCATGTGTTCAACAAGGCCCTTGTTCTGTGACCCTGCATGCTCAGTTCTGGGAGGGCGGGGGTTTCCCCAGCTCCCAGTCCCCAGTCACTTCTACACCAGTTGCCCTGCGTCTCGGCACAGGTCTCCGCAGACTGGAGCCATGCACTTAGGAGCAGCTGGGGAGGAGTAAGGTGCCTCTGTACCTGGGCCAAACAGTAGAAAGAAGGCTGATGGGGGAGGCTCACCTGCTGCCCAGCTGTGTGTGAAGCAAGAACTTTGCCCCCAGACACTGCTTCCCGGGCGTTTGCAGCACGTTTCTGGGGAATGTGGCATTTGGAGGCACTGCAGAAAGGACTCAGCCTTCCTTCGGAGCTCTCCCTCCTGCCAGCCGTGCCCAGGCTGAGCGCTGTTGCAGAAGGAAGCTCGTGGGGAGGGAGATTTCATGCCCCTGGGGTGGGACATGGTGGTGGCCGTGACAGCTAGTCGGACCGGAATTCTGGACTGCTGGTGCCAGCCTGCGTTCTACAGGGCAGAGGAGAGCTGCAGAAACAAGGGGCCCGGCCCTGGAATGCCCATCCCCTGTGCCTTGGCCCTCCCTGGGCTGAAATGGGGCAGGGCAGGCTGCTTTCAGCCTGGCAGGATTTGATGGCTCCTGTGATTCTAGCCCAAGCCCCTGGGTGTTTCATGTGTGCAGAGGTGGCTGGGCCTGGCTTTCTGGGAGCCGGAGGCCTGCAGGGCAGCTGGCTGGGTGTTAGGTAGGTCTTGGGAAATGTGACTTTGCTGGAGATTGCTGGGCATCTCTCCCTGTACTGTTGCAGACTGGTTGCCCAACCTCGTGAGCCCGTGCATCCAAGTCAGGTGCATTGGTTGATCAGGATGGGACGTTTCCGGGGTCGAGGCCAAATCCGAGACCTGGCCCCTGTCTCTGCCTGTGGCGAGCAGACTCATGCTCTGCATTTCCTGGGCTCGGATGGTCCGGGGTGGGTCTGAGAGCCGACGAAGCTGCCTCTGTCCCCAGAGCCCAGGGCTGGGCTGGCTGCAGCTGTGTGACCCTCTTGTCACTAATGTGTTGGTGCAAAGCCCCTCAGCTGTGTGGACTGCAGCCCGGCCGGGGTCCAGTAAGACCCTGCTGAAGTTCCAGTGCTCCCGGACTCGAACCCGGACTCCCCTGAACAGAGCTGGCAGGCTTCTGTCCCGGCAGTTGTGGGTCCCGGGACCTCAGTGTCTTACCCGTCTGCACCCTCTGCTCCCAGCTGGGTGGAACTCCTCCCAGGGCCTGTGCTTCAGCAAGGCAACAGGAGAGAGTTGTGGAGAGCAGGGGTTTCTGTGTTCTGGGACATAACCACCAAGGGGACACCACACACTTGCCGTTTCATTGAGCCAATCACAGGTGTGCACCATACAGGGCGCAAACACCAGGAGGCGGGGGGGGGGGGGGGAGTGGGGCACCACAGGGTCTGCTGAGCTCTGAGACCCCTGCCCGCTGCTGTCTCTGCGCTGCTGACGGTGCCTTAACAGGTCTGTGAGACTGTCCCATTCCTGTTCCATTCCTGTAATCCAAGCTCCTCAGGAGACTGAGATCTGAGGAGCCTGGTTTGAAGCCATCTGGGACAGGCAAGTCCATGAGGTTCTTCTGTCGAATGAACCACCAAAAAGCCAAAAATAGAGCTGTAGCTCAAGTGGCAGAGTGCCAACCTTGAGCAAAAAAAGCTAAGGCCCTGAGTACACACACACACACACACACACACACACACACACACACACACACACACACACACACACACACACACACACACACTGACACACACACAAAAGAGATCTTGTACCAGGGCAAAAGGAAGTTCAAGTTGAGTTAGCTATGGCTAAGACATTTTTACTTCCCTCCACCTTCTCTCTCCCGCTGAAGGCTACGGTGAGAATGAGTCAGGCAGCAGGTGACTTGGCCCTAGGACCACTCCAAAAGTGCCGGGAGTCACTGCCTGAGTGGCTTGGCTGTGCCCTGTCACTGTTTCTCTTCCAGGAGTTCCTGGCCTCCAATTCCTCCAAGGTGCACAGAGCTATGCTGGAAAGCCACCACCCAATGCAGGTCTGGAGGAGGAGGTGTCTGACCCAGCCAGAAGTAGGAGGCAAGGAACCCCCTGATTGGATGCTACGCAGCTACACCCAAGCAGTCAGTTTGTGGCCCTTGATCTATCTGCATTATAAAAGGCTTTTTGTATAAACAGGGAATTGTTCAGGGCCCTGGGAGATGCAGGAGAGTTTCCAGCCCCCTTGCTCACCTCTCTCGCTGTGCAGGTGAGCGCCAGTGATCTCTGCCTGAGCAGCAAAGCAAACAAGCCAGCTGTGGAGCTGCTTTGTCTCCTCCCCTCATCCTCCTACCCGCACCACTGGGCAAAAGGTTACTTGTAGTTGGTTACCGTCCAGATGTGTCATGCTTGGACAGCAAGTTGATGTCAAACCACGCCATTGCAAAAAAAACCTTTGAATGCCAGCTGCATGCAGCCACAACACCCCAGTGTCAGTCCAGCCCAGCTGATGCAGACATCGCCCTGCCATGCCTACCGTCGATGACATTTTGGAGCAGGTGGGAGAGTTTGGCTTGTTCCAGAAGCAGACATTTTTCCTCTTATCGCTGATCTCCGCTGCCTTAGCCCCCATCTATGTGGGCATCGTCTTCCTGGGCTTCACCCCCGAGCACCGCTGCCGGAGCCCCGGGGTGGCTGAGCTGAGCCAGCGATGCGGTTGGAGCCTGGCCGAGGAGCTGAACTACACGGTGCCGGGCCTGGGCGCGGCGGATGATGCCCACCTCCGCCAGTGCACGCAGTACGAGGTAGACTGGAACCGGAGCGACCTGGGCTGTGTGGACCCGCTGGCCAGCCTGGCCGCCAACAGGAGCCAGCTGCCGCTGCGGCCCTGTCAGCACGGCTGGGTGTATGACGCGCCCGGCTCCTCCATTGTCACCGAGGTAAGAATGGGCTCTGCATTTGGGGGGAGGGTCATGGGGGGCCTTCGGGATGGGGAGGGAATAAGAAGCAAAGCCTGCCATCCAGTCTCACATCAATCAGGAAGAGGGAGGGGTCTTGCTTGGTGTGCACCCAGCCCATGTCAGGCCGGGCTCTGGGGGTGGGGGGGAGGGTGCAGAGGACTTTGGAGTGGGAAGCCTGGGGCTCCCCCTCTCCTCCCCCCCACTCCTCCCCAGGCAGCAGATCACACTTTGAGTTTGGCCTGTCCTGTGGAGTCTCTTCCCTCCACTCATGGGAATTGTCCTAGCGTTGGAATCAGACTATTTAGTTGACCTTGACTGTGCCCCTTTCTAGCTGAGTGTCCACAGTACGTTACTCACCATCTCTGAGCCTTGGTTTCTTTCCATGGCAATGAGCAGGGATCACGATAACCTGTTGTCATCAGCCGGGAACTATGCAGTTGTAGACCGGCACTTACACCTCGAGCCTGCTTGTGGTCCCTGGGGCAGTGCGGCCGGGTCCTGGGCCTTGCTTGGAAGACTCAGTTAGCCATTTGAGCATTGTGCTTTGAGGAGCTTTTGGTAAAATAGGTGACCACTAGATGTTTTTTTCTCTTTACTGACCAAGTAGAGGTGACAGTCCTGAACGTGTTCCCATGCCACGCTACCAATACCCTGGTGGTTGCAAGCTACCCTGGAGCCTGAGGTGCCAGGCCCTCCAGCTCCTGGTCTTCCCCAGCTGCCCCCCTTCCCCTCCCCCAGTCCCCCAATGCTGGGCGCCTCCCTCCTTTTCCTCCTTTCTCTGGGGATTTCCATGGCAACACAGGGCTGTCCCTGAAGGGAGGGAAGCCTGCCTGGCAGAGTGTGTGTGTGTGTGTGTGTGTGTGTGTGTGGTGTATGGGTGGGGGTTACTGGGTTCTCTTGTTTTTTGTGTAGTTAAACACACACCTCTTTGTGATTGTCAGTGAAATCATAGGTTCTCCATCTGGTTTTCTTTTGTTGTTTTGTTTTTGGTTTCTTGAGATGGAATCTGTTAGTTGGGTGCCATGGCTCACGTCTGTCAGCCTAGCTATTCAGGAGGCTGAGATCTGAGGACTGTGGTTCAAAGCCAGCCCAGGCAGGAAAGTCCATGAGACTCTTACCTCCAATAAACCACCAGAAAACTGGAAGTAGTGCTGTGGCTTAAGTGGTAGAGCACTTGCTTTGAGGTAAGAGCTGAGGGACAGCGCCCAGGCCCAGAGTTCAAGTCCTACAACCAGAAAAAAAAGAGAGAGAGATGGAATCTGTTATTTTGCCTAGACTGGTTTTGAATTTCTGGGATAAAATAATTCTCACACCTCAGCCTCTAACTAGCTGGGAGCAGAGGTATCCAACACTGCCAGGCAGTATAACACAATTTTTAAAAGATTTATATTGCATATCTTGAATTATTATTTTTTTTACTGATGACTGAGGTTGGAAATAGAAATATTTCACAAGCTACTTGTACCAAGAATTGTTATCTTAAATTCAAATTTAACTGGGCACCCTCCATTTTTATTTGCCAAGTCTGGCAACCTTACCTTAGTGCTAAATGAAAAGATTGGATCTTTATTTAGGTAGAGGACCAAGACAGTTCTAGCTGGACCTGGTAAATGGTCTGAAGCAAGATGGTGGGGAGAAGCTTGAAGAGGCCTATTCAAGAGCCTGGCTGAGAAATGTCAATCACTGTGGTTGTCATGGGAACAGAGGATGATATGAGAGGTGCATACCTTGCACAGGCCAGGGGCATGAGGAGTGACCCAGCTTGGCAGAGGGTTCTGGCTTGGGGGGGGGCAGGCAGGGAGAAGCACTGCACTCTGGGTTCTGGAGTGGTAGCCCTTAGGCAGGAAGGGGTAATGTATAGCCACAGAGGGAACAGAAAGGGTTTTACAAATACCCGACTGTTGGTGCATTGAAGGAGGGAGCGAGGCATTGGTGGGGATTTGAGTGTGCTGGAGCTCGTATTGTCAGGGGCCAAGGAGTTTTTCTGTGCTGGCTAGATTTCAAGGGCATGGGGTTCATCTGAAGATATCAAAGGCCATTAGAAAGACTGATGTGGAGGGGCAGGACTAGGAATGAATGAATGAATGAATGAATGAACGGGGAATCAGCTCATAGACAGGTGTTACCTCCCACTTTATTTGTCCCTTCTAACTGCTTTCAAACTCCCCTGGCCCCGCTCCTTATCCTCCTGAGATTAGGGTTGGAAAATTCTCAGTTGTTAATTGCTGCAGACTAATTTTTAACCTAGTATTATCTTGGACTTTGGGACTTGGTTGTGGAAGAATACTGAATGACTTTGCTTGACCCCACATTTAGCTCCCACCCCAAGGCTTTGAGATTGGAGTGGCGAGGCCCCTGGGGAAGGAATAAAATATTCCAACTTCTCCATCAGCCACAGCCTCAGCCTCCAGCACCCTCCCCCGAGCCCCCACCCCAGTCCCCAGCCCTATTAGTCATGAGCACTGGAGGCATGGTCTCAGGCAGCGGTGAGGTAAGTTGAGGTAAGGTGAGACCGCCCAGGGGTCACCTGCCTTCCGTGTGTGAGTGCCTCCTCTACTGAGTTGGAGTCTGCAGAGAACAGGTATTTGAACCAGGACCCTGGCTAGCTCTAGTGATGAACAAGATGGCGGACATGGCCTTGTTTTCTGTACTGGGCCAGAAAGCCTGGTGCGGCCCTGGTGAACTCCCAGCAGGAGCAGCCAGTGGTGGCCCTGCCGCTGCCAGGTCTGTCTTTGCAGGCCTGGGATGCCGGGGCTGGGCTGAGTTTGGACTGGAGAAGGCCTGGCAGGGCTGCCAGCTTGGAAGAGGGCTCTAGAAGCCCAGGCCCAGCTGAGCTGGGAGCGGAGGAGCTGAAAGGCATGGTGGCTTCACTCGCACACAGTCCCAGGCAACTGGGGCCTTTCAGGATGGAGTAAAACAACTGACAGACACACCAGCTTGCATAGCTGGGAAGGAGAAGCAGCATGACAGCTGTGGAGGGAGGAAGATGCGGTCCAGGGGTGACATTTCCTCCATGGTTCCCGCTCCCTTGGGACAATGGTGGCACCTAGAGCATTGTTTTGGGAGATGTGGGTGGAGGCTCCAAAGAGACCATGCGTAGCTGGGGACTTGGAGCGTGGAGAGGCCAGTTAGCACCTGGGAATGGTCTGTGAGAGGCAGAGCTTAGGCGGGCAGGAAAACCAGGAGGGCAGGGATATGAAGATGGCTCCTAAGCTGAAAGTGAATGGAAATGAACATTGGCATTGGAAGGGAGGTTGGGAGGAAGGCTGAGCCCGTCTGTGGGAGCCGTCCTCTGGCAGGGACGGACAGCAGGGTCTGGGCACGAGCCGGTGTGTGGCAGGGCTCCTATTCATGGCCAAAGTCGGTGGCTCACAGATGCAAGTGCTCATCTCACGGGAGCATTGCTCGTCGCCCATCACACAGCTCAAGTCTTCCAGGCTGGAGCAAGGCCTGGCTTACACCGGCAGCATCGAAACGAGTGGGGAATAAAACCTTACGTTTTACACTAAACGCGTTGCTCTGTGGTAAAACTTTCCTCGTGTATGTCACCTTGAATGTCCCCAGCAGCCCTCAGGTGTGACAGTTTCAGATCAGGAAACAGGCCCAAAGTTGCTAAGTGACCCTCCCTCCCTCCTCCTCCCCTCCTTCCCTTCTTTCTTCCCTTCTTTCTTTCTTTCTTTCTTTCGTTCTTTCCTTTCTTTCTTTCCTTTCTCTTTCCTTCCTTTCTCTTCCTTCCTTTCTCTCTTTTTTCTTTCTTCCTTTGTTTGTTTCTTTCTCTCTCTCTCCTTCCTTCCTTCCTTCTCTCCCTCTCTCTTCCTCTTTCTCTCTCTTTCCTTCTCTCCCTCCCTCTCTTTCTTTCCTTCTTTCTTTGCTGCTTTGCTTCTTTCTTTCGCTTTTTCTTTCCTTCCTTTCTCTCTCTCTTTTTTCTTTCTTTGTTTCTTTTTCTCTCTCCTTCCTTCCTTCCTTTTTTCCTTCCTTCCTTCTCTCCATCTCTTTCTTTCTTTCCCTTCCTTCCTTCCTTCCTTCCTTCCTTCCTCTCTCCTCCTTCCTTCCTTCTTTCCTTCTCTCCCTCTCTTTTTCTTTCTTTCTCTCTCTCTTTCCTTTCTTCCTTCTCTCCCTCTCTCTTTCTTTCTTTCCTTCTTTCTTTCTCTCTCTATCTTTCTTTCTTCTTTCTCCTTCCTTCCTTCTTTCCCTCCCTCCCTCCCTCCCTCCCTCTCTCTTTCTCTCTCTCTTTCTCTTTCTCCTTCCTTCCTTCCTTCCTTCCTTCCTTCCTTCCTTCCTTCCTTCCTTCCTTCCTTCCTTCCTTTCTTTCTTTCCTTCTTTCTTTCTTTCTTTCTTTCTTTCTTTCTTTCTTTCTTTCTTTCTTTCTTTCTTTCTTTCTTTCCTTCTTTCTTTCTTTCTTTCTTTCTTTCTTTCCTGTACTAATCTGGGATCTTGTACTCTCACTCAGCTTGTATGTTGAGTCTGGGCACTGTCCCTTAGCTTTTGTTCAAGGCTGGTGTTATACCACTTGAGCCCAACTTCCACTTCTGGCTTTTGGCAAGTTAGAGATTAGCATGTCAGAGACGTTCTCGCCTGGGCTGGCTTTGGCTGTGAGTGGCTAGGCTGACAGAGGCGAGCACTGGTCCTGGTGCTCAGTGACTCCTCCCATTACACTTGCAGTGCCGCTCTGGGTAGTCTGAGCACGTGTAGCAGAGCAGAGATGGAGGGAAGGTGGCCAGGAAGTCTTCTGCCAGTAATGTGCCCTCCGTCTGCCTTACCCCAGGCCCTGGCATGTGCTGTCACTGGTGTCCTGGGCCAGGGAGAACTCCCTTGCTTTTCCTCAAGCCTCAAACCTTATGTGAGCAGCCAGCGGCTTCTCCCAGCCCCCAGTCCGCACGGGTCCTCCCTAGCTGCCTTTCCCGCTGTCTCTTCCCATGATACTTCATCCAGTGCTTGACACGTGGGACTTTCTGAGTCTCTTCTCGCCTCTCAGATCCCCACTCCCCACCCCATGATGCACTCCCCACAAAGGAGGCCCTGGGGTGTCCCCTCTGACTCTGGCCCCCATTCTCTGGTGCTGCCTTCCAACCACTAGTCACGACTGAGTGCACACCTGCTGCTGGAATTCATGTAATTAAGCACAGAATGACCAATGGGACCAACGAAAGGCTTTTATTGATTTTTACTGGCTCTGGCATTTGTATTTGGTTGCATGGTATTTCTTTTGGAAACTCCTTTACCAAGGAGGTTTTGCCCCATGACGCCAGCTCTGAGTGGCAGCACCCTGGCTGTGGCTGCGTTCGTTAGCATTGGTGAGATGGTACGGAGTGAGTTCTGGATTAAGGAATCGCCAGAACTGGGTCTTAGGAAGACGTGATGAGAACAGGTACGCCACGGGCCAGGTGAAGGGCCTGTGCACTGGGCCAGAGGGAAGCGGGGGTGAATCTCGTGTGATTCGCAGGAGGGGTGAGTCTCCTGCGCTTCTCTTCCCCTCCGCCTCCCTGCGGTGCACCTGGCAGTTTAACCTGGTGTGCTCCGACGCCTGGAAGGTGGATCTCTTCCAGTCCTGTGTGAACTTGGGCTTCTTCCTGAGCTCCCTGGGCATCGGCTACATTGCGGACAGGTGAGCAAGGACCAGGCCCTCAGACCTGCCTTCTGTGCTGTGGGGGGCGGGGGGGGAGCGCTGGGGCTGGGTGGAGGGGGGGTGGAGCTGAGATGCAGGGGCCCTGTGGAGAAAGGAGGGGACGGTGCCCGGGCAGCACAGGTAGAGAGGAGGGGCACAGCCCACACGGGTTCTACCAGCAGGTCGCTGGGGACGGGGCCACTTGGTAGTGGGAGGGGGGGGTAGGAGCAGGCCTGTGTCATGGCTGTGGGGTGCAGGACGCAGAGGTTCCATCTTAGGTCACTAAGTTTGCAGGAGAACCAGCGGGCACGAAGCAGGCAGGGAGGGCGTCCAGCCGGTCCCCGATCCCCACTGCAGCCAGGCCGCCTCGCCCGCAGGTTTGGCCGGAAGCTGTGTCTCCTGCTGACCTCCCTGGTCACTGCCGTGTCCGGTGTGCTGACGGCGGTGGCCCCGGACTACACATCCACGCTGCTGCTCCGTCTGCTGCAGGGTCTGGTCAGCAAGGGCAGCTGGATGGCCGGCTACACGCTGAGTAATGGCGCGGGGCTCAGCTGCCCAGGGCGTGGCAGGCGGAGCCAGGGGTCCAGGAAAGGGGGGCAGCTGATTGCATGGGGGAGGAGTTGTCATCTCTCTTGAGAATCGAGAATCGGAGGCCCGTGGCACCCATCTGGGTGAACCCCAAAGATGTCCATTAAGTGAATGGACACTCCTGGCCCTAGAAGGTTTCCCATCCCCGCGCGGAGCTCCTGGGGAGGGGGAGAGCCTGAGTGGCAGAAAGGCTCAGTGAAAAGCAGATCACTGGGCCTGGCCCAAGCAGGCTGCCTGACACATGACCCTAGCAGGTTGTGGTTGGGGGGGGGGGCGCAGAGAGAAGCTGGGGAGCGGGCAGGGCATGGGGGGACTGGGGAGGAGGAGAGGGCTGGCGCTCACGTCCGCCCCCTGACCCTGTCTCTGTGGCAGTCACGGAGTTCGTGGGCTCGGGCTCCCGCAGGCTGGTGGCGATCCTGTACCAGATGGCCTTCACGGCGGGGCTGGTGCTGCTCACCGGCGTGGCCTACGCCATTCCGCACTGGCGCTGGCTCCAGCTGGCCGTGTCCCTGCCCACCTTCCTCTTCCCGCTCTACTACTGGTAATGGGACATTTGCAGAAAGAGGTGGCAGGGGCGGGGGTGGGGGATCTTCCTGCTCTGTCCTCTCTGAGGCCACGCTCAGGGGACAAAGGCTGCGGGCTGCCCGGTGCTGCCCTGCCCGCGGTCACCCTGAGGAGGGCGGGCCGCTCCTGGTGGGTTTATGTGGAGGCGGCGCCCCAGTGCGGTGGCCGTGCCCGCAGGTGCGTGCCCGAGTCCCCGCGGTGGCTCCTGTCGCAGAGGAGGAGCGCTCAGGCCCGGAGGACCATGGAGCACATCGCCCAGAAGAACGGGAAGCTGCCTCCGGCCGATCTGAAGGTGACGCGGCCGGGAGGGGCCTCCTGCACCACGGGCCTGGGGTTGGCGTGGGGTCTGGAAGACGCCTCTGGGGCGGTGGCTGGTGGGGAGAGTGGGAAGCCTGGCCTTATCCACGTGGGACCCCTCCCGGGGTCCCCGTGCACTGACTGCACAGCCTCCATAGATGCTCTCTCTTGAGGAGGACTCCACGGAAAAGCTGAGTCCCTCCTTCATAGACCTGTTCCGCACGCCCAACCTGAGGAAGCATACCTGCATCCTGATGTACCTGTGGTAAGCCCTTCCTACGTGCTGATGTGTGGTGCTTGTGCCAAGCCCTCCCTAAGTGCTGATATGCCTGTGCTAAGTCCTTCCTATGTGCTGATTATGGTACTTGTGCCAAGTCCTTCCCAAGTGTTGATGTGCCTGTGCTGAGTCCTTCTTACTCGATGTCCGAGTGCTGAGCTGTGGCTGGGCAAACATCAGGGAGTGTAGGTCAGGGTCCTACAGGAGGAGAGAAGGGGAAGAGAGCTCTTGAGCCAAAACTTTCTCAGAGAGCTGCTGTACCAGGCACCAGTGGCTCATGCCTGTCACCCTAGCTACTCAGGAGGCTGAGAGCTGAGGATTGTGGTTTGAAGTCAGCCTCAGCAGAAAAGTACGTGAGACTCCTATCTCCCAGTAACCAGCAAAAAGCTAGAAGTGGAGCTGTGGCTCAAGTGGTACAGTACCATGCTTAAATGAAAAATCAAAAAGGAAAAATCAAGGGAGAGCATGAGGCCCTGAGTCCAAGCCCCTGCACGGGCACACATAAGAACGAGGAAGGCTCATCTCAGTCAGAAAGGCCTGCCGGGAGAGGTGCACGGTGAGGTGAGGTGCAGCCAAGCGTGGGGCCTGGCTGGATGCCCAGTGTCACCCGGGACCAGCAGCTTTTGACTTGGTGTTGAGGGCAGAGGGGATCTGTGGCCCCGTGTCACCGGGATGGAGTTTCCTTCCTCATGTGGAGCACCTGCCCTCCTGGGCAGCGGGGAGAAGCGTGAATTCTGTGTCCCTAGATTAGCCGAGTCCACAAGTGCTTAACGCAACCTTCCTCCCCTGGCCTGCCCTGGGTGTTTGCGCGCTTCCCCTCCTCCCCTGCCCTGAGCTGTGCTCTCCCCCGACCTGTCCTCCCCTGCCCTGTGCCTGTGCCCTGTGCCCCCTGCCCTGGGCTCTGCCCTCCTCATCCTCCTCTTCCTGTGTCTGTGCCCTTCCCTGGAGGGTGCTCACTCAGGACTGGGGCGTGGGGGAAGAGACCCCCTCCCCCCCGCAAGGTGGGGAGCAGGCCCATACCAGTTACAGTTGCTGAAAGTTCATGAAAGTTCTCACTGAACTGTGCTGGGGCAGCGGCCGGCACGTGGTGGACCGGCAGTAAATATTTGCTGTGAGTTGAATAAATAACCGCTGTTGGACGGAATCAGCCCAAGTTCTTTAGACCTGGGGCCTGCAGCCCGGCCCCGCCCGCTGCCAGCGTTGAGGGGCAGCTCCCCCGTACAGCTCCGCTTTCCCAGCTGCACCCCACATGCTCCCCTCAAGGTGGGGGGCACTTGGATTGGGCTGTCTCTGGTAGGTCCCACCAGCTGCTGCAAGTGTTTGAGGAGCCTGCTGCCTCTTAGCACACCCCTCCTCAGGCTGCACCCCATTTTTCCATCCAGGCCAAACTCCTTGGTCCTCTGCCCCTTCCCCTCGCTGGCCTCCCCTCCAGATCTACCCAGAATAATAATGTCACAGGCCTGCCGGTGGCCTTCGAGGCTCAAGGATCCGCCGGACACAGCTGAGAGGCATGCTGGGATAACAGAGACATTTCTTTCATTTTCTTCTGGTACTAGGATTTGAACTCGGAGTCTTCTGCTTGCTAGGCAAGCATTTTACCACTTGAGCCACACCTCCAGTCTCCTTTTCCTGGTGTTGGTTATTTTCCACATTGGGTCTTGCTCTATGCCGAGGTTGATGTCGGCTCTCACCTTCCTTCGGTGCTTCCTTGTGATGCTGGGGATGTCGGATGTGTTCCCTGTGTCTAACCATCACATAGCTGGGGTCACAGGAGTGTGCCGCTGTACCCAGCTGTGGTTGAGATGGAGTCTTGGGAACTTTTTAATGATCAGGCTGTCCTTGAACCACGATCCTTTTATATCTATCTCCCAAGTAGCTAGGATTTTAATCTTAAGCCACTATGGCAAGCAGTTTGAGTTATTTTTGAGAGATGATCTTGCCTTTTACATAATCCGGCCAGAACCGTGTGTGATCCTCCTGTTTATACCTCCTGCCAGCACTGAGGTGAGATACCACCACTGCACTTGGTTTTTTACTGGTTGAGATGGAGTCCTGCTGACTTTCCCCCTGGCTGAACTTGGATTGTACGTCCCTCCACCCCCCTCCCCAACCCATGCTCAGCCTCACAAACAACCAGGACTGGAGGTGTGAGACACGGTACCCCTGTAAGAGCTCTACATTTTGACTCGAGTGACGTAGGCAGGCTGGCCACTGGACTCGGTGCCCTGCTCCTCACCCTTACTGATGCTCTCAAATGTGGAAGGAGAGGCTGCGTGGCGGATGAAAGGATGTGCCAGGTGCGTCCGCATGGTCTCAGTGTCATGCTCTGGACATTTGACCTTGGGAAGATGTGGCCGCTGGTGATGGCAGCGGTGACAATGGCGGCGCGTCTTTCCCGAGTGTGTGCTCTGTGTCTGGTGAGCTGTGGAAGGCACGTTTGTCCACGAACCCAATACTCAAGATAACCCGGTGTGGTAGACGCTGCTACTCTCCTATTTACAGACGAGAGCACCGAGGCCCAGAGAACAAGGTGATGGTGGCCTCATGGCTGGCAAAGCAGCTGGACGCTGCACCTGCCCGGTGCCCACTGTGTCTCGCACCCGCCGCCCGGGGGCCGTGGCGGGTGCCCAGGCACACAGCTCGTCACCTCCCTTTCTTCTCCCAGTTTCCAGAATCCAGGGAGGAGTGGGCGTTGGCAGAGGTTCTCACGGGGTTTCTGACGGAGGGCCCCCGGGGCTCGCTCGGGCAGAGCTCCCGCGCCCGCCTCCCCCGCGGGCCAGTGACGCCGCCCTCCTTCTCGTCCAGGTTTGCCTGCGCCGTGCTCTACCAGGGCCTCATCATGCACATGGGCGCCACGGGCAGCAACCTGTACCTCGACTTCCTTTTCTCAGCGCTGGTAGAGTTCCCCGCGGCCTTCATCATCCTCTTCACCATCGACCGCCTCGGCCGCATCTACCCCATGGCTGTGTCCAACATGGTGGTGGGGGCAGCCAGTCTCCTCATGGTTTTCATCCCCCAAGGTGAGCTGTCCTGGGTTCAATGTCTGCCCGTGAATGGGATTGTGGGAAGTGTGTTGAAATTCCCTGATAAGCTTCTGGAACAGGAACAAAGAGTCTCCTATATTTAAAAAGATTAAAAAAAAATTCCCCCATAACAAATATAACAGTATGACTAAAGACTCCGTAAACTTCTAGCTACCCCAACACCCAGGTAGCAGGACCTGAAGGCAGAGCGTGACTCCAGCCCCGAAACTTCTCCCCCAAAGTCCTTCCTAATCGATGCCTCTTCCAGACAGTCTCCTGTGTGTGACCTCTGCCCCACAAAGCAGTGGGGCCCGCGTCTGAACCCCACACATGGACTCTTTCTTTCTGTCCCTTCCCTTATATCTGTGAGGGCCAGCCCTGGTCTCACATGCCAACGCGCCTTGTATGTTTGCCATCTGAAACATTTGATCCAGTGTCCTTATTTTTTGCCGAAATCAGGACCTTGTGCTTGTTGGTTAGGTCCTCTAGCACTTGAACTCCCAGTTCTTTTTGCTCCTTCCTTCCTTCCTTCCTTCCTTCCTTCCTTCCTTCCTTCCTTCCTTCCTTCCTTCCTTCCTTCCTTCCTTCCTTCCTTCCTTTCTTTCTTTCTTCCTTGTTAGTAGTGGAACCTGAACTCTTGGACTGAGCGCTGTCCCTCAGCTCTTCAGTTCAAGGCTACCACTCTACCAGTTGAGCCACAGTGCCACTTCTGGCTTTTTCTGCTTACGTGGTGCTGAGGAATCGAACCCAGAGCCTCGTGCGTGCAAGGCACGCACTCTATCACTGAGCTACTTTCCCAGCTCCTTTATTTATTTTTTGAACAATCTTAAGTGTTTGCCTAGACTGGCCTCAAAATGGGGTCCTCCAGCTCTTTGGCTCCTAAGTACTGGGATTAGGGAGATAGCGGCTTCTTTTCTTACTGTGTGGCCTCCCATCATGTAAACAGCACACTGCATGCGCCATCCATGTTCACTGTCACGTGTTGTTTCCAGCATCTTCCCACTGCCCTACAGCTGTGGTGACCATACTTTTGAGGGTCTTTTGGAGCAGACTTGTATGTTGTAGGACACGTCTGTGAGCCACCTCCCTAGGGGTATCGGTTACAGGTGTACTTTCAGTACAACACTGCCGGACAGCTTTATAAAAATGGTTGGGACATTTTACACAGCGCCCCTCTCTCCAAGATGCACGAGGATTCTAATCATTCCCCTCTACCCTGTCCCCCCACGAACTTGACCTGACACTGCAAGGTCAACAACACTGGAACTCCTATAAAGTTCAAGTCGATTAACCTTAAGTCATGTTTCATTTTTTGTATGTGTGGGTACTGGGGCTTGAACTCGAGGTCTCTCTCTCTCACTTGGCTTTTTCTCTGGGTACCAGTGCTCTACCACTCAATCTATAACTCCACTAACCTTTTGCTGGTTAATTGGAGGTAAGAGTCTCCTAGATTTATCTATCTGGGCTTGCTTTGAACCTCAATCTTCAAATATCAGCCTCCTGAGCAGCTAGGATTACAGGTGTGAGCTACCATGGCTTGGCATGTTAAGCTGGTTTTAATTTGAGGAGATCAACCACCTCACATTTGCTGCCTTTGGAATTGTTTGGTACACACCCAGAGAGAGGTGCTTTTTTCCTCTTTATTGCTTGTATTCTGTGCTTGGTGGTCACTGTGGCAGAATCTTGTACAGGATACTGGGGACTTGTGAAGTCTGCCTAGTGAGCAGCCAGGCTGGACAGATTAGATTGGGACTACAAAGGGGCTCAAGGGGCCCACGGCACACAGTGTCTTTGTGTTTCTCTGCAGAGCCTTGCTGTCAATCAGGAACATGCCCCGCCCTCTACACACAGTGTCTTTGTGTTTCTCTGCAGAGCCTTGCTGTCAATCAGGAGCATGCCCCGCCCTCTACACATAGTGTCTTTGTGTTTCTCTGCAGAGCTGCACTGGCTGGGCATCACCGTGGCTTGCATTGGCCGGATGGGGGTCACCATTGTGTTACAAATGATCTGCCTGGTGAACGCAGAGCTGTACCCCACATTCATCAGGTGAGAGCACAACAGTAAACAGTGAAATACCCACCTGCCAGATAGGCTGGGGGAAGACTAGCCTTCCCAAGACCCCTCAAGAAGTCCCGAGGGCTGGTCAGCATGGATACTGAACGGTGTTGTTGGAAGCTCACCTCACCCTGGAGGAACCCACATAAGTGAGTCCTACAATGTTAGCCTTTTGTTTGGCTTATTATACTTATCAAATATCCTTAAGGGTCATTTCTTTGGAGCATGTAACAGAACTCACTCCTTTTAAGTGAGAATGATATTCCATTTTACGCACATCCATATTTGGTTATCTATTCATCTGGCCATTGGCACTTGCAATGTGCATCTGTGAGCATGGTAGGCACACAGCTTTAGAGGCTCCTTTTTGTTTTAGTTTTCAGGCAGGCTCTTGTGCTTTTTTGCCCACTCTAGCCTCGAACTGCAGTCCTTCAACTTCAGCCCCTTGAGTAGTTGAGATTACAGGCATGAGCCACTGTGCCTGGCATGTTGAGCATCTTTGAGCATCTCCAAATGTGCCTGTCACTCATTGTCTTTTTCTTAGAAGACTTACTAGTCTTAAATAAACATGATTTTTGATGTGAAAGTAATCACTTTATCTGAAGTTTGAAAAATTGGTATTCTATTAACCTGACTTTTGTGAGAATTTGGTTCATTAAACTCTTTTGTTTTTCATACATGATTTATTCTCCCTTGGATACTATACTAATGGTTTCCAAGAGATTTCCCAGTTCCTTAGACTCATCTTATACCTGAACAGGTCTCTGAGCCCTTCCACAGACACGTAGCTGACCAAAATTACTTGTTTTGTTTTGTTTTTTTCCCTATCTCTTCCTTTGTTAAAGGCTTATTTGTAAAACGTTCCTTGGAATGAATACCAGAAGATGAAGAGAAAACTTGCTAGGCTGATAGTTCTGATCTCAGAGTTTAAAAATAGCTGGGACAAGCAATTCCACTGGTGATCAGACCCAGGGGCCTGACTGGAAATGTAAACTGCCAAAAGTGCCATGTTGGTTATCTCTGAGGGTGTCTTGGGCCCGGGAGAGCAGAGTGAGTCATGGCAGGAAAGTGTGCAGAGCAGGCCTGCTCACCTTATGGTGGCCAGGAAGTAGAAGCAAAGCGAAGGGAAAGGGAAGTGTTAGGATCCCCAACATCCCCTTCTAGGCCCCACCTCCAAAAGGCTGTTTCCCCCGCATCTAGTAGCACCGTGGGCTGGAGAGCATAGCTTCAGTGCGTGGGTTTCTGAGGGAACTTGTCTGAAGCACAGCAGGTACTGAGCGCCTGATCTTCCATGGACAAAGACCAGACCAGCTGGGTTCTGAATGGGACTGTGGAGGGAGGACTGGCAGGAAGGTGGGACCCAGTGTTTAGAAGCATCATTCAACTTCACACACGTATGTGTGTGTGTGTGTGTGTGTATGTGTGTGTGCGCGCGCGCGCGCACCCACAGAGTCATGCAAGCTCGAGTATTTTCAAGCAATCAAATCAAGTCTGAATTAGAAAAAGTGAGGCACTTTCAAAACAATCATTGTTGACATGTGCTGTGTGAATGATTCTGACAATTCTCCTGATTCACTGGGTTTGGGGGGCTAAGTCCACAACGCGTGTTGTAAGAACATTTATTGGCGTTAACACGCATGGCCTTGTTTAGACAATTCGCTTTCTATTCCCGCCCCTCTCTGGATTATGAGCTCCTTGGAAAAGCAACCCTGTGAAGTCAGAGGCCTCTGCCTCTCTCAAAGCTCTTCTCCAGCTTCACCCAGCAATCACTACCACCACAGGATGCTCCGGCGAATCCTAGAGGAGGGCCTCATCCCCTACTTTTTCTAGCATCGGTGCGCTTATCAAAAGTTTGATTTTCAACACTTTTTTTTTTAATACTGAAAACCAATGTAATCTTATCCTTCTTGAAAATCCTTCAAGAGCAATGAGAAGATGGACAAATGTAAAAGGGCTACCTTTAAACCTAGGATCTCCTCCAAAGAATGGGCATGGGAAGGCCTCTCTAGCACGGAGTGGGCTGAGTCTCTGTGGCACAGCCCACCCTGGACAGCCAATCAGATAAGCAGAGTGTGAACCTGGAGGGTGGGGCCAAGCATTCCCACCTGGAGGGCGGGGCCCAGTGCTCCCAGCTTGAACCTGGAGGGGCCCAGCACTCCCCACCAAACAATGAAACAGAGGTGAGAGCTGAGGATGAGCTCCCTCCCAGGAGTGAGGTAAAGCAGGGGTTCGAGGCTGGCCTCTGGGAATGGCTCACAGCACCAGGAGTGGGAGGGGGACCCTGCACGGTGAGGACTTCCGCACTGTCAACCCTGTCACCCCCTGGACACGGGGGACGCGAGGGCTGGCATCATCTAGTCAAGCCCAATCCTGGTGAAAAGGAAAATTCTACTAGTCCAGAGAAAGATCTGGCCTCTCTCCCCACAGACCTTTCTGGAATGACAGGAGAGGAAAGAAACCATAGTGTTAAAAGATGAATAATGAAAGAGCAGCTCACTCTTACGTTGTGAACGCATCACTTAATAGCAAGTGGGGCAAGAGAAGGAAAGGCGAATGGCGCTGGAAGAATGCTCGGCAGGTGAAAGCTGTCACTATACACTCAAGATGCAAACATTGAAGAATTGGCGTTTTCTGTAAAGTGAGAGTCTACACCAGAGATACAAGTTCTTAGGACAGTAGAACACAAAACAGTAGAAGAAATTGAGGCTGGTTCAGGAATGAAATACAAGCCAAAATGGAAAGCATTCGACACGCAAAAAAGCATTTTGAAAGTAGCACAGAGGAGGACAGATAGAGCAGGAGCAAGGTGCTGGTTGAGCTTAGTGGGGGTTGGATTTGAGGTGTCCCCTCCCCCACAGAGAGCTCATGCCTTAAATCACCTGATTGAAACGTGAGGGTTGTAGCCTATCAGGGATGAATCCATTGATGGGTGATTTTTTAAAAATTTATTTATTTTTAGTTTTTTAAAATGACTGTTCCAAAGGTGACGTCAGAGGGGTTACAGTTACGTAAGTCAGGTAATGAGTGCATTTCTTTTTGGACAATGTCACCCTTTAGATTCGTGATTTGATGGCATTATTGGGAGTTGGTAGAACTAGGCCCTGGGCCTGGTTGGAGAAAGTGGCCACCATGGGGGGTGGGGAGGAGAGGTCCTTGAAGTGAATATCTTGTTCCTGATTTCTTTAGTCTGCTTCTGCCTCTTCCCCCATCCCTGCCTTCACCTCCACCCCCCTCCTGCCTGCCGATTTGTCTGTCTGTCTGTGTCTCCATCTCTCCTTCCTGGCTGCTCTCTGCTGTGAGGTGAGAAGCTTTGTTCTATTGTGTCCTCTCTGCCATGAAATCCTGCTTCAAAAAGCGCACAGCAATGAGGACAAGCAACCATCCTCCACTGAACCCTCTGAGGCCAAGAGCTGAACACATCTTTTCTCTTCCACGTTGTTTCAATTAGGCTTTTTGTCACAGTGATGTCGCTGTGATGACGGGTTCTTTATCCTCATTGGCTCCCAACCTCCGCTGTACCTCCCCCTCCTCCAATCACTTGCGGGCTAGGAGGCCGGTGACTTGGTCGCTCAGAGACTCTGGTGCAGATCAGTCAGACCTGGCTTGACTCCACTCCCACTGTTGTGAGCCTAGATCCGAGCAGACTGTTCCCCTGCAGAAATTGTGGGTTGTTTTTTTTTTTCTCCTCATGGACAGCAGACCTCAGCCCTGGGCTGAGTGGGTCAGAGGTGAGGTTTAGAGCAGGGAACCTGTGCTTGCTATTCACATCAAACCTCCAGCAATTCCAGAACTGCACACCTAAGGCTAACCATCCTTACAAGAGGTAGGCTCTGTCCTTCAGAGGCCAGCTCATGCCCATGTCCACACTAGCCCAACATCTCTCAGCACCACATGTGCATATCTACATGGCTCCTTTGATCCCCAGTGAGCTCTGAGCACCAGCTCACCACGCATGCTGGCGTGGCGTGGCCCGACGTGGCCCAATGTGGCTTAGACTAGGCTGACATTTGCAAGATGGAGTCACAGACGTCGTCTTTTGCTTCTCCCTGTTTCCCCAGGAACCTGGGGGTGATGGTGTGCTCTGCCCTGAGCGACGTGGGGGGGATCTTTACCCCCTTCCTGGTGTTCAGGCTGATGGAGGCGTGGGAGAACTTGCCCCTCATTTTGTTTGGTAAGACTCCGGGAGTGTTTCTTCTTCTTCCCTCACAGCCAGTGGAGGGCAGGGGATGGGGGCAGCAGCTAAGTGTGGCAGGGGCGTGGAGGATGGAGCTTCTTGGTCATTGTCTCCTGGATGCTCTGTCTTGCTTCTTGGGAAAGTTTAAGCATTTCCACTAGGCTGTGGCCAGAGACTTTGATCCTTTGGCTGAGAACCAACAACTCATGTTACAGGAAGAGTCTGAAGACTTGTACCTTTACATAGTATGTACAACAGTTCTGAGCATCCACGACTAGACACCGCCTGGAGTGGCTATCCCACTGACAAAATAATTACTGTTGCTCACATTACTGCTGCTCACCAAAAACAGGATGTTTGTCCGGCTGCTCTTAATCTTGAAGTCTGCGCATGCTTGATTCAGTTTTTCCATAATGCCGCCCAACCTCCACCAAACATACGAATTGTCACTGTATTGCTTCAGTGAAGCACACTAACTTTTCACCTTGATTTTCAGGTGCCATTTGCTTTTTTTTTTTTATTTTTTTTTTTTATTGTAAAGCTACTATACAGAGGGTTACAGTTACATGAGTGAGGTTATGAGTACACTTCCTCTTGAACATTGTTACCCCCTCCATTGTTTTCCCCCTACCATCCCCTCCCTCCCTCCCTTCCCCGAGGTTCCCATTTGCTTTTTTGAGACACATTTTTATAAGATGAAGGGCAGGATAACACTGAGTGGATCACACAGCAATGTAAACACAGTGGATGATGATGCAGGACTAAACTTCTCAGCTCCATTGGGCTGTGTCTCATCCACGGGGATTTAAAACGTCAGGTTTTGAAACTTCCCTTTCATTAATCTAGTGAGACTATCTCTGGTCAACACTGTGTTAATAGATCCACAAATAAGGTAGAGCTACTCTTATGCATTGAATTGTGGGAAATGAAGCTGAATTATACTTCTGGATCTTAAAAATGGAAGACCAGGTAAGCATGATGGGGCATGCCAATAATCCCAGCATTTGGGAGGCCAAGGCGGGATTGTGAGCCACACAGACCCTGTCTAGAAGAAAAACAGGGAAGAGATTCCAGGAGACAAAGGGGAATCAAAGTTGTACGTCAGCTTACGAATGAAAAAGACCAGTGAAAGACCAGAGGGCGCTCACTCCTTTCCCTGATCCTGAGCACGGGCCTTCCCAGCCTGCTCACACACTTGGTAGCAAGTAAAATAGCTGGGCATTTACAGAGAACTGCCAGGCCTGGTACCCTGGCATGGGTGACTGCAAGGGAAAGAATAGGAGAGGGAGAAAAGGAGAAGGAAAAAGGGAGAGTGAGAAAGGGAGAGGGAGAGAGGATGGGAGCTGAGAGTGAGGGACAGGGCAGGAAGAGTCCCTGCCCGTGTTAGGTTTTGCTCTGTTGATCAATCCATCGATTATCTATGTAGTTAAAATTGAGTTTCAGCCATTCTTGCTCATCACCTACATGCAACTTTATGCTTCTGTGGTAAAAGCAGCATTTCCAACTGTCTTTTAAGAGAGCGGTGTCCCCACCCCCTGCCGCGGTAGAGCATGTGCCGGTGGGCGTGGCGTCGGCCATACTCTGCTTCATGTCGTTGGGCGTGGCGCAGGCCATGCTCGGCAGCACTTCGTCCACTTGGAATCGGGTTCATTTGCAGGTGTGCTGGGCCTGACCGCTGGAGGCATGACGCTGCTCCTTCCCGAGACCAAGGGCATAGCGCTGCCTGAGACCGTGGATGATGCCGAGAACCTTGGGAGGTGAAGCCCTGCAGGGCTGGGGTGTGAGGGCTTGGCTTCTGTCCCCTGAAAAGGGTCGTGATTCCATCCTGCACTCCCTCTGCTCATCTTCATGGTTCTGAGAGCTTTCCAGACATTTGTATGACTTGGTGTTCACCCCAGAGATGCCCCAGACCCAGGCATGACTCAGTGGCCATTAATGACAGGCAAGGGAGGAGAATGGGGGGGGGGGAGAGGGAGAGAGGGAGAGAGGGAAAGCGGGAGAGAGAGAGAGAGACAGAGAGAGACAGAGAAAACACACATCTCAAGTTGGCCAGCACCCAGCTGGGTTTTGTTCTCTTCAATTGTTGAGATATTCCTTCACACCAATGGCAAGTTTTTAATCAAAAGGTTAATTTGATATTTTTTCCCTTCATTCTACATTGGACTTTTATTTCTGATTGTTCCAGGAAAGCCAAGGCCAAAGAGAACAAGACTTATCTTCAGGTCCAGATGTCCCAACATACCGACGCCTGAATGGTTCCGTGGGAGCCAAGCACCCAGCCAAAGATGGTCGCGCCAGCGGGGGACTTTCCCAGAAGTCCTCCTGTTCCTGTACTCTCCCCACAACTTGCCCTTCTTCCCCGTGAATATCCCTTCTGAGTGTACTTTGTCTTACATGGTCTTCTTTCTTTTAAATCTGCCAAATCTTTTATCTATGAATCTGTTTTAGTAAGAACCATTGGTCCTGTGGGTTCTGACCCCTTAATTACTTAAAATATTGTGAAGATGCAGTTGAATTTAAATATTGCTAATAAGAAAGAAAAAGCCTTCGTGACTATTTCTCTAGACTATCTGCGGGTCTCGTCTCCTCTGTGCGCGTGTGTGGGGTCTGTGTAGACAGAAGCGCTGCTGTGTGGACACTGTTTCAGTGGTGCTTGGGTTCTCAACATGGTGGCTCTTCTAGCGCAACCCAGGCCAGTTGTGTGTAGATACATGTGATGGGAGAAAAAGACGCTCGCGTGTGACCACGTTAGGAGGGAAGTTGCTCCCACCCATGTTCCAGGAATATGTTAGTCTGTCACCTTTGGTCTGGGTTCTTGTTGGTGATTCGAGGTGAACTCATGCCACCTGGGAGCTGTCCCTGTCAGCATACCACAGGAGTTTACTTTGTCAGGAATTACGTATGTCTTTAATGTTGTGCAATGATTTCACTGGAAGACACAAAAATCTTCATTTCAAAATGTCTACCTGTGGGACGGCTGCAAAGGCCACACTCGAGCACGCCGGGCAAGTTCCTGGCGCACACTGGGTGTCTAATGGGGTGCGGGTGCTCGTGCTACAAGCACCGCTGGCCTGACCACCTTCAATAAGCACTATCCTGGCTGTGGGGACACGGGGACAGGGAAGCTGGTACCCAGCAGCACTTGGAGCCGCCTTTGACAATGGACAGGGCCAGGCTGCAGTTCAGTAGTGGAACACTTCCCTCGTGTGCATGAGGCCTGGGATTGGATACTGAACACTACACTGCCAGAGAGAGAGATGGGTAGATGGATAGATAGAAAGAGAATGAGAAAGAGAGAGAGAGAGAGAGAGGGGGAGAGAGAGAGAGAGGGAGTGTATAAATGAGAGAAGAGATGGAAAGAGGGAGGGAGAGGAAGAGAGGATGAGAAACACTGTGACATGGGAATATAATGCTTTGTTCTTAGTCTGAGGGGGCAAGGGGCAGTGGTTCCGGTCTTCCTAATTCCAACACATGAGTGAGTGTTGGCTTCATTTCACTCAGTCTACAATGAAGTCCTTACCTTTTCCTGTTCTTTACTACTCTACTGGCTAGAAATATATACATTGTAGTCTTTGAACAATATTTTCCAAATATGTATTAAAAGTGTCCTCTCTCATCTTTTTTAGAGACCTACGGCTGAAGCGCGGAGGAAGACTTTAAACAAAGAAGGGTCCTCTTGAAAACTAGCTCTGTGCCTCCTTGCTGCTCTGCGGAGCTGTGGGTGGACAGGACCCAGCCCCTGAAAACCCCGTTGCTCTCAGGAGTGCAGGAGGCCTGTGAGGAGCAGCCTTCTCCTGGGTCCGTCCTGGGAAGGAGCCTCATGCTGGGACCAGCTTTGAAAGGGAAATACGGTGATCTCCTGGTATGTTAGAGGTGGCATTGCCTTTCTCACTGTCAACCTAGGGAGAGGCGGGTTGGGAGGTCACCTTGCCATGCCCAGGCAGAAAGGAGGCTGTTAGGGGACAGGTGGTGGCGAGCCTGGAAGGCATGGTGGCTGTGGTCTGGGCACTGGGAAGCGATCAGAGCTCCTGGTAAGGGCATTGCCAGAGGTGCCTGAGATCCTCCCTGTGGTACTGCAGGTCAGCTCTTCATTCAGCAAACACAAGCTGGGGATCCCAGAGTCTCCGTGAGCTCCAGCGCTCTGAGAATTCCGAAGGCAGGTACGGCAGGCACTACAGGCAGCACTGGCCTGGTTCTCCACAGTTATCATGGTACACACGGGAGGTAATGGGGGTCCAGCTGTTCAACGTGGAAGAGTAGCACATCTCCCCTAAGGTGGAAGGCAGAGGAGGGGCTGGCACTCTCCCCCTTCCTCAAACAGTGCTTCCGTGGCTGGAAACCAACCCATAGATGGGTCCTCCTTGAATCACTGAGGTGGAGGAAGTGAGGCCCCCACGGTCAGCTAGCCGCGGGGTGGAGTCACCGGCTGGGTGCGGGAAGGTTGAGGATGCAGCCGGGCCACTTTCGGTCTGCATCTGAACAGGGGCGTGAGCTGAACCAGGAAGGAAGCTACTACTTCCCGCCTGTGGTTGGACACTGTACGGACAAGGAGACCATGCGGTGTCGCAGAAAGAACCTGCTCTTCTCTGTGGGTGGGATGTGCCATCATTCCCCTTCCATGCGTGTTTCCCATGTCTGTGGTTTCTGGTGGGCTGAGCATCACCTGTGGAGGGAAACCGGCATCCAGCCACGCTCGCACCCCATGCACGGTTGCTAGGGGCAACGTGTCATCCTGCCTCCCACCAGCACCTCTTTCTTGCAGGTGGAAGTCGACTGTGTCTTGTTCTGGGACATCAACGGAATCTGCACATTAGAGACAGATTTGACAGTAAAAAAAGAGGTCTCCCTAAAGATCATTTATAAATATGAACTCATGTGGCCAGCACAGGTGGAAGCAGGCATGGTTGTCGGTATTCAACGTTGAGAAGCTGACCTCAGATTACATGACTGCATAGGTTGGTGGGCCTTGAATTTACTTTGTGGACTAAGCTGCAGGAGAAATACAGGCTTAGAAATGAATCAAGAAGGAAGGATGGAGGGAACCAGGGTATCAGCCCGTGATCTCTGTGGATGAGCAGTTTGGCTTCTAGCACTTTTTTTTTCTTTCTTCACTAGCAGCACTGGGGTTGGATACTGCTGGGCCATACCTCTAGCCCTGGTTTTTGCTGGTTATTTTTTCATTAGAGTCTTGCTTCCTGCTGCCCTTGAGCACCGTCAACCTGCGTTTGGCTTCCCATTGCAGCTTGGATGATAGGCTCAGGCCCCTGTACCCAGCTGTGTGATAAAGGGCATCAAGAACTTTTCTGTTCGGTGTGACCTCAAACCACAGTCCTCTCGAAGCAGCCGGGGTTACAGGTGTGAGCCAGTCGTGCGTGGATAACTCTTGGCATTTCTGATTGTTCATTTCTCCCTTGCAAGGCCTGTGTGCTGAGAGGACCAATGAGCCTTGAGCTGTCTTGGGCACAGAGAACAGCGGCCCACACACAGTCTTTGGCACGCTGAGTACTTTCACCCAAAGACCCGAGAGTCAGGGTCTCCTTGTCCTCCCTTCTCCATCTATTTTCTCTTGAACCCAAGTGGGCTTCCTCTGAGTTCCTGGGGGTTGGTCTCACACACACACACACACACACACCACAGAGCAGAAGGGTTGGGGGTGTGACCCTGAGCTACACAGGGCTCAGTGGCTTGTTTCACATGCGCATCGCCCCGGGTCTCATCCTTAGTGACACAGATCACAAAAGAAAGCAGAATCTCAGCCCTCTGTTCTCCCCGGGCATCCCGCGTGCCCCCACACGCGGGCACATGGCATGATGTACGCCTTGCCTCTGCTTATTTCTCTCCTGACAGTTTGTTCCCAGGCTTGGGAGGCTGGAGGTAGAGCTGCAGCTCTCCCCTGGCTCAGGAGGGAAAGGCACAGGCGGGGTTCCTGAACTAATCTCATTGTAAAGTTAAAAGACACGTGGGAATCTATTGCCTAGGAGCCTGAGAAACGGCAGGATTGGAACCATAAAACAAAACTCATAAAACCATAAAACTAGCTCGTATTCATCCAGAACTTTCTATGTATCACTCCTAAGCCATCTAGTGTGTTACCTCCTCCCAACACCCCTGTAATGTTGGGTGACATCACAGAATTTTAAGGAAAGGGGATCGGGGCCCAGCAGGGCTGGGTGATCTGTCTGCTGTCACCAGATAAAAGCACACACTCAATTCTCTGTTCCCAAGTCTGCCAACATGCCGCCCTTCCTATGGAGGAATACACAGGAAGGAAATCCATTCATTCACAGAGAAGACGGAGCAGGAGACGGAGAGGCCTTGTGGGTGTGTGTGGCAGGAGCTCTGTGCCAGCTGCCCGAGCAGCGCCTTCCGTTGTCTGTGGAACACAGCACCTAAGCGTCTGTCTACACGGAGTGCTACGCAGTCCAGTCACTCCTCAATCGCAGCTTCTGGACATTCATGTAAGAACATTAACCCCAGCACCCTAGGACTTCTGCAGAAGAGTGGAGGGTGCTTGGCACAGTGGCCCTGGATGCGTGGCCTTGCCATGTATTACACGGAGAATAGTTGGCAGGATGCTTTGCGGCCCGAGCGTGGGTCATCCTCAGCGTCTCTCTTTGAAACAAGCCCCGTTCTGCCCACTCCACCGGGCGGCCGCAGCCCCCACAGCTGCGGTAGCAGCAGAGAACTGGAGACAAGAATGCAGACTCCTGCAAGGCCTGTGGGCAAGGGCGACGCGCATTGTTTTCTTCATTAGCTTTGGGGACAAAAGTGCCCTAGGCTGGGAAGGGCGCAGGAGTCCAGAGAGAGAACCCCAGAGTTAGGGGCTGGGGTGTGAAGGGGAGCCAGCCTGCCTCCCTCCGCCCTGCATTAGCTCTCAGGGCTGCAGCCACTGCTAGGGATGGAAATGTTGAAAGAAACGGTGCCAAGGAAGGAGAAAAGCAAAAGGCAACTAAGTTTAAAATCAGTACAAGTGTGATGAGGCCCTAGGCGTGAGAATTCCAACCGGAAACACCACGCTAGGCGTGAGAATTCCAACTGGAAATACCATGCTAGGCATGAACCGGAAATACCAATGCTAGGCGTGAGAATTCCAACCGGAAACACCACACTAGGCATGAGAATTCCAACCGGAAACACCACGCTAGGCGTGAGAATTCCAACCGGAAACACCACGCTAGGCGTGAGAATTCCAACTGGAAATACCATGCTAGGCATGAACCGGAAATACCAATGCTAGGCGTGAGAATTCCAACCGGAAACACCACACTAGGCATGAGAATTCCAACCGGAAACACCACGCTAGGCGTGAGAATTCCAACCAGAAATACCACGCTAGGCATGAACCGGAAATACCAATGCTAGGCATGAGAATTCCAACCGGAAACACCACGCTGGGCCTGGAGATGGCTGCGCCAAGATCCTGTCAGGAGAAAGACCCTCTCTCAGTTCCCGAACCACAGTCCTCAGCTAAACCTACACACGCACCACTTTTCTTTCATCTTTCCTAGAAGCTGTAACACCATGGGGAACAAAG